ACTTTCATTAAGATCGAATCAGCCGTTTAGTTGTGGAACGTAAAAAACAGTCAGCCAGGTTTTGGCGTTTATAATAGGTATTAGTTGTGGATATCAAAACATATCAACTAGAAGATACGTAGATATTTCATTCAGTAGTAGTAATCCTGTGTGTGTAGTGTAACACTAAATTACTAATATTTAATGACATGATTACTAAAATGCAACGGAATTCATATTATAAAAAGGCGTTAATTATAATACTTTAGAAATAAAAGCAAGTGTAAAGTCCATATTTCGTCATTAATCTCTCGACCGATTACTCACTTGTTGTTTATTTAAAAAAATTACTGCTAGTACTTCTTTTGTACCTCGTTTAATTGTAGATGTATTACCTACTTTAGATCACATTTGTTTACTATATCCATATTGTTTACAATTTTACAATCCATACTACTTACTATCAAGTCCATGCAAGTCTCGAACTACGAGTGAGTGGCTTCAGTGGAGATAATAATTGAGACGTAATTTAGTCATTCATGTCTGATGAAATATCTCTACAATTTTACGTAAACACAATGAAAATAAAATAAGCCGTGAAATTTTGCTTTCTAGTTTACCATATTTCTCCTGGTCCTGTATTAGTGCAATTATGCATTAGAGTAGGTATATTTAACATATGTTAGTAAACGATAGGTATTTTATTTCATATATATTTAACACAGCATAATGATTTTTCAGTTCCATTTAAGTTGTTAATAAATTATTCAAGAAGTTTCTGATGCTTTCATTTCTATAACAAATGTTTAGGAAAATTTATATCTGAAGAATTATGTTAAGTTCTTATTTTTACTCCATGTATTTATTTATTTATATAGATTAACATTTTATAAGTATGTCTAAGGTTTTAGGACTTTTTCATTTTATCTGTAATGTTAATTTAAATTGGTAATACGTTCTACTTATAACTACAAATATCCCACTGCTAATCAACAATGTAATGTATAAGATTTAACAGGGTCTATCTAAATATCTAAAGAAATAACTTATATATACATATATAGATAGATCAGATTTTGTTGAGCACCGAAGCACTAAATAATCGGCGACACTTACCTAGCACCTGCATTTGGTGGGTCATGTTCACCAAATGCAGATACGATAGGTAAGTATATTTGGGAGTACGCCGTATCATAACACGCATGATATGTTAATTTTATGTAAGGTTGGTTGTAACAAAATTATGTTAGAAATAATGTGTCACGAGTAGCAGCAGTTTTTTTAATATGGTTTTTATTGCTGTACCCTTTCATTAATTAATATATTTACCTATATGTATCTAAGTATTCATATTATTACTGACTAATGGAAGTTTTTCGTTTATAAATTACACTTGTTTTATTTAATTTTATTCACTAATAATCGGTAATTGTCTGACCTGAGTGATAAAATTTGACTTTCAAACGCAGATTACCTAAAGCATTTGTGAATATGAGAACGTGATTTGCCAATGCATAAAAAAAGAATTAAACGATACGATTACGATACGCGGTAATATGATTTTCTAAAAGTTTCTGTTACTCGTTGGTATATATGAATTGATTGATTTTTATTTTACTATCTGTTAGCTTTCAGCCACCCAGATTTGGATTTGTACTAGAAAGCTAAAACAACATATTTTATTTATTTATGCACACGGATACAATATTTTGGATATTTATTTATAGAATGAATATAGTGAAAATATAATAACAAATGGTATAACCATGATAAGACGATTACGATGGGCCCAGAATAGGTTATACTATATTGACGTGTTTTGACGTGCGGCGTTCCATGTCAACATACGCCTACATATTAACAAATCAAATTAAATGAAAAATTATTTATTCACGTAGCCGCTTATGAACGTCAAATTATTTGTATTAATATTTTTCCCATCTGTTGTATATAGAAACTTCTTAGTGAATGACATGTAATTAGGACTAAAGAATAATAAACAGATTCTGTCAACATCTCAAACTGATATTTTATTTATCCAATATTTTATATTAAAAACCTTTAATATAACACCATCCAGTTACACATACAATTGAGAAAAACAGACAAGATTTCAACTGTATTTCTTTTTTTTAAACCAGTTTATTTACATTGTGTACTTATGTAGGTGTCTAATATGAAATGAAAATTCCGTACATGAACAACTAGTTTTTTTTAAGAATGATAGTGTATTGATGCACCCGCTTGCGCTAACGGTTTACGCTGGCGGGGCACTAGTGGAGGATGATAAGATGAGCATGAGGTCAGGTCAGTTAGCCCATCGTGGTAAATCATCATGAGTTTATCACGATGGTTTCCAGGGGGAACCGCGTGGAGATCGATCTGACATCACATGATACATTGGTGGCAATAAGATCATCAGTCCCATTACTAACAATCCCCTTCCCCCCCATAAATAACTATCGCCATGAACAATTGTCATTCAGGTAATCGTTTAGAAAGTAACAGGATTTGCTCTATTCCTATTTGTTAGTGACATGGAATGCGTAGCGTAGTCAAATAAGTAGGTAGGTATTGTCAGATTCACAGTTCTATTCACAACTATAATCTCAAGGTATACTTTACGTAGCATACCTTCGTGATTATTTAGTAAACAGTTGCGGAATGTTTTCTCAATATTGATTTAGATAATATTGATTCAAAATATTGTTTCGTTACTATCTTAGTAAAAAAATAAAAACATCTCTGATTTTGAGTTATTGACTCTATGATGCCTACATATTTCATCCTGGTATAAAAAGCGGTCACATTTGTTTAATAGTAAGAATCTTAATATAATGGACCTATTTATGGAGTATATATTTGTAGGGACGAAGAGAATCAATGAAATCCGATATGTATAATATTTTATTAATATTTACATTTATTGCCTATTTACACAAATAAATATCTACATTTGAACAATAATAAGCATTTAGATATATTATGATGGATACATTATTTTAAAAAACATAATTAGGTAACAGGTTATGTATAATTATTTATACTAACGCAGGATAATTCACACAGTGCCATCTAGTCGCAATTTAAATTTAACTTGTAGATACTAAACACCTAATATAAATATTTAGATACATTTTTTGTAAATACATACATAATATACATAGAAATAAACCAGATGAAAACAATAAATCATACTCATTAATACAAACATTTGTGTCGTACGAGAATCGAACCCGCGATCATTGATAGTAAGAAGAAGACTTCCATACGACATTAATATAGCTATTTCTAGTCACGTGGCAGTAATATATTTTAATTAATTAATAATAATTAATTATGGTACATAACCTCTAACAACACTCGAAGAGTTAAATGTTAATCTAAGTTAGAAAAAACAAATATCAGTCATAATTTTATATACTACATTTATTTCAGTCTCACTCGTATAGATTCACTGATACCTCACGCAAATAATTAGTAGTGGGTAGGTATTATCACGATATGATATTGAGAACATTTTATAAGTAACAAAAGAGTACATAGAATTATGTTTGTAGTTAATACTGAGCGTGGTAATCAAATTGACGTAAAAGAAATACGCGGGGTATTTCTCTTGCTATCTATCCTACAGAAAAACAGACAGAAACAGAAGAAAATACAGAAAATTATCCATTTTTATATGACTTCATCCTCAATACTGGAACGTTACGTTCTAGTGGTACCTAGTAAATTAATAGCTGACTTGTATTTGTACATTGTAATTGTTTGGCCGAAAAGAAATTTCCAGGGCTGTAAAAATACTCAATAAAAAAATCAAACTGACGTTTCATCTGACGGTCCCCCGGGGCCGGCGGGTCTCCATGAGGGATTTTCTCCAAGTAAAAAAAAAGGTGTTAACAGCACAGAGAGAGAGAGAGTTAGACGACGCAAGTCTTTCGACTATTTGTTTTACTACTACATTATTATATTATTATTACAAAAGCTATCTTATTGGTACCCCATTTTAATATTAGGTATAATAACACCTGTATCTATAGTTGTTACTATCTGTTGTCAAGTTGGGAAACCCAAATGTAGAGTCTAAATATCAAGTAAGGTACTTACAGTTTACGATTCCTTTAATATATTGCATATAATTTAGCCAACTTTTCTTTTGTAGAGATTCGCCAATTAACACATTCGTACATATTACTCTCTTTTTGATATCTCATTACGACCCCAAGGGGAGGAGGGATGGGGGGGCAAAGTCCCTCGTTGGGAATGTAATTACAAACATTTACATGATATCAGTAATATTTAATTATATATTCTTCCAAATTAAATCGATCTGTTGGTTCTGTAGTAGTAGTATATCTATTTAGGAATTACTCGTATATATTTAGGTACTACATCTTTAGTCGCTCTTTCCATATAAGCTTGCTTGCTAAGGCGAAACGATTAATCGAAGTATTATCGTCGGTATATATAATTTCTTCACAATTTACCCATTAATAAAATTACATTCATATAAACAAATAAAATATACAAATATGTTACCGTACGATTGTAACGAACAATCTGTCTCACAAATCTAAATTGTAGAATTTTAAATATTCATTCAGTTAAATATTTGACTTGGATGGATTATGAACTATCGAAAACTATTACGTTAAATTGTAAGAGCTAATGTAATTGTAAGTAGGTTCATAATTTATTGACATGTCTTACTAGATATCTTACCAGATAGACTTATAAACTAATATCGTTCCGTCATAAACATATGGGTGGTTACATAATGATAAATGCCTAATCATTGTAATCGCACTAAACCTAATATGTACTTGTTATTAGATAATTAGGTAATGGTATCTTGGATATATATAATAATTTTAATAATAAGCTCTACATAATCAATACTGTTATGATCATCACCATTATATATGATATATGCATTGTGAGTTGATCTACTTTATTAAATATTAGGATTATATATAGGTAATTATGTCGGGGTTAAGTAAATATATGTATGGTATGTATGTGTATATTCCATAAGTCAGAATCAGACAGAGATATAACATGGAACTAAATAACGATAAGAGAGATATTCTAAGTAAAAAATACACAGAAGATCTCTCTTTTAATAACCTGGTAAAATTTCATATTCTTTAATAAACTTCAATATTGTACTTATTTGTCTCTTAAATTGTCATTAAATATGACGCAAACGTTACATTTAAACTAATTTTTAATAATTAATACTATTTTTGTGTCACTGATTAAGTGAAGAGCGATATTAAAAAATGTTTAATAAATTAATGTTTATTGGGAAAACATCTTTGTTATGATCACATCAACCAAAAAAGCAAAAACAAAGAGCAGTGGCCATAAAAAAAAAAGTAATAAATGTAGGCCGTCGCAAATAAAAAAATAACATGATTGGAGGCCTAAAAAAAGAAGAAAGATGGATTAATGGTTATGTGATATATAGGTGACTTATAATATCGATTTTCTCAATCGATATTTATTATCGTTACTAATAATAAATAACATTGATCAACATCTATATTTTTCTAATATGGATCATCTCTAATTTAGTGTAAGGCGGTTGTTAGGTACGTTACGTTACCAGCAGTGGTGGTTGCAGGTGGCACCGTCGGCAGGTGTGGGGTAGGGTACAGTAAACGACAAGGGTCACCTGCCCGAGGACCGAGCATACTAAGCAACAAATAGGATACTAGGGAACCAGACAATAATCCACCGTTGTATGACAATGTCATCATATTACCTGAAATTAAAAAAATAGAGAAGTATGAAATTTTTAATAGTGACTGTCTCGGGCTTGCAAGCGTTTGTATATTACTGTATGGAATATAATTTTGTTTTAGAAAATCTTATACCTACAGCATTAGAAAAAAACATAAATGTAGGATGAAGTCAGGTTTGCTTCTACCTCAGGGAAGTTAGTATAGTTTGTAGTATTTTTAATTAAGTTACATGTTTTTGTACCGTACGAAGATTCCAGTATATTTGTATTATGTTGTGATCCCTATCTCACCCGCAATTTCCCGATGTTCTCGTCCAACACGCGATGGCGCTAGTATCATTGGCACTGAACCAAATACACCATTGCTGAAGCCGAGGACGACCGAAAACATAATCGAGTAGACCTGAAATATGAATAGTATTTATAAAAATAAAATAATGTATAGATAAAATAAATCCAAGAGACCTAACCATCGAAACTGTTGTATCAAATTTTAATTCTATATATATAGAATCCCAACTTATATAATTCGGTTATTTTATGGTTATGTTATGTATTGAGTGAGGACCTCAATGATCTAGTTGATCTAGCACCGTCTCATTTCCGATGATCGTGGGTTTGATTCCTCGCATGATACAACATGGCAGAAACGCTATTTTATTATCATAAAAAAAATATAAGGAGGATAGGGATTGTTAGTAAATGGATTAATAACCCCATTGTTAGCAATATACAATACTGCATGATAAATTCGATGAATGATGAATTTGATAGGATGCTAACTGACCAGACCTCACTGTTATGATGATATCAACCTCCGCTGGTAATCCGCTAGCGTAAACCGTTAATGCAAACAGATGCACCATGCTTTCATCATTGGTTAAAAATATAAAAATACAATAAAAATAATAGTACTTAACAAACAGACACTGTATATGTATAACATTACATAGCTCTGGACCTTATACAATGTACGTTTCAAATTGACATCATATAAAAGAAGAAAATAATTTAGTAAACTCGTCAAATTGTTGAAAACATCACTTCATAATAAAGCATATTACAGCATTAAATGATATCTAGAATATACATTACTCTAGTGTATACGTCTACCTCTCTTGTTTACATTGCTATGTTTGAGATGTTAAATTGTATTTATGTCTTATACTATCATTTGTAATGCAATAAATAAAAAAAAACTAACGTCTCCAACGATATGCGGCGAGTGTCTAGGTGCGGCACAGAGTAACATAAGAGGCACTAGCAGCAGCCTCACACCGCTCGCCATCAACAACTGACTGCGACTCCACTCGTAAGGCCAGGCTGCTGCGATCTGCAAAGACAGTTTCACATTTGTTAGGCAAATAGGTACCTACTGCGAGTAATGATTTTATAAAATTCTTAAATACAAATAACACTACCTTATGGAAAGTGATACATTACCGATACCTGTACAGAAACAGTCTATTTTATATCAAATAATATTAAAAGGCATAATAAAGCCTAGGACAAATTTTGATGAGGATTAAGATGTTATAAGTTAATCTAAGTTATCTTTTGGTACCTACATACAACTCCCTTCAAGTATGAAGTTGTAGGTATGAAAAGAAAATTGAATAGTAGCATAGGTAGATCTACTAATCTAGCAGAATGTACATACAAATTTCAATCACATAATTGGATTAACAGACATCGTACACTAATATGGAAGTAAATCTTTATTATTAAAAGGAATTATGAGAAGAGATGAGATGTCTCTGATAGTTGTTTATTAACATAAGAGATTTACTTCCTAATTCAAATTTAGATATAGAAGAGATCGGAAAGTCAGTCTTATAATTAGGTATTTACTTTTCCAATGAAGTCGAAGAAATTAAACGCGGACATTAATATGATTGGCATCCATGTGCCGAGACGACACGACGGCACTTCCGAAGCTATCCCAGGATACAGGCTGAGTGTCGTGAAGTATACCAGTCCTATGGACACCATATAAGGGTAGATGGCGCGCGCCACCGCCCACCTGGCCTTAACTCCACCTGTAAAATTACGAAATGCATATTAAACTGTATATCACGACGATCATCAGAATTTCATGGGTTGAAAATTGGATAATTCTCAATGTAGCGTCCATTTTTAAATAATGTTAATCAAACACAATTGCCTTATATGAGTATAGATGACATTTTCTAGAAAATAGAAACAGATTTCAGTATTGATCACACTGTTTAATACATGCAAAAAAAGTTTAGTGAAATTGAAATTCCCGATTTTAAGTCGATTGATAAAACTACGTGTCTATTATTATATAAAGCATGGATTGATACTCTAACTACATATATAGACATACCCTACCACATTCTCAATACTATATGTATTATAGTAGAATGAAATGTATAAACATACATGTTGTGTATTACAGATATCTAAATTATTATGTATAAATATGTAATAGATGATAAATTCATTACGTAAATAAACACATAATAATGGATGTATCATTTAACGCATTTTATTTCCGGGATTGATTGTCTTCACAAGTCTGTGAATTTATAACAATGTCGTTGATATAGGATGATAATAATGTTATTTCTCGATGAAGTTAGTTAATCAAGGATTATTTTTGGAAAAAATGTATGTAGAAACTGGAGTAAATCAGTGTAGTTAAGTGTTCATTATATTAATTACGAGTATAGGCATATATATTTTGAAGTAACATAATTATGGAGAGTACCTTAATTAAATTGTTTAAGTATCATCCATTAATCACCCCTGGTGACACATGGCAAGGTTTTAGACCAACATATAAACAATTACGTTTATAGCCTGATATTTTTTTTAGATTATTTTTTGGCATCAAGTAATCTAAAAAAATATCAGGCTATTTAAAATCTAATTAAATTAGATATGGCAATTTAAGTACCGCGATAATGTCCTGACCGACATTCAGATTGTAGATTATTGCTTTTTTAAGCAGTTTATTATAGTAGTGTAAGATTTATATAATAGTATATGGTAAATGTAACTGGCTCCTAATAAAGACACACACTGACACTGGATATTGTCAACTCACCCGGCCGGCCAGCGGTGGTTCTGGGCCAGACGGATAAGGTCTGCCTCGGTGCCACTGTTAGGCAAATTGTAACATCTCCGCTGGAGTTGTACAAAAGTGGAAATTAAAGAAATATAATAATATTAAGTAAATTAAAAAAGGCACGGACGAATATGTTATTGAGGTTTATAATCTAATATACCGAAAAAGAAATAAATTGTCAGTTACTTAGTAACTTTATGTTTAATTTTATGTTTTACACTGCATATCTTGTTTCTCTAATATATGTCTGTGGAAAATTGTATTTAAAAAAAAAGCAGTTTATTAAAACTTTTATGCATTGGTGTAATACCAAAAGCCTGTAATATAGGAAATGTACATAGATAAATCTGTTTAGAATTCACGTGTTCAATGAAAAATAAATACGCTAGATATTTCAGACCCTTTCAATATTTCGTGATTTTTCCGAACTTCCTTACTCTATCGATTCTCTACGTGATTAATAAACAATCCCCTATGACTTTTTATGGGACAGAAAGGTATTTCTATAGTTAATCGAAGAAGTCTTCTCACATTAATTGGTGATTACGTAGGACTTACTTGACAATTAAATACATAAATATTGGAGTTACGTTTAAATGCCCTCCAGGATGTTGGCCTCTCAGGTGACTCAAACACCACATCTTCAACCTTGTAAGAGGGTCGTGGGGTTTGGAGTGCGACGGAGGGCGAGATGGTGGGCTCGGTGCCGCTGGGCGGCGACGCCAGCGACGCGGGCGCAGTGGCAGTGGGCGAATATACTGGATTGGCAAAACTAAATGCGCTCGTCTCTGGTTCCGCTGAAATAAATTAAAAAAGTATTGAATTATTTTTTTGTATTTTATTGTTATATATATGATATTATTATTCTTCTGTTATCTTGTTTACTTTTGATACGTACTATTATATTAATACTATTATAATCCTTCTTAAAAAATCATAATTAACCGGTTTCCATAATTATACTTATCAGTTTAATATACAATATACATAAAGTCCTTTGCTTAAAATATTAATGTAAAACAGTGTTAACGAATTTAATGTTTGCATTAAATTTAGTAGGAAGCCCTAACTATTTTACGTTTATTTTATAATAAATTAAGATGTTGCCAAATTAGAAAGAAGAAATAAAAATTTATTGTCAGTAGGTACAACATCACAATACTATGTATCATCATTTATTTTTTATTGTTGTACCTTGTCCTGTAGCACTGGAAAGCGCTGGGCTTTGTAATTTCAGGACGCCATAACTCGAGTCACCTGCTTCGCTTTCCATCTATAACAAAGTAACAAAGCCTATTAATGCTAAAATGTATATATTATAATAATATATAATATATTACGCAAAATGTACTATAAGATTTGTATCTCTTGTATAATAGTATCTAAATTTTACATAATAAAACAATATTAAAACAACATTCATAAGACTGAAGAAAATCTCTTATTATTATTATAATTTATAAGCAATATACAAAACGAACCTAAATCTGCCGTGATATATAAAGGTGAAATTTTTTTTTTACCAACTGAAAAGATGATTTTAATTTTGACAATATTAGTATCGGATCATTTATCTATATTGTTTTGGCAAAAACAATGCAAAACAATAATTTACTGGATGTCCTTATTTTGTCTTTTGTTATTATAGTTATTAAAAAAAGTAGAAAATCTAAGCCATTTCGAGGATGTGTTTTGAAAGCCCTATTGTAATTTTGTAGATATGCAATGTGATTTGCTACATATGTAGATATACAATATAGTACTGCAACTTATATCCTTAGTGAAAATTATAATAAAATGGAAACTTACAAGAGTAACGTCTTCATTAGGATTTAAATGCAGTTGAATGCGTCTCCGGTGCCTTGATTCGTTTGTGAGCCTCAAATAATGCTGGACCAGTGGATGACGCATCATCACGTGATGCAACATCGAGTGTCCCAGAAGAATGAGTATAGAGAACACGAAAAACATGAACGTGCTCCGTCGAGGAGTGTGAAAACCGTACTTCGTAACGACCCGATCAAGAGACACCCAGAAACCAGCCGCGCCTTGAACAATATTCGAGCAATGTGGTCATCGCATGTTTTAAGTACAATATTCTCGTAGTGATTAAATACAAAACAGATGAATAATATGTACTTATTTTCTGATTAGTAAATTATAAAATAGTGACGGCGGCGTGAAGGCTTCCTCCTTAGCACTTTGGATTTACACATTAAATACTCATTGACAGCCGACAATGCCTCTGATACAAATCTATCTTGGATAAGAGTTGTGAAAATAAGTATCTATACAAAATAGCTACATATATGTGTGCTTTTTGAGTTGGGCTGAAATTAAATTTGGTCTCTTCAATTTTTTTGCCGAATATTAAAAACTAAATTGTAGGTAGGGACTAGCTACCCGTACTTTAAACTTTTACTGTTACATTTATCAAAACGGTTTAAGAAACACTTATAATAATACTAATATTTCCGTAGTCTCTGGTAAAGCTGTTGTCAGATGTTAAGAACCTAGTACAGTAGAACTGCGGAACTGCTAGAAAACCTAGGTCAAGTGTAGTCTCTGGTAAAAGTACAATTGTGAGTTTATAATAATATAATGTATTATAAAATACGTACTTTCGCCGGCCATAACAGCTTGTGTATACCTCGGCGGCAAGCAACCAGTAAATCCGTAGTAAGAGGCCTGTTGGACTGTGCAGCCGAAAGCAACCACACCAATCGCAACCAGATTGATGGTATAGGAGACGTGCGGCGAGAATCCATCCCAGCCGATGTTACATACAGCTACAAACAGCATTGTTGCGAGGGATACTAGTATACCTGATAGTGATATAAATGAAGGAAGAAAAAAAATTATATACATACTATAACTTAGAAATAGGTAACATGTAATTTTTAGGACTATCGAATGTCTACAAAGTCTAACATCTGTCAGCGAAGAAAGAATATTATATTTGAAAAACGAATATTTATAAAATGTTGCTAGCTTTACGTAATATTGTATTGTATAATTACAATACCAAAGGAGAGAAGGTGTAGTAAGTTAAGTGAAGTCATCTTTTTAAGTATACTAACAATTATATCAATATAAGGCTTATACCAAAAGTTATTCTTGTGTTATACGTGAAGAGATCTAGTAGCAAATTATTGGTGACGACCGCTACACAGGCCGAAGTTATGTACACTGTAGACATGTCAAACATGATTGTGGAATCTGGATATTGGTCCTTGAAGTAGTCCACTGCCATTATGAAACTGTAACGGAAGCATACAATTATTTGTATCGAATTAACACAGAAAAGACGATTGCAGTTAATATTATTATCATCTTCGAAAGACAATAATTTAGTAGAAAACAATAGGATAAGGCACGAAAATATCATATAAACATAAAATAATAGAATCTCGTAAGGTTAACAGGGTAATTGTTATTTTTTGTACGTATAATTATGTGTCATGATATATAATCATTATTTACTATTAACTTTATTATATTGTTTATTATGTGTTTTGTTTTTATTTGATTGACAAATCAATTTAAATTACTATCCAATAATATATCTATTTATTGTAAAGTAATTTATTTAAATTTAAAGTAGAGTATCAATCTGATCAAATTCACATCCGTCAACATTGAAAAACTATATCTGGTATATAAATATTAAATAGGAAAATTAAGTAGATAGAATACCTATAATACTTTCATAGAAAACAGAAAAATTACACTTAAACAATATTTATTATTACATTTGTATAAATACAATAATGTGCCCTTATATGTAAAAGCTATTGTTTCAAAACAAGGGTCACAAATATAGTTGTGAAACATATGAGTGATATGCAAATAAAGATATACTTTAGAATAGATATAATGAAGAAGGAAAATAATATTAACGATAAAAAAAATTAATTTATGCTTTGAGAAAATAATGCTTAAATGCCAGATTCGAAGAATAAAAGTCAACCATTAAGTAGATGGTCAAATCAAATCGCTTAAAAATATCAATAGACTTTGCAGTTCTGATAGTTCCATACCTTAATACTAGTTGGAGTAAACGAATTCTGGTAAAATTCAGTGGAATGAGAAGTAGTAGTAATTAAGAAAGTTCCCGAAAGAACGTAGATAGGTTTTTTATCATTAAAGTATATGCATACTATTTATTCGTTGATAAAGTTACCCATAATACTAACTACAGCGGCGTTATACACCGTTCATTATTCCTTTTAGATAATTCGTACATCTAGCATAAATTGGTGGTAATAGGTCTTGCATTCGTGTAAAGTATATTATACTTATATTATTAGCAAAATTAAATACAAATGAACAGGGCATCAGCCATGCTACAAATAATACACATATTTATTTTTACCTACTCTTCATTTCATTATTTTCTATAAGTTTACATTTATATTATTATACATATATGCTATCATTCAGTCATAGTAATAAAGAAGTTATTTACCGACCTGTTAAAGGGCAATAAGAAAGCAGCACCGGCGACAAACAAAGTGAGGTAAACGGAGTTGTATCTATCGGGGGGCGGAGCGCCAGGCTCCGGTACCATAGGTAGGGGCTCCCCACGGGCTGCTCGAATTGCCTCTATTCGGGCGTAGCCCCTTCCTAAAGTCTCGTTCATTTTTGTTTGCTTGTCTAAAATTGTATCACTCTGACATAATTCACAGCACCTACACTGATATAGCTACATACTTAAGGTTATCAATGTTCCTGGTTAATTATTCAGTTGTTTACGGTATTCATATTACAATAAAAAACAAAGTTAATCACTTCACCCATTTCGATACGATTTATTGAGAAAAAATCAAAGTTATGACATAAGTATTATTAGACCGATCTTTGTTTGAAGTATACTTTGTAATTTCAGTCCTCATTCGAATAATGTCTAATCTTTAAATTAGTCTACATTTTTCATTTTTAGTGAAATAACTACTTATATTTATTATTGTTACATATATTGTTTACTTAATTCAACAATAGTAATAAAAGATGTATTCAACCGGCACCTCTGACAGTGATCGGGGGATTTGCTGACGCATGCGTGTCGGGCATCATTGATTTTCAGTGACGATATTTCGTTTTGAGAAAATTACAGACTACCACTATGTAGTAACATCTTTAGTTGTAGTAAAGGATATAATAATAATCATAATAAAATAAATATGCGTTCATAATAAAATTTTGAATTAAAATATATCCAGAATTTTGCAGATAAAATTAAAGCTGTTTAATTGCAACTTCAGGGCTATTTGGGGCATTCATTGATCACTCTCAAACCTTGTAACCTAGTTAGAATCTTTTGCGGTTATTGGGTTAGCTCCATTACGCAAAGGCTCAGGTTGTAAAATGAGCTTCTTATTGAGGTTTTCTTAACTTTTAAGGTTTTCAAACAATACTGTGTTATTTTTTATTATAATTAAAACAACATTGAAGTTTTTCATTTATTAAATAATAAGTTAGTACGTATAATATTCTACTTTTTTGTTATAACATTATAATAAATAAGCATATAACAGTATATAAAGTAAGTGTGATTTTTTTGTTATGGAAAGGGTAGTAAAACATCCCCCCATTATTCCATCACCAAACGGAAGCAGATCAAACATTTGATATTAAATGTAGATAACAGCATAGTTTACTTAAATCTAGGCTCGAATACTAGTCTGAATGGCCTCGCGGATAGCGTTATTCCATCTATAGGCTCTGTTGATGGCATCGGATCGCCCTGAGGTATTTTGAGCGTGAACTTTTGCAGGAGATGTGTCACAAACATAAAGAGCTCAGACTTCGCCAATCCTTCACCTATGCATCGTCTTCTACCTAAAAAACACTTTTAACATTAACATTAAAACATTATAGTTCTTATCTATGTTCACTGAATGGTGATAATGACAACTAATATAATGAATATTTTGATTCATTATAGATGTGCTTGTCTGCGTGTCACCTACATCCATCAATTGTAATACATATTATAAATTATATGTAACAGTTATTTTTTAACTTTCGCGTTTAGTATATATATTATAATATATTCAAATGGGTTTTAACATGAGTAATTTTATGGTAAGTAGTGATGTTAATGTCGATAGGTGCCAGAAGTTTGTTTAACTACTATATATTTTTTTTCAGTGTGCTTAACTTTCACAGGAAACTATGAAAGAAGTACGTACAGTTTTTAAATCAACACCAAAATAAAATGATGCCGAAATTAAGTGTTCGCCGTTAAGTTACTATAGTAACTCGTTCTTTAGTGTATCCATTACATATTAACTTCAAAACAATCAAAACACCGTTGAGAAGATTAGAGAAATTATAATATTTGTAATAATATAAATAAATTAAAGTTTAATCTAAAGTTTCCTTTAGTTTATTTATAATACTTAATTTTAATAATAAGAATATATTTTTATTTCATATATTCCAGTTACCTAAGCCAAAAGCTAAAATCCTTTCATCCTGTACGAGGTTTCCATCCCTAATGAAGCGCTCTGGACGAAACAATTCTGGTTTCTCCCAATCGCTGCTATTATGGAGATCGTGTATCGCTAATAGAACATAAGTACCCTGTAACAGAGAGAATGATACAACAATTTATAACCTTTTGTTACAAGTAAGTAACAGTTTACTCTGTATCGCACTTTGATACGATCGATTGACGAAGGAGATTAGTTTGATTATACGATAATTTAAGGTGCAACCTTTTTTTTATATAGTTGAAATAACAAACCAGCTGACACCCTACCTAATCGCACCTTACAGCAGAAATACCTTACAAAGCAAGCTGCTTGGCGACTGAAATAGGTGAGACTATCTGCATTGAAAGAGACTAATAACCATGATATTCTACGTATACCGAACATTACTGATATCAGAAAATTTCTTGTGCTATCACATGAACATAAAATTCACATGAAAATACACAGGCATGAGATCTTAGTTCTCGAGATTATTAGAGTACTACTAGTGCTTACTCACCACTAGTACTACCACGGTCGTTATATGATAACTTGATGTATATGGTGCTGTTCATGTATACAGGCGACGGTCCTTGCACTTGGGCTTAAGATCGCTTGCTGTTGCAATTACATTAAAAAAAATTATATATCATCAACTGCTTTTTCCTTATCCCATTTTTTTATATATATAAATAAATTTTAGACTCTACATGACTAGAGAGTCATTTGTGTCAACCATGATAATCTAAATAACAAACGTTCACACATCTACTCATTTTTATATTAGTAGTAGGGTATTTTATAACGTTGCAATAATTGTCAATCTTACCTTAGGTATGAGATACTGGCCAAGTAACGCATCTTCGCGCGCCATGTGAGGAATGCCGACAGAAGCCACGCTAGATATACGCAGAGTTTCCAACAACATTGCCTCCGTGTACACCATGCTTAACACAATCCAAAAAATAAACGAATAATAAACATACCTTTACGACTGTTATAATGCATGTGATAGTCAGAGACATTATCAGCTATCGACGTAATGGAGAACGCAACTTGACATGGCAACATTACACTCGCTATATTTTAATTTGAATCCATCACATGTCGTATCACATATTTCCAACATGGGAGAGACTAATCAGAATAGGAATGGTAAACGACGGACGCACGTGATCCAAGTTTCTTCTCTGGCTGCGCTATGCCGATCTTAAGAAATCTAAAATACACTTTTGCATTCCGCTTCGGCATTCCACAATCTAAGCTCCTCGGAAACCGCACGATCACGTGCGGTTCCGACCTGCCGAGATTTAGAGACTACAAAAGTGTATTTTAGATTTCTTAAGATCGGCATCGCGCACGTGACCCATCTGATTTCATGTGACCATAGGCTGCGATATCCATTTACATGATCAGTATCATACATCTGATGCGTATCAGATGGGCCATGTGCTTGATTGCTACCATACCCACCATCGAGGTCCTTCATGGCTTAAATAGGTGAGACTGAGGTTTCTCTTACTCAGATGACTTTTTACAATATACCTGTAGAAAACCACAGAGCAAAGACGCTTAACTAATTATATTACTATGATATCTTACTAATATTAAAAACGCGAAAGTTTATAAGTATGGATAGATGTTTGTTACTCTTTCACGCATAAGCTACTGAACGGATTTTGGATGAAACTTAACAAAAATATATGTAGCTTATACATCAGAATAACACAATATAATTTAAAAAGATATTACGTAAATTGGGCGAATTATACCTAATGATAAATGTAAGTGTAATGCAGACGAAGTTACGCGGGTCAGCTAGTACGTACATATTTACATTAAATGAAAATAATACTTAGGTCGATCATCAAGAGACGGTGATCGTGACAGTCCTATCACGTTGTCAATCTCTGCTTGCAGTAGCTTTTGGACTTCATCATTGCGTACGATATGAAGGAGCATGAATATTGCTGTATTGGTGACAGTCTCCATCCCAGCTTCTAACATATCCAAGCAGACAATTTGAAGTTCCTCCTCTGTAACTGATATATTAGTTCATGGTCGGTAGCTTCATGCAAGTAATTGTATAGTTTGCTGGACAGAATCAGGTCATGGATAGTGTAGTATTATATATATTCAATATTGATTACATAAGTCATCTCGAAGATTTGTTTGTAAAAATAAACACTCTTAAAAATGTTCAGTATTCTAAATTGGGTACAGCTATCATATAAAAATCTATATATACTAGAAGTACAAGTTAAATACATGCGAAAAAACAGACAAAACTTCTGAGCTAACTTACAAAAAAATGCAATCGAATTGTGAACCTCCGTCCCTTTTTTAATTGGGTGGAAATTGAAAAACAAGAATTTTTCCAAATTGACTTTTTAAAACGCGTTCTATATTTACACGTGAAGATTGAAAATTGCTTATTACATTTGCCAGGCGTTTAAATAACGTAGATGGATTATTAGGCATTAATTGTTGTAAGAGTATTTATTACTTTGCTATTATTATTAAAAATATATAAGTTTATTAAGATATTTGAATTGTTTATTTACATAACGATACAAATGACTAAAAAGATTTAAATGATATTTGCCAAACACACAGACATACATAACTACACACTTCCTGAATTCAAGAAGCTGAAAGATTAGTAGATCTGATGAGATATCGAACTATGAAGTACTTTTTAGTCATTACATAGTAATTGGTACAATTTGATACTAACTTGCAGTAGTTTTGTTGTCCATCATTTCGATAAGAAAGGCATCAATTACATCTCTGGGGTTATTAATGTCTATACTATCGCGATGTTCTTTTATAGTTTCCTATAAAAATGTAACACACTTTTTAATGCACAGTGTCAATTATGTTGAAAGAAACATATATCTGCCACATCTTCTTTTTGTTATTGCATTTTGAAACTCTTTAGGGGTGACAGGCATTCTTAGTAACGAGGACCAGTGATCGCATTGCTAGCAACCGAGATCCGGGCAACTTTCATGTGATGGTGATCATGGAACACCTCATGGTTAATTTCCGGTGAATTTGGCACGGTGAAAGAGCGTCAGCGGAGGCAGATGTACTACTCCATTATCATAAAAAAGGAGTTATATAATATTGGGCATCGCATTATAAGACTATAGTATTTGCTTTAAACAAACTCTATAAAAAAATCTAGAGTTGCTGACATTATTAAATATGTTGCGTAGATCAAGCCATTGCCAACTAGTTATAGTTACGTTCAATTATATACAGTTAAAATTATATAGGTAGTATTTACCTGATACAATAATTTATCGCATGAGTAAAATTAGATCTTACAGTATTTTTATAGTGTGTATAGTACATCCGTGAACTAATAATATAAGATATGGTCATGTTTGCTACATGAACTTATTATTATAAATATTGTAGTTATAATCAGTTATTTTACCAAGACATTACGAACAATTTAGTCCACTGTCGATTGTTATAATTATTTACTGCATCTCATAGTCAAGTCAGCTTTGGATTCACGCTATATATCACTCAATTACAATGTGGCTTACTATATTTTTTATTATATTTTATCCAACCAAATAATGACATATTTATAATGTTAGTACAAACATATAAGTTATTTTTTGGGAGAAGAGGTACACATTAATTTTTCACTTATAAATGCACGTTACTGTGTCGATCCTTAATGAAGATTGTTACCTCACTGCTAAGTGTATAAAAATTATGAAACAATATATAATATATAAGAAGCTTACCAGAATAAATCCATGTAATTTTCTGTGAACTGATTTCATTTCATTATATCCAATTAGGTCAGGTACAACATATCTAAGGAAAGGCATGATAGTGAGAACACCGCCGCTCATGTTCGAAAGTCTAAATAATCGTGTGACAAGCTCGCACAATCTTATAAGCCGTTCGTCATTTAAACTGTATCTAAAATATAAAATTATAATACTTTCTAGTATGGAGGACACAGAGTAATATCTTATATGATCAATAAAATTAGAAACATAGGCTAGACTGCTTCACAAAATGGAGAGCCAATGTTCCTCATTTTGGGAAGTATTTCAAAAATATTGTATCTGTATAATCTGTGCAATACCTATGTGGTGCCTAGATATTCTATAAACTTAATTAGATAGTCAATAAACTTTCTAAATAGAATTGACTAAAAGTTATATAAACCAATTAGATTTATAAAGAAGCATATAACAACAAATAAAAGAAATCAAACGTTAAAATGAATTTGTGATTACCCATTCACAATAGTTTAATTGACCATCTTGAAAATTACACTTGGCTTTACTCACTTGAATTTTATAAACTTTTCAGTACAGCGGGCACAGATTTTTACACTGTAATATTTATATATGAGGAAAAAATAACATATTATTCCCTCATATTTACAAATGTACATACCGAATTACAAACTACATGATTTTTTTCATGCAGTTTAGATTTGAGTAAAATAATGCACTAATAGACAGATTTTTAAAATCAGCTGAAATAATGGCCACCCAATCATCATTAAAAAAATACAAATAGTAGGGAAAAAGCAGGTAGATAGGAATTTTTTTTTCTATAGAGCATCACTGTTATGCGAACCATCCAGACGTTCTCCAAATCTGGATCATAAATTTTGAAATAATCTAGGACTAAGGGAAACGTTCACAGACAGTTCAATATGTGAGATCTAGGAGCATTATTTAGCAAGTGGTTTTCTTCAGTTGGACTACAGCGGTTGGTCTATTAGCGTAAACGCGACTCTAAGGTATCCACATTGGAAAAAACCGAGTGGAGTAAGGCCTCTGGGCTCTAGGGAGGCCATGGAATATTTTAAACAGCCTTTCTGGCTCATCTTATACTATACATAAGATGTAGAAATATATTTACGGAATGGATTACCTCAATTAAAAATATAATAAAAATCGTTATGCAGAATGCGTTATTAAATGTAGGAAAATACGAGGGGAGCGGTATTTTTATAATAAGTGATAAACAAAATTAGAGTTGAATTATTTCGAAAACTGTACGATAAAAATAAACGATAACATTGCCCAAGACGAAATAAAGAGAATAAAAAAAATGTTATGAATTGCTTTGAAAAGATGATACGGGTGTGTTATACTTGTTTGTTCGACTTGACTTGAGGTCATTAACGTGATCCCATCCCAAGATACATCATACATACGTATTACTTCCCTCAGAGAATGAGTGATAAAGATTTTTAAATATTAAGCATTTGTCAAATATATTGATATTACAGTACAGTTCACTTTGTACTCCACATTTGAGACGGAATAAATTAGAGGACATGGAGATCTTATCCCTTAGCCAATGAAAGTGAGGTACTACAATGGTCTCAATATATTTTATGATATCGTAGTGCTATTTGTCTCATTACAAGCTTCCATCTGGTGGGCAGCCAATTTGTATGGCCATTTAAATTATGTAAAAAAACTTACTTTAATTTCATATTTAATAATATACCAATATCTAATGTAGAATGATGGCCAAAATTAATACCCTAAATCAGTAATTATAGATTTTTTTAAACTTTATACCTTTTACCAGCCACTACACGCCACAATATATTGGTGATTGGTACATGAAACATTTGATTAACAAGAACTGGTGTACCAGCATCAGACATTCGCAGTTTGATGAGATCTCTGCACTCTTCTGTTATAAGACACTCCATGGACCGAGTGCCATAGCCAAAATGTTTTAAATACTTCAATAGAACTCGTCTTGTTGAAAACCACGTGGAACCGTCGGAAAATACAATACCTGTATTATAAGTATAAACAGAATCAAAAGAAATATAGGTGTTATAAATTACTATATATATAGTTGACATTCTATTACAGTTACAGTATATATCAGTATCAAGGACTTCAGAAGGGGTACTATTGATTTTACATATGTAGTATAATTTTTTGTATATTCTCTTATCTGAAAAGAGATAGTACGGGGGAAGGGTTAATGATAAATTCCAGATGTGCTATATGTACAATAACTAGGTACTTAGGCTGATTAATTATGAAGGTTAATCGCTTAAATTTTGAACTTACCTATTTCTATTGACCTATTGACATAATATTGCTTACAAGTTCTCGAAAGTGGCTAAAACCTATTTTTGACACTTATTGTGTACTGTTACCACTTTTAGTCATATGGAAGCATAGTTTGTAGGCTCAATTAGTAGTATTTAAAAATCTTTCATCTCAAAATATAGGTAATTATTGCAAATAAATTTCAAAGAACTTACCCAATTTTTTTCCAAATGACCTCATTGTATAAAGAAATCCGTCAGGTCTCGAATCAAAGACTTCCCTAGTTGATACTTCTTTTATTAATTCTCTTCCAGAAACAATTACAATTTTTAACAATCCAAATTTCAAACCCAGAATATTGCCGTAAACTTGGAACCATGATTGCCATACTCTATGGTGATACTTGTATTTCTTCAAATCTGACCATACTGATAATATATTTCCAATTATAGGTAACGATCTAGGCCCTAAGAATTAAAAGAAAAGTCTTAAAAAATACAGCAAGTTGAATGCCTTAAATAATAAGTAAGACGTCTTTAACCTGGCGGATACGATGCTTGGCTAGATGTTTTCGTTTTCAGAAAAAAAGAAAATAATAATATACCTACAACGAACACCCACATCTTTACTAACCAAATGCCGGAAGAAAATAAAAGTATGTAGTAGTAACATAAAAAAATGTTCATATGTACGCAGGTACAACATAACTAATGCAATGATACCATCACAAAATGCCATTGTATTGTCATTCTTTAGAAAACGACTCGAGACACCAATAAAATATTCTAATTTATGAACTGATTTAGAAATAAAATTATATACTGATTGATTTTTTAGTTCTGCGTAAATAATCAAAGTAAGTATGTAAGTAGTGAAAATTAAATATTCAAGTAGTAGTATAGTAGACATGAAACAAATTTTCAGAGAAAACGTATTTCATACGATCGTTTTTTGCTTTTTAACGGATATCAAACTTGTTGATTTTAAATAAGTGTACTCTTCGTATTTGTAAGTTTTACATATTTTTTTTACAAATTGCATATTTCCCGGACACACAATTTTAATTTTATCTTTCTTTTAACTATTCGACAGGAGGTCCTTAAAAGACGCGTGTTTTTCAAATTCTTAATTAAAATTTTCAACAGCAATCAGAGTCAATTTGCGATCCGAATTGAATCATCTCACTGATAAGCATGGAGCAATAATAGTAAACATGTACAACAACAAAACTAAAAACGATAATCAGTAAGAGCAGCGTCAATTGAGTGTATATAATAAGAGTAGGGTTGTTGGTCGCGCATTGCATGCCAGTATACTGGACATAGTGGACTATACACCTCGCGACGCACGTTGTATTTATTAAAACTCATTTATTATAAAGTGCAGTGATGGCACCGATCAATGTAAACGACATGGGCGTTACGAAGGATTTTGTTTCTGCCAAAAAAACCCTCCCAGAGGTGGACGCGGAGGGCAACGGAAATGGAAGTGCAGCAAATGGGTATGTCAATTGATTTGCAGATAACAGTATTAAGAAAAAGCAGTAATTCAGTTATCATTATCACTTGATATTAAATAAACATGTGTGTGTGAATAATAATATTAAAAAACTATATTTATTTAAAATATTTCGTTTTCAACGAGTGTAATTGTGTGTCTTTAGTAATTCTATGTGGACATATCATTATGTTTAATAGTTAAATTTTAATAGAGTAAAAGTAGTAGTAAAAGTAAAATCATCTGGTAGGAATGAAAAAAAGTCTTGCTCACATACACCACTCGAAAATTTGCTTGAATACATTAAACTGCTTAATGCATGCATTGGCATAGTTAAATCTTAATAGCATTTATTATATTTATTACACTTGTGTACATTAAAAAATAACTTTTATAGAAAATCGTGAGTAAGGGTAGTATTATTGTATTACTATTTGTACTTGTTATTCGTAATTTACTCTATATTAACAGATAAACAGGATAATATTGGATGAATCATCAGACTATCAACCATAAATTATAATATCTAGCTACAATTATATAAGACCTACTACAAACCACAGAATTAATAACAACCTACATATTATATATATATGAGTAGGTATATATGTATCCATAAAAGTCAATCAATATTACGAGCGTCGTCCAAAAAATGGTCGAAAGACATAATGGTATATAGTACAGAAATGAAAAACCAATGGAGAAGATTCACATAAGGCTCTGAAATTGTCAATTGAAAGCTTATGTTTAACAATAATTGTTAGTTTTAATATAGGTATATACTTTCTAGAACTTATTTGCCCTTGAGTCCTGAAGCGTGGTGGACTAAATTTTATTCGAGTTACAAAGCCAATCGTTTATTTAATAAGAAATACTCGACTGCTTCGGTGAATGATGTTGATAAATATATTTCCTAGAATTTTTTATCTTTGTTTATGATAACAACTAGACGAATAAACATGTTGCATTCATATCTATATATGTAGTATTCACTAATAATATAATCTTACAAATATCGTTCCAGCCATGATAACAATGTAAATGGCTATTCTAGACCTATAAACGTGAAAGACAGAGACAATACACAATTTAACAAATTTGTGTTATTATGAAATAGATTAATAATGAATTGTTATTAATTAAAAAAATACAATGTATACTAATTGAATAAAGATATGGAACGCCTACTATTTAAAGAAACGAGTTCTTATCAACAATATTCCACAAGAAAAAATACCCGCAAGTAATATTTCCCGCTCCACTATTTCTTAAAATTAAACGAAATTTAATAATAAGGCATATAAACCTGAGCCGGGTTTTTGCTAGCAAATATATCGACAAATTATTCAATAAGCTTTCAGTAAAAAATTGCTGATATATACAGTGATACCAGTCTATAGAGATAATGACTTCATATAGAGGCATGAGGTCACTATAGCGACCCTTCTTACACCACTATGTGGAGTTTTAGCATGATTGGCTATAATATTAAATCTTGACGTATCTTTTCTTCGACGTTAACGACCTGCAACGACCGCCATCAAGAGCTGCGATGCATGAACAGTTAATGACGGCCAACTGCATTCTTTTACGTACGTGTTACGCCTGGAAACCGGTTTAGTGCAATGTTATTTAAGATATTTGCAAATATTTGCCAAAAAGAGAATATCAAATTAACTTTGGTGATGAATGAACTGATTGTACAGAGTAATGATACAAGAAATCTATTGAATTTAAGTATCTACTCCTGGTCATATTTTTTATTTACTTTATGTCTAATCTGAATGTATATATAGATATAGAAACAGAAAGATTTCTATCTACTATTTCTTCATTATAAGAGCAACAAAAGTAAAAAAATCACTCTTCAGAGTTTTTACTTTTGTTGTTTTTTGGAAGGACAAAGGCATTTTAGGCAATAGAGAAAATTTCTCTATGTTTACTGAAAGATGTTTTAGCGAGTTTTAGCTTAAAATATAGGCTTATTTTAGGGAAAATAATAATTTATTACGTGCGAAACAAGGATGCTTTTAAAAAATGAGAGAATATCTAAATAACTTAAGCATGTTAAAGCATTTGTGTAGAATAAAACAACTTACACACGCCATAATAATCAGAGCCGCATCACTACCACTCAATCGTAGCAGTGGCTTCCTAGATCTTCGCAGGTTGTAGCGAAACAGGTATGCAGAGCTTTTGGTATATTACCTTTGATTTTAGTGTTAGGCCGTGTAATCTCTTTGTGATAAATAGGGTATGAAATGAAATGACTCCACTAAAAATAATCTCTACATCGATGTGGTCGAATTCAAAAGAAGTAGCTATAAACAATAAGCGAAAGCGTATCTGTTAATAGGCAACTAACTAGAAGAATTTGTCCATATAAGTAGATAGTATACATTTTATAAATATAAACAAATCAATTTCATAATTTAATGATATGTAATTTATATTGGAAAAATACATCCAGAAAGCAAATAAAACACATTGTTATCTGGTAATAAATAATATTTTACGAGTTGAGTTAATTCGGTGATAGTCAATGTATACAAACATTTATGTGTTTATCTGATGACTGTGTTCGTAGGGGGTAAAGTATTTATTTGTAAAAACAAAATAGTAGCTCTTACAGCATATATATATATTATATGCGGCTATACATAAAAGGACCAAAGTATGTAATCCCTATGTGTTAATTGGATGTATCAAACGTCTATAAATCAACATCACAACTCGAAAATTAAAAATGCAATTGAGATAGATACCTAAATATAATATTTTGTACGCTAAACTATAAAAGATCGACCTCAGTTTCACCTATTTCATCCGCCAAGCTGTTAGCTTTGTAAGCTATGTTTCGATTGTAGGGTATAGATTAGTCAGTGATATGACAGGATACGAGGCATGACGCCTTAGTATTCCCGAATGGCAATACCTGTGAGATGATGTGACGTCTGTAATGCAGTTCATGGATATAGGTGACTAATTTTCCCATTACAATTGTAGTAGTCTCCAAGGCATTGTCAAAAATTATTTCTGTAACTTATGCGGTTCATAAGTGAATTATATTTTCTATATACCTATTACAGATATTCGTATGAGACGCTACAAGAGATTGCCAACTTCCTGCTCACGCGCACCACAATCCGGCCCACTATTGGCATCATTTGCGGTTCTGGGATGGGTGCGTATTGGAAAGACGGTATTTATTATTTCATACTATTCATGTAATACGCACTATTCACACTAAATGGTTATAGCATGGTTATACCTATATGTGATAGCAAATTTTAACGATCCTACGAATAAGTAGACTTGTAATAACAAGTGGGTAATACCTAAGAAAGATAGTGATATAATAGTGAGGGATACCATATTATGTGTATGTTAATCTGTAAGGTTTAATATATAATATTAAATTGCCTCTAATAAGTTAATCAAATAAATGAAAAAAAAACCCATGTATTTATTTTATTTTACTATTATTAAATTTTGCACTAAAAACGATTATTTAAGGCAGTAGGTCTACCACGAAGTGCAATTCCGAAATTTCGGATCGATATTTCGTGTGATTCGTACCATGAAAAACGTTCATTCCGAAATCGTGCCCGAAAACGGAGAATATCGTTTCGATCGTCCCAAATCGTACCATGAAGTATCCGTTCGTACGTGATTATGACGTTTTGACAGCACGTTTATCGTGATTTAAAGTGCGAAGTAGACGAAACCTAAATAGTTAACTTTTTACTTTCGTAAGTATGGATTTTACGTATATAAGTGCTGTAATATATAAAAAAGTGATTAATTAATAATTCAGTTAATGTGTTACAGTGAATAATGTGATAAAAGTTAAACTAATTAGTGTTTTTAAATATTATTGTGTTCAATGTAACCTACAACTTAGCATTACTTTATTTTGATTTAGTTTCATTATGCCAAGATTGGCTGGAATTTTAGAAGCCCTCAATGAAGAAGAAATTGAAAGACGCAGGTTTAAAAGAAAAATGCGTACTAGGTACCTCCAAAGATCCATTCCCGACTTCGAGTTTGTATCTAAATACAGACTCAGTCGGGAAGTCTTCGAGAATCTTTGTCAGTATGTGGTACGATTATTACCCCTGCCTAAAAATAGTCGACTCATCTAAATGCATAAATACATTTGTTAGCGCTTGTCATAAATAGAAACTAATAAATAAAATCAAAGTTATTAGATGTTCATTTTCATTGATGTTTAACGAACAAATTTAGCAATAAAAAATTATTTAAAAACACTTGTGATGATAATTCTTAAGTTTATATATAAAAAAATAAAAACAAAAATTCAAATGTAAATAGAGGTTTGACGTTTTCTTATGACATAAAATACTACTAATTTTAGAAGTTTATAATTTCAATACATTTAAATATAAACGACTGTACATTTTATTTTATCCGGAGTATACCACTTTATTTTTTTCCTAATTTAAGAGTGTATAATAAAAGACTTCTCATCTTTCATTCGTTCACGATCATAGTCTATGGTACCCGTCCGAAATATCTTATTCCGAAGAAACTTCATGGTTCCTTTAAACTAGTATTTCGGTCGTCTTTCGTTTCGTTACGCGATAATCGGCAGTAACTTTCGTGGTAGACCTACAGGATACTGTAATACTAACGAACTCTTTTGTACGTTTACGTAATGATATCGTGCCTACTTGGCCGTCTATCTTAATTGGAAATACAATAAATACATTTGTCAGAATTTAACCATATACTTACGAGTATATAGTAGAATACATAGCATAAAATACTTCAACCGTCTAGTAATAAAATTATTTTTCTCATTTCTTCTTTCAGTTTGGTATCACATATTAATGTTTTGCGATTAAACATTAAACTGTCAATAAATTTTAGTTGCTACCGTAATTCTTGCATAATAATAGATATAAAATACGACACAATGTGTGTTGATGATGTTGGTGTTCTTTTTCATTTCATTTCCAGTAATGCTACTCAAAACTCAAGTTCACAAACATTTATATATAACAATATAACGTGCATAAGCAATCTTTATCGTTCAGTTCACCTACAGTTGAGAAGAACTTGGCAAGAAGGTGAACAGGTGGTAGATTTTTTGTTTTTTTTAGTCACATTTTACTTGTACATACGTCTCTAGAGGCCCAGGATTCAACCAACCTCTAGCGAATTATAATTCAACACATTATCTAATATACAAACTTTGTCATTATCAAATAACACAAGAGGGTATAATTTCCTTATGTCATATCTTCTACTAAAATTATGTTTGATATTTATGTTCATTTTGTACTAACCTTTCATGTACGGGGATTCAAGAATTAAATTATTTCGTATAAATAGATTGTTATATGTTTTTAAAAAATTGTTTATTTGACTCTTCTATAGGTTCTTTAGCAGAAAGTATAATGGATGCTGAAAGTATACCTTATGAAGAGATTCCAAATTTTCCGGTGAGCACCGTCGAAGGCCACCATGGAAGGTTGGTGTTTGGGCGACTTGATGGTGTGTCTGTGGTCGCCATGCAGGGACGCTTCCATTATTACGAAGGATATCCGCTATGGAAGGTAAGAAAGTATTTATTTCTTACACTACTTTTCTTACCTTTTCTATTTCTATTTCTCTTCCTTACCTATATGAATAAGAAAAAGGTGCGGATATTTCTCTATTAAGGGCCAATTAAAAGAAAATAATATTTTTTGATTTACTACAGTGTCGCAAAAAAAATGATTAGGTACTCATATGTAATTTTGCCGGATATGTATTCATGCTTTTTTGTATATGTTTTTATCTGTACCCTCATAATTTCTAAACTACTTATTTAATTGAACAAATCTGGTCTCGCTTTATTGCTTTGGATCAGTTTACATACTAGAGTACCTACATAATATATTTTATAGATTGTCCCTTATTATGATTTATTATTAAAACTAGTGCCTTAGACACCAACTGAACATTTTTGCTCTCCAAACCGTTATTACTTTAATTCCGACTACTAAAAATTAGACAACAAGAATATATTCTCATCTCTACCTAATTGTTATCTACAAACTATCAATAATTTTAAATAAACAGTTTAGTTTATACTTACCTAACTATGACTACACTACAGATTTATTACCATAGTCTTGTTCTATCAACATTCATGAACTAACAAAACAACAATTAACATAGATAAGGATGGAAATATTACTTCGGTAGTCTTTGAAAATATCTCGACGCTGCCTCGTCTCGACTCCGACCCCCAGCAGTCTATAGGTTATCGCTTGTTTTGAATAGATTCTATAGGTCCGTAAAGAAGACGTAATAGTCGTCACTCTTTCGTAATATCTAATGATTATCAAGATGTTTGTGACTGTAGCCCATCTATAAGGTAAAGGGCCATATTATGGAACATTGTACTAGTTTATGAAACAAGTGATAAAAATCCGAATTACAAATAATTTCTAACGTATTCAGTATTTATAATATTATCTTTATGTTCTTTAATAACCTATTTATTGATTAAATTAATTTATTTTTGTAAACACCTTAAAATGTATACAAAAAAAAAAATAGATGAAATGCCCGTGTCAGGTTGCATGAAAAAAGACTGTCTTTTAGAGTTAGAGAATGACACGTGTCATCACAATTGTTTTAACAATTTGAAATATTTGTCAATGATACAAAAATACTTGAAACATGTCAATCAAAAGTTTGACTTATTATCTATTGATTGATAATGAATTTAAAGTACTTTAATAAGGTATTTATTTTTTATTTAGGTGTTTCATAATTGCCGCAAAAATTTCTAAACAGACCGTATTTATGGAACAGTATATTCAGTGTTCCACATCCCCCTCACATTCGATTTTCTTAGTTGTCCGTAATTATGAAACAGCAAAAAGTGGACAATATTTAGTTAATTTCGTGTTAATCATTGTTAATTAATTACAACAAAGCAATTTACGTTAGAACAGTTTATATTTCTAAAAATTTGCATTTAGATATGTACATAGATTGTAAAATTCTATGAAAATGAAAATAACCTCAAAAATGAATAAGCTGGATGATAAATATTGTTTTATATTAATTAAAACATATACTTAAGTGGAAAACCTGCCTGAAAAAATTAATAACACTTTATTTAATTCAAAATTTTTACGAAGCACCTACATATCACATTTTTATAGATGTTTTTAAATTAATAATTTTTGTAGGTAGATACATTTTTTTTATAGAATTTGATATCTTTATTCTATAGATTTATTTTATATTGTTATTTTTTTTTTGATTGTTTGGTATAATTTTTATAATTTGATATTGGTTGGTTTTCCTGAAATAAATAAACTAACTGTCAAAGAAGTGACGTTGGTAAATTTGAATTTTTAGAGAAAGAACAGAACAGTAAGAAAATAATTTTATTAATAATCAAATCGAATGATAAAACTAATGATTACATGACACTTAACAATGATTGTCATTCTTCTAATAAATATTCTCCTCTGATAAATACCAGTACCCAGTCTCAACAAAGCAGCCATTCCTGAGGTAATTACTGTATGAAATTATAGTATAAAATGAACCTTAAATATGGTTACTGAAGCTCATTCTGGTATTTATGAAAGTAGTAATTTAAATTGACTAAATTTAACTAATATTTTGAAGCGTAATGTTGGTGATGAATTAATATTTGAGTTGAATTTGAAGTCAAGAAAAAATAGATTAAAGTTGAGTCATCAGGTAAACTCAAACTACCTTCTGCTGGCACATCTGATCAATGGATGCAATATGACTCAAAAAAAGAAACTGATCGTAAAACTAAAGAAGAAAAGCTACATAAAAGAAAACAATTACTAAATGAGAAAAAAGTGATAGCTGATGAACGGAAAAAGCTACTAGAGAACGCATTACTACAAAGGATCAAAGAAGAAATGAAATAGTTGAATTTTTGGTTAAATTTAATGTATATTTGGTTTTTATATCTTGTTTATTAATGCTAAGATTTGAAACTGTTTTTGTCATACTTACTTTGTAAGTGAATATTTATTTATTGCTTGTTTATTCGTATAATTTTTAAATCTAACTGTATTAATAATTAGTAATAAAACTTTTGATACTATGAATAAATAAATTAGTAACTGAAAAATGTTTTTAATGCGAGTACTTCAGTTCATTTTGAGTTCCATAATTTGGGACATTCCCGATGGAACACCCGTACGTGTTGCTTTAGACTGTTTCATAAATACGGCCGTATGTACTTGTCTGTTACTTTATTCAATTTATTAGCATTTTCAACTAAAACTCACTTGATAATAATTATTATCACTTCAGTAGATATCAGGCAAACTATTAACTTAGAAAAATTCAATGTTTCAACTCTATTTTTTTTTAAACAATGTAAAATATTCAACTCCTACTCAAAAGGTGTTTCATAATATGGCCCTTTACCTTATTTATCATAACACATTTTTATCTAAAAAAGTAATCTGCATATATCTCTGTATAACTTATTTCTATATTTATGAGGCATAGGAAACGTTTGGGACAACTACATGGATCTAACAATCGCAACTCGAATTATAAATTTCTTGCCGCCGGGTCCAATTAATTAATATTAAATATACATAAGTAATTGTGAAAAATTTGATACCTATATCTTCGATACCCTGTTGTATTATTCGGCGAAATATATATATATAACTTAATTTTACAGTGTTGTTTACCAGTTCGTGTGATGAAACTGCTGGGCGTAAAGACCCTAATTGCTACAAATGCAGCTGGTGGACTGAACCCAAGTTATAAAATTGGTGATTTAATGATAGTAAAAGACCATATAAATATGATGGGTTTTGCCGGTAACAATCCTCTACATGGACCCAATGACGAGCGATTCGGACCTCGATTTCCGCCTATGAGCAAGGCATATAATTATGAGTACAGAAAATTAGCTAAAGAGGTAAGTAAATCACAGAAATACTCAGATGTCGAACGTTTTGAAGAAGTAGTGTGGACTTCCACTTTTTTGGTATTCCATGACGCCTTCCATACTGTTAAAGTCTGACAACTGTAGAAAGTAATAGAATAGAAAATCCTTTATTCACCATTCCACTTTTGAATAGTCATAACATTTTTTTTTTAATCTACCGATAATTCGGAACACTTTCTCATTACAAGAAGCTTGTATAACCTGAAAGTAACTCTACGAGACAGCTCTATCCTCGATTTTGGAGAAACCGAGCTGAAAGAGAGGAGGATAGGTCTTTCTCAATATGCCTCATTAACTAACAGAAGATGGGCTTCCTTAGTTCCTTAAGTCCTTAGGTTCATACATTAGAAGAAAACTTCTGATCTCTGGGTTTTCAGCCATATTGTGAAGGTTCATATATAATATGATTTTGTAATGAATTTAAGATTTCCATTTACGTTCCTTTCGTGATGAAAAATGGAATACAAGATATAGGTTATTAATATGAAAACCGCGAGGCCGCTCAAGTTTTTGAGTAAGCAGGTCTGCATGTTTACACTGTCATAATATTACTTTGCAAAAAGAAAGTATGTGTTCACCATAAAATTTTGCAAGATTAATTTCATTGAATTTTAATGTAGTATAGATAACCTAAATTTTTATATTGCGCGTAATTTTAAATAACCTACTTCACGGTCATATTTTTAACAATACTATCAAGTAAAAGGTTATCTAAGACCACGAATGACAGCCAGTTAAACGATAATTTTGTTCAGATTAACTACGAAATCGTAATGTCATTTACAAAGTATAAACAAATTTTAGGTGGCGAAAGAATATAATATAGAAAATATCGTTAGAGAGGGGGTATACACATGCCTTGGAGGACCGAATTTCGAGACAGTAGCCGAATTGAATATGTTGAAAATGGTTGGAGTGGATGCCGTTGGCATGTCTACTGTTCACGAGGTAAGGTGTAGACATAAAGTTCGCTAATTCTTTATTATAAGATGAAGGGTATTGTTATGTTAAAGCCATTCTTCTAATGTTCCTGACTGCTATTGAGTCTACACCCTTATATAACCTCGTTTAGGCGTTCAAATGCACAACACTGTACTGAATATATATATGATGAAATGTCTTTATACTATCAAGACCTAAGTTTAATCAACTACATTATATTACAGGTAATAACTGCGCGGCATTGCGACTTGAATGTCTTTGCTCTATCATTAATAACGAATGAATGCGTCACAAGTTACGAAGCAGATGAACAAGCGAATCATGAAGAAGTCCTTGATGTAGGACGTATGCGCCAGGATGTACTTCGCAAGTTTGTCTCTAGATTAGTCACTAAGTTCCACCAAATCGACAGTGCTTCCCCATAAATTAGAACCACCTTTATACAATATAATGAACATTTAAGACTGTCTTGGATTTCATGAACTGGTGATTCCCACATTTTTTATTTTATTGTGAAATCACAAGTCGTTATTAAGTAGGTATATTCTGATAGATAAGTATGTTATTCTCTTCCTGTCCAAGAATGACCAACATTTCTAGAGTTGTGTAGGTACAAGGAGTTATTACGATAAAGTTTATCTAAACCTAGTAAACAGTGGATAACAAAAATAACTGCAGTGATAAAGCAGATTCTGAGAATTCATTGAATTATATTTTAATTATATAAATATTTGTATACTTGTATATTTGCAAAACACAAGTGTATTGTAATGTGTAGATATGAAAATACAACAATGTTAAACATATAAACTAGTGTGCAAAACAATATACTCCATTAATACGATTCCAAGAAACACTATATTGATTGTCAATACGCACTAAATAATTTGAAATATATGAATGCTGTACGGATGTACAAGCTTTTACCTTTTTGGTACGAAGCCGTACAGATACACAGAATCTCGAGAATAATATAGGTATCAAGGAAAAATCTACAAATTTTAAAATTGTAAATATGATTTATTCTATATATTTAAGTATTTAAGTAAACTATGTTTGTGCAGTAAGTATTTTATATAAGGAGGCCACATCCTAAGTTATTTATTTATATAATTACTATTAAACTTATAGGTACAACATTAATATCAGCCAGTAAATGTTACTTAATTAATCCATAAAAATACCTCGTACTCGTTAATTACTGTAGCTTTATAGCCATATGGAGAATAGAGTTTTAGGAGGTTTTGTATAAGCAGGTTATCTGTTTAAAGCCGGTATATGTTTTATATTTAACTTTATAATGTAAGCAAGTGTATATTCAATTTAGTGCCTATATATATTGATATAGATACTAAATCAATTTCTAATGATAGAAGCTATATCTAACTGAATCTGGTCAGCGACTGGTACACCCACGAACACGCAGTGGGATGGAGATTGAGATTGGGTCAACAAAGATCTTTCTGTTTAGCAGTCTTTGGCTGTTTCTTCCACATTAGCTTCGTTCCAGCTTCTATAAAAAGAGTCCAAAATACAAATACAAAAGTTCATTAATTAACAGGCGCCGTCATCTGTATCAAATTTTGAGGATTACGAAGATAGTTGACCGTCATAAAAACAAATTTTTTGTACAAAACATTACCAATAATATTAGCCAAATTGATTAATCTAAAAATACATATTACCTACATATCTAATGGATATTACTAGTTTCTGAAATATTTGATAGCGCAAGGATCACTGCCATTCACATGAGGGTGTTATCTTTTACGTTTGAAGCTCTTTTTTTAATATGTATTTTAGTGATAGATACATATGTATATATCACTGTAAGTAATGCAAGTAAATAACTAATGATTTACTTATACACAATAGATGTGACTCATTTCATTTTCAAAACAATAACAATATTTCTGTTCATTGAGCAACATAAATACTTATTTGTTATTAGACTGGACATAATATTTTTCCACTGTAGCTGCATATATTGATAGCCAATGATGATGATGGAATGTTTCAATACTTTTTATGTAAGTTATGTACCTAACTGTAATAATATTTTAATGAATATTGAAATATAACAAATTGAATTTAAAGAATTAAGATACAATAATTTTGTATAGTGCACGTACCTACTAGATTGACTATGTCGGTTCTCATGACACACTCTATCTATATGTCAAATTTAATTAAGATCTGTTCAGTTGTGTAGTCATAAAAGGCAACGAACAGACAAACAACGCTTTCTTATATATATTAGCATGGATATAAGTTACGACCGCCGAAATAAAAAGCTATTAAATATACTGTCTATATCTTTTTTCATTCCAATTGATTCAACAGGCCTCTATCGGTCTTCTTAACTTGAAACATAAATATGAAGTCATATTTATGTATAAGATATTGAGAGAATATTTTAACAATAAAGTAGGTATTTATGATGTCTTGCATATTTCTGCTGGACATATTATTTAAGACGAAAAAAGTAAAACGAATTCCATCCTTACCCAAACTTGACACATTTACTAGCTATTAGTAAAAGAATTTTCTAAATCGGTTCAATAATTCCAGGGATTACCCCCTACAAACTCAAACTTCACCTCTTTATAATGTAGATTTTTTTTTTTGAGTCAAGATGTGAGTTTAACAGGAAAATAATATCAAGTGGACATTTATTAAAAAAAAAAAATCCGTCGGATTTGTCGGGCTGATCTGTCATATTAGTACGTGATAAGATTAAAGAGTTAGTTAGACACACTTAGGTTAGTATTGGTGAAGAGAAAGCACATAGATGTGGTCTATGAGAGATCTCAACTTTTATATCAGCTCGACCGATCACCGATGGTGCCAATGTGTATAGTGCCCCTTATCCTGCATGGGTTGGGGGAAAAGAACTAATGGTTATGTGGACTATTGGTCCATTACTAGTATAATGAAACACTAATGACATGATACACAACATTAACTGTTTAATCAATAATAACTAATTTAGGTATTACATATATACCTGCATATGTATGCTTACATTCTATACATCGAATTCTTAAGATGATGATGATGATTCATGCATTAATTCACAAAAATATATCAGTTACCTACATAGAGAGCACTCCTTTTCTTTTTTTAATTTTTTTTTTCACGTGTAAATTTACCTTGCAACATTTGAATACAATTTTATTCAAATGTTGCAAGTTACATTTAACACACGTTGGTTGTCGTGATCATAGATAAGGGCACCTAAATATTAACAATAAATTTTAAGGCGTTAGGAGTAGACAGAATTGTAAAAAAATATTTTATTTTTACATTTTTATAAAGTATTCAATATTAAAAATATTCTCTAAATATTTGAAGACAATCCGATGAATACTTTTCGATTTATTGAACAATGAAGGACGGGATATCTGACGTTTTTTTTTCGTGCTTCTGATTGACCTTAATATACCTTGGTAAAGAGGATCTTGTACGATAATCGGAAATGCTCATCGCAATGGCTGAACCCTGCCCTGCCCCAAGCGAGAATTGACTCAAAAAATGTTATTTGTGAGCGTTTGGAGGACTAGTGAAGGGTTTGTTCACTTTAACTTTCTTAAATCTGGCCAGACTATTACAGCAGATGTGTATTGTTAGTAATTGCACATCATGATGGAAAAGCTAGCTGCTAAACAACCGAGGCTTGTCAATCGCCGTAGGCCACTGCTGCTACAGGACAACGCTAGACCACACACTACACTTGCAATTAGAAGACCTTTAATTGGAATGTCGAAGACATGCACTGTACTACCAGGACCTTTCTCCAACAGATTACAATTTTTTCGAATTTTGGATAACTTCTTGCATGGGAAAAAATTCAACTCCGATGATGGGGCCGTCCAAAGCGCCTTTAAAGAATTCCCGTCCGAATGTTTTTTTTAGTAAAGGTTCGATTAAATTAATTTATTATATTAAAAAAAAATCGACTTTATGTTACTCTCTTACAAAATGCCAATTTTATATATTAGGACCTAATACATATGACACTTTTTAATTCACCCCTAGAACATACCAGACAAACATATAGGTAATCGTGATACATTTTTGACAATTCCATTAAAATTTTGATTCGAACAATCTTCCCAGCTACAGTAATTATTCTTAAAGTTTAAATATTTAGTTATAATGCTAAACATACAGTAAATTGAACCAGTAATAATAAATTGCTTAAAATAAGAGTGTATATAAATAATGAGCGAAGAGAAGTAAATGTAAACACGAATCTATACTACGTTACAATCATTACATACATTAGGTTATCATCATATTTTTTATAATTGACTTATATACCTACAGGATATATATAAAACCCTGTCCGAAAAAGATGTATTGATATTAAAAAATCAAATTAATTAATCATATACCTCGTTGAACTGGAGCCTGTACTAATTTAAGTTATTGTAATTAAAGATTTCTGATTACTGCGACACAAGCCCTTGGGCTTACTATAGGGATTGGTGTTAAAATATTTTGTCTATTACCATTGATGTAAACTGTACAAATAAATAAATAAATATTACTTAAATAAAAATGACATTATAATTTGAATGATAGATAAATAACACAGTACTCAATCTCTGGTCCACAAATATCATGTGAGTAAAGTACTGTAAAGAGTTAGAATAAGATAGACCTACCAATATTGACGTGTTCAAGCTCAACTAAACACCATTCAGACGGAAATTGAATATTGATAATATTCAATTCTTTTCAGAACTGCATAAACATCGCCCAAACGCGACATAAACACAAATATTAATAAAACAATTGATACACGTAGTGTGAAGTCGCTCAGTAGCACGCACTGCGTTGCCTGGTATTTTTTTAAGCGTTATGTAAAAAGTATTACATAAATTCATATACCTAACAATATCTAAACGGATCGGACAGGGTTTATAGATATTTTTTTTATTTTATAGCATAGGGATAAACTTACGGCATACCTAACTGGGCAAGTGATTACCGCAGCCCATGAGCGGGTGAATTGTCGGTATTTTATAGAAGAATAAGCTCGATTTTTGATCGTGTGACAATTCTATCTAATCGCAAATACCATTGCTGGAACACGATTCTACAATATGGTTGTACGTTTCCAAATTTTTGGCAATACCTGTTTTTGGAGAACCGCCATTTCTCCAGTATATCAGGATGATTTTAAGTTTTAGCGGGTTGTGCGATGATGGTATTTAGTTGCTGGTACCTTACCAGCAATCAAGCAAGAACACCTTGATATATAGAGTAGAATGTGAGGTAAGGTTGTACTGAGAGGCAATATTGCTCTGCAATGGAAAGTAGTGTTTTTTTAAAAGAGAATGTCTTAATAATCTCAGATTATAGACTATATTAATGATAATTTTATTGGTACAATATTATTAACTTTAGTGTTGTTTATTTTCGTAGTACCAATTAAAACCGGTAATAACACATGATTATATCATAATTATCACTAATTTAAAATTACTAACCTATTCTTTGGTACGTATATATTGATGGCTAAGATATATATTTAAAATAATTTGGACAGCTATTTTGTTACACAATTTTAGTGCCATTTCATTAGTATCTATTCTTGTAGTTACATAGCAACTTTTAAAGTTGTTTATGTACAGGTGTTACGTAGATACGGAGTGAACAAATTATCCATTCTCAAACAGTGTTACTAATACTGACATTTATACACACTACTACAGATTAACTTACTTACTATGATTATTATTTTATAATATTGATAGGAAAATACATTTAAGTATTGTATTTTTTAATGAATGTAAATATACCCATTATACGATTGAATGAAAATGTCAACAAAGTGCGTTGCAGCACTATTGAGTAGGCACGCAGTAGTGATGTAACGAACTTTGGTGATACATTTGCCTGCCTAGGCAAATGTACACCCTGCATTCCTTACTGACTTTTCATGCAATGAACGTCGATAAGGAAAGCAGGTGAATGTATCAACATTCATTGTATGAAAAGTCAGTAGTAACGTAACGATACTTGTAAATTAGTCGCGTTCTGAAGACAAGAGAAGAGACAACAGAGAAAAGCGGCGACAATATAATTACTAGTGCAAGAAGGTCACGTAGACCATAATATATATGGTCATTATTAATAAAAAAAGAATGAGGCGCATAGTTTACGAATGTGTGTAGACACCTGGTATATAATATGGCTATATTGTTAGTACCAGTGTTAAAAAAATACTTTTAATTATTGAAATTATTGGTACGGGGATGAACATAATTGTTGTACACATTAGGCGTAAAAGCATTCCTGTCAGAAGAAAAATGTGCGCGAGCGACGTTATTCCATTGTATATGACTAATTGCATGTGGTGGTAAATATCCAGTTCGAAAGAAATTTTCGGTTTCCGAAGCTGAGGCATGTGCGAAATAGCAACATACTCTTTGGCATATTCCTTTACTGTAATCACGACAAAACTTATAAACGCCTTCCAATTGTGACAAATCTAACGCATGTTCAAAAATGCAGGTATCTCCAAGAGTGCATTTACCTCGAATAAAATCTTTACACATTATTTTTTTAGGTTTACTCTCTTTTTTGCAGCAAAACTCAGAAACAGAAGGATATTCTGGATTTGATTTAGTTGCCGAGTCAAAATCATACCACTCCTGTTTGATGTCTAAAGGAGTGTCTCTTGGAGGAGAATTTGGAGGTAGTGGTGGAGGTAGTGGAGGTGGCGGTGGTGGCGGTGGTGGCGGTGGTTGTAGGAAATTCATCCTGTTAATTTCAGTTACTGTATTCGAGGGTCGATCAGCAACTGAATTATTTTCTTTATAAGTCGACTTATAGTATATCTGTCTCCCTGAAAAACAGTAAAATTTATTCTAAGTATAATTACATTAATATGTTTTATGATAAATAAATAGAAAAAATTGTGGGTAAAAAAGATTAACCAATATAACCTGTTAACCAAAAATCTTCCAATCTGTCCGGGACCGATCACAAGAAGTTCGACCATATGAAGTTACTATTCCTCAATACTAGCAATCCCTTCTGCCTATATAATAAGGTAAGGATGAATTGACCACGAAATAATTTTCAGGGAGAGAGAAATAGCAGAATAAGTATTGCGTTCTCCATAAAATCAACAGTTGACAATGCGTCTGACTACATCATACACCCATCTGGGATAAAAGTCGTGACGGTTATTTTCAATATTTACGAGTAGATATACGTATGTAGTACGCTGATAAAATTCACTCAAAATAAATATTGACATGAACAATACGTGTGAACAACTTTCTAATCAGCTCTAGTGAATTTAGAAACAAAAACTTTTGTTATTCGAATTGGACGCTCGGGACAGTGGTAAAAAAAATACATGAATAAGAGGCCGATATGAAAAAAACAATTTTGACTGCTTATATAATGGTGTCCAATTTCCTTCATAAATATAACACATAACTAACTACATATATAATAAGAGTAAGATTACCTCTGGCGGAGCCATCAGATGTTGTTGGGCCCCCCGTAGGAGGCATTTCGGTGGGTTTTGCCGCTCTCCAGTATTGCCGTGGTAGAGGTGGTGGTGGCTTTGAGAATTGTATCTTATTTATATCAAGTATATTTGGAACCGGATCTGTAATCATATTTTTTTTATAATATTGCGTTGTAATTGAAAAATGGTTTAAAATTTATAGTAAATGATTTTGACATGAATAAAAATTGTCATATTAATCGTCATACTGGATACAAATATAAACTTGTAGCACCCAAATTTCATTTATATAAAGTTAATAGCTCTTATATAGGAATGGACATTAAATTCGAATTTACTAAATATAATACGATAAAAATGTATTCTGTATCTATCATTTAATAAATTTAACATTTTTGTTAAGAAAGACTAATTGAATGAAGTATATTATTCTGTAAACGATTATTTAGGAAAATACTTTTCCTGGTGTTATTTGTTTAGACAAGGGATTATAAAAAAAACCAAGCGTTGAAATATACACATATACCTATTTGTGTATATTTAAATGCTTGGTTTTTTTTAAATCAACATGTTTGAAAAATGTATCCTTGGCACTTCATTTCAACTGAAGTAGTTCGCCGAACAGGAAGGCAGGTATAGTAATAAAAAAAATACATGTCAGTATTATGTACATATATGAATATTATTTCCGTATACCACCATGTCCAATTTCTTTAACTCACTTCAGATTGATTTTTTTACTTGCATTTTATATTTTAGTGTTATGTTCTCTTATAAATACAACATAACATTATGTAAGATTACCTCTGGATGAGTTTACGCTGTTAGATGGGGGATCCGCTGGTGGCGGTGGTGGCGGTTGTAAGAATCTTCTGTTGATTTCAGTTGAGTTTGAGGCTGTATTTGCAACCATGTTTTCTTTATATTTTGAATTATAAGATTGGTTCGCATCTGAAATGTATAGAAATAGTAGGTATAACATTTCCTCCAATGAATTTTAAAATAAAAAAAAAAACTTTAAATAAATAAGTAAAAGAAAATTGTACGGAATACAAAACAGAAAAATTAAACTATTATGAAAATAGATTCACGATAATGCATTCCAGGAGATACATCATGGAGTTCAATAGGGTAGGTAACTAGTTTCCAACATTGACAATCTCTTTTCCTTGCATGTTCACGTTACACATATATACGCTGACGTGACAGTGAAATATAAGGTGAGGATGAATTAAATTAGGTTAGGAATTAGTTTCAGGAGGACTGCGTGGAAGTAAAGCTGATATAATATTGCTAACAATAGGGTCACTAGTTCCCATACGGTTGTCAATCTCCAAACAATGGAGGTGTACGAAAAAAAAATTTCAAAGTTATCTTAAACAAAATAAAATTGTATTTTGGAAATGCTTACTATAATAAATCAAGCGAGCAGAATAGATCTATCTATGCAAGTCGCAGTGCTACAGTGCTACCTGACATTTTGGGCTATCAAAATGATCAATAAATAAAAATAAAATTCAGTCAATAAGTTGTCTATTATTTTCTAGAATCGAATAATTATTAATTAATAGGAAAATAAGGCAAATTACACCTCGACTAGTATTTTATAGCTGTGGCTATGCAACCATGATCGCTAGATGTGCCTAGGTATAAGGATTCTACCAGAGCTCAACAAAGCAGAAAATATGATAACATAGAATATTCTATAGGTATCTGAGTGGAGAATCAGACAGAAGACACATGTCAGAGCTCTCGAACTGGTAAATCATGTCACATTCCTTACTGATTAGGCATAAGAAGTATGCTGCATTAAATAATTTATCCTTCTGAATTATCCTTACACAATAAATTAACAATGAAGACAAAGTTCTGCACTTAGAATCCTTCAAAGGAAGGTTCCATCATTTCTATCCATCCAACATTTTTATTTAAAAATAATTTGTTATCATTCTCATCATAGAAATAGCCGAAGTAAGTTTATAAATAAATATCCTAAAGCAATGTTTATACACACAAGGTATTCTAATCCTAGTATTAAATAGAGTACTTATAAGTGAAATAGATAAAAAAATAAAAATTTATTTACTTTTATGACCTTAACTAATTTGAATTTGACGTTTGAACATTATTAAGGTTATATTGTTAAAGACTATACTTCTATAATCACAAATATTGGCAGTCGCACAGGCAATAAACAAAAGAGTAGACATATATGTGTGTATGTCAAATTCTTGGTAGTGTGTGTAATGTTTTTTATTGATTTTGAAGTCAACATACAAAACTTACGTGTGGTGATCTGAAAAGTTACCGACGTAACAATGATACAACATATATTCTTAAATTGTTAATATATTTTTCTACATAGTCTCTCTATAAACTTCTCGCAGCGATGTTCCTATCACTAAGCTGTCCACTCGGTGTTTATCTCTGCAAATAATTGTCCACAAAGTTCATTCATTTATCTCTCATTTGACGAAAATATCTGTCCATTGAGAATAATAATGTCCAAGAGAATTTTTAGATGAGGGTACAAAATAAATTCGCGTGGGGTTTGATCTCGTAATTTCATCTACAGTAATTATTAGGTGCCAAAACTCTTTTTCTCCAAAATTCGGGGATCCAACGCGCGGATAGCTTTCCTATGTTTAAATCTGTATTTAACATGTGACAGACACGTCCTTTCGCCATTTTCATTACCTCTGATATCTTTCTCTTTAATTCAGCGGTCGTACAACACTATTTAGTGCACTTTAACAATATTATCCTTTGTAGTGTTTGGACGGCTCGAACATTCATCGTCTCCCAAGAGATTAACCCCACGTTTAAATTCAGCCGGTCAAAATTTCATTGTTGTCAATGATGGTGAAGGGTTCACATAACTAGAATTTAACTCTGATAGATTGTTGATTTCAGTAGCCGTATTGGCTTTCAAAAACAAAAATGTAATAATAACACGATACAATTTATTTTCTATTTAAAAAAAACACTCATATCGACTCACTTAAACGACTGAACTAATAACTACGCATCCAAAATGACCGAAACTTTGGTGAGCATTGCCTGACGAGTGTCGCCATATTTGGGTTGAGGCTGGAAACTTCTTGGACCATTCAGATATATACTTGTCTTGAAAATATCGAAAAGAAATTTATTTAGTTTCTTGGCCTACAGATTACGTGATCCGTATGAAGATGAGTAGAAGAACTACTCATCTTGAGTTCTGCAAAAAACACCACCTCCTGCCTCTTGAGAAACGTAGAGAAATCGCGGACAATTTCATCAACTGTAAAAGTTTATTAAATTATTTCAATCAAATTAGACTATTATTTTTTTCAGTTTTATACTGATGTTTTAACTCTTGATCGCGTGGGTGTGGAATTTCCAATAATTCTTGATTTTGATCATAAAATGTATCAATTGGAAAAATTATAAGTATTTAACTGCTGTGGATTTAGGGTATGAGTTCAATTTTCTCCCTAATTTGACCTAATATAGGTCTACTTAGTGTAGGGTGAAATAATATTGTTTCGAAGTAGATTAAAAAGTTACAATGTTATATTATCACATATGTGCTTTGTATTGAGCCCTGGATAAATATTGTGGATTGTAGTATCTTTAACCCCTATCTTTAAAAACTCGATTAAGTGAATGAAAACAGTTAAATGTAAACCTTCAAAATTAATTTGAAATGTGATGTCATATGGAAAAAATATTAAAATAAATGACTTACATAAGTGACTAAAGTTCTACATGAATTAATAATTTTTGATATATTCAAAAACTTATATTAATGTTAATTTGTGACTCGTAGGTCGCAGTTGCGTAAACCGGATCCGATCGCAGTGCAAATTATCTATTTCATATACATATATAGTATATTCGGTAATATTTTAACCGAAACAGAAACTAAGGCCATGTCTCACGTTATTTAGCCGCAGCTAAAAAACAAAAGTTCGGCCGGACCCTATAAAAAGAAAATACTTTATAAAATAATAGATGGCATTGTAAATTTGCTTTACTTATTTTGTCGTATGATTATCGACGATGACGATAACCATACATCGTCTCACGCGGTCACTACTATTATTATAATAATGCTGGATAACGGTGGGTTGTTATATGATAATGTATTATTTTCTTATAATAATAGACGAGCTCGGCCGGTAACTCAGCTAACTGTTAGTACACATGTATAGATATTAATAAAACAAAGAGAGCATATTGCATTTTTTTTGTATTTATAACTACTACTGTAAAGGGGTAGATAGATAAGGAGCTGAATAAATCGGCAACGCTTGCGAAAACCATTTATTTAAAGACACGTGTATACATAAAACCAAAACAACTCATTTAATGACTCGCGTATGCATAAAAGCTGAACCGTTTATTAAATAAATGCATTGCATATGCATGAAACTAAACGAACTTATTTAAAGACTCGCGTATGCATAATACCAAAACAATTTATTTAATGCTTACGTATGTTTAAAAACCAACCAATTTTAACTACCACTGTTTCATCACCGTTCGTTCAAATTAAGAAAAGTTAGAAATAAAACGACATAACAGTTTAATAGCTAAAATAGGTTTTACAGACATTTTTTATAAATAAAAGTAGTTTTTAATGGATGAATTTATTAAATACTGTCACTGAGCATTAATAGAAATAAGGTAATAATACCTGTTTATATATATGTCACAATTTGGACAATCCTTCATTCCCGGTAGTTCTGTATTTTCATTATCAACAAACGGTGCAGATGCAGCCGCTGAAATTAAATGTACGTATGTCTTAATAACGGTACTGTCACTCGCTTAATACATGAAATTAATTTCGGATAGCCCTTACCTATGAAATGTACAGGCGTAGAATCAAAAGAGCATAGGTCTCTGCCTACACACGATATTAAAGTTAGGAGCAATATAAATATAATCAAAATGAAAAATCGGGCCTTAGTTCGCTACACACGAAGCGATCTAGGAAGCTAGGAACGCCCAAAGCTTTACCCTAAACTCGTTTCCGCAAAGTAACAAAATCAAGTGCCTATTGTTGAAGCAATAATGATGTAACATAAAATACTAATAGAATGACTGAATTTGCAAAGAAATAGTAGGTACTAAGTCGTAGTAAATTAAACGAATCCTGCTCTAAAAGTATAAAAGAGACAGAAAGGACTTGACACAAATTTAACACTAAGGTGGATTTCACCAATCGTAGTATAAATACCTTCAAAGAAATGGAGTTCAGCTAAACTAGAAAAAAAGAACGACGTTGATCTCGTTTAACATTAAATAGAATTTACCAATATTATACAGATCGCGTTTACCAAAATGAAGTTTAGATTTTCATTCGATCACAGTGTTACATGCTCATAAAATAATATTTGATGCAATTTAAATAAAATAATTTTAAGAAATATTTGTAATTCAATCATTTGATAATTAGGATAAAATTTTTAATTTTTAATTTAATAAGTACCGTCGACTACAAAATATAAAACAACAACCTTTACCTATAAAATAGTAAAACATTACATTAGTGACGATTTTTTTTACACTACTGGCAATTTTCTTTTTATTCCCTACTAATGTAGGGAACATTCATCATTAAAATTTTTGACATATTTATAATTATTGTCAATAATTTTATTGATGAATGTTTAACAACTGAAGTTGCTTTAAATATGTTTAAAGAGTTAACTGTAGAAAATCAGACGTTCCGAATTTATAAACGTGTTTAGCGAAATTGGTAGTGGTGAAATGCAAAATGAAGCTTTGAACACGTTCAAACGTTTTAATGGCGTTCAATTCGAACTAAACGCGATCAGTTTCTTTGGTGAAATACGACCATATAATAAACTCGTTGACCGGTAATCAATTTCATAAACTTTTAGGTGACTCGTGCAAAAAAGTTCAAATCTTTTTTCACACTTGTTTACAATCGTATATATTATATAAACGGTATTTTTACCATTACAATATTATCGTTAATATTTTTTTTTAAATATTAAAGTTTATGGATGTTTGGAATTTTTAGGTGTAAAGGTGACGGCATCGGCTGGATTCAGTATAGGTATAGATAGCCTACTAACACGGATTGATATCAACATACTAACTCAATGTGATCATACTGGCTACATATAATCTGTTATTATTATCTCAGGAACAAATTTTAAATATTGTATTGTAAGCTTTTTGCGATTTTTAAATAGTATTGTGGTACCATCGGAAAATAATATTATTAATTAATCTAAAAGAATATAATTTCTATTTTCTATAACTTAATTATTATTAAATTCAAAGATTAATAATAGAAATACTAGTGTACGTAAAATAAATTAAAAAAATAATACCTATGTGTTAATTTAATAGAAAATTTTTAATAAATTGTTCAAAATAAAAAGACACGATTCAACAAATTGGTTTCGTAACCTGTATCTACGATACTACACCACTACGATACTACGTCGATTTAGTCTACGAGATTAAAAAACAGACGAGACTCAATTGTGATCTCTCACTGATTGTGCTTTCATTTTGAACGATTCGGAATACCTAACTGAGGAGTTACTCCATGTAGATTATAATGAAGAACTGATACAGAAGAAATATGCCAATGTACGGATATAAAAAAACAAGTGTGACAATATTTATAGTTCAGCGTTAACCAACATTCTTACTATCTTACTTTACTATGTGAAAGGAGTAACATACAAAATAGGTTATAATAGAATGCAGCTGTTTTTAGTACAAAAGATAATACGAGTACATTTAAAGAATCATAGTCAAAACAAGAAATTTTTAGAGGTAGCTTATCAATTTTCACAATTCTGAACTTAATAAGATTAAAATTTTATACAATTAAAAAATATTTATTACAAATATTTTAGTCCAAACCTAAAGGCAACATAATAACTATTTATTATGTTGCCTTTAGGTTGGGACTACTGGAACGACTTATAAAGTGCATTATAAAAGGCAGCCTGATCACTATAAGCTATCTCTTACCTGTCTTACCAGCTTACAGAAAAAAAATCTGTAAGAGATTGTTGGTCTTCTTAGCTGATACCTTAAAACATCTGTTAGTACAGCTCAAAAGATTATCACAAAGTTCCTTTTCATCAGCAGTTAATGAAACAGTGGTTTCAGATGGGAGGATTGCTATGTCCCTTGTCACAGCTAGTTACAGTTTCATATTCACTTGAACAATGTAGCATGTCCTAAGAGAGATTCTCTGATCACCTCATGATGACAACTTTTATAAGTTAGCTAATATGTAGATTTAAAAACCACCGCTTAGTGTTGCCAAATCTTAAGGCTAATGGGTCAAATGAATAAATTTTATTATTATATATTATATAATTCTCATTTGTTTTCATCAAAATCAAGCATAGGCAAGTTGAAAAAAACATAAAACAAAAATTCCAAATCTAAATTTTAATAGAGCGCCTGGTGTTAATATAATAAAAGAAAAACTTCACATTTCAGTTACTAACTACAGAGAATGATTCCACCAAGCCCTCGTTATGCAATTTATGGATGACCTTTTGATTAAATTAAAAAGCTTATTATCGAAATATACCTATGTATACGGGGTTTGACGTAGAGTACATAGTGAAAGCCAACTTTCACCAAGAAAAAAATAATAGAAAGCTGAAATTAAATTGATTACGTGATTGCGCAGTTTGTATGAAGGTTTTAAAAAATATTTTCAATTGTTCATTTCACGTCTTTAATCAATATATAAATGAAATGCACCGTATAAGCAAATCAATCGGAATGAGGTGAATAGAAACAATCTTGTTTAAATAAATATAATAATCGCAAAAATGAAAATCCTACCTATTTTAATTAAATTAAACCCAGCAACCTTACTGACATAATTACCGACAACAACCAAAACACAACGAAATGAGCTATATCTATCAGATGATAAGAATTGTTACTTAATAAGCTGTCGAAATAAATACAAACTTTTTATGAAATCGAAACTGATTAAAAAACAAATAACATAATACATGTACCTACCAGTTGAATTTCTTGCCAGTTCGTCTTAAAAGAAATAGCTAGCAGAACTAGATGTTTGGTATAGTGATCATAAATTGATCATACAAGCGTCCGAAAGTGTTTTATTGTATACGAATAAACGATTGTGAATTCAATTTTACAATTTCTGCAACGTGGACCCCTGAACTCAATCGCTTGAGTCACGCTTGTAAACGTCCAATGTAGAAAGTGGTAGTGTTGGTCGATTTTTTTTAAAGTGAATTTAATGTTGTAAGAATTCTTTTGGTCTATTTCCTTATACCTAAATGTATTCTGACATTGGAAACGCAGATTTTCGATGCGTAATTTTACATTGTGAGTTACCCTTGAGCTGTTGCTGTTTTATTACCCGTGAGCGGGTGGTGGTGAGACTGTGCAGAGCTGGGGTAAGTAAGACTGAGTGCACAATCTTATCTTGCCTTCTAAGTATGTGTGGTGAGTATTTTTTCAGGTTTATTATAATAGTTGCATTACCTTTTTTATTTTAACATACGACATTTCTGAAGCTCTTGCAGGTACTTGCTCCATACAATAGTTATAGATACAAAATAAAATTCAATGAGTAATTAATTTACAGATTTATCCGTATCCTAAACAAACATAAGATTAAAAATGAATAATAAGAATAATAGTAATAAAATCTTATTTCTTCTTGTAAAATGAGACAAAATGTATTTCAGTTAGTGTGTGTGAGTATGATTGTGGTTGAAATAGTAGGTACACTAGCCCATTAAGTAACTTATTCTGCTACAGTAATTATATTATCGGTTCCGTGTCCATGACCCAGTATTAACGCACTATACACAGCTTCATTTAGACCTTTTATCTCTGCATGACATTGCTAATTTTATTTTATAATTATATACAGTCGCAGGTAAACTGCGTTATGTTTCATAAACGTAGTGTTAATTGTTGGGCGGGGCGATACCCGGCGCTGGACAAGACGGCTGAAGTCAGTGAAGTTTATTCATACTTTGTCAATGTTGCAAAGTATAAAATAAAGTCGTTTACACTGGCTGTTCATTTAGATCTTTTAAACTACGCAACGGATTTTTATACAGTTTTAGCAATAGATAGGTTGACTAAAGAGTTTGGTTTATATGTATAATACATGTAGGTACACCCGTGTGAAGCCGGGGTGGATAGCTAGTAAAATATAAGTCTGACATACTGGAAGTAATTTGCTTTCTGCGAGTTGTTGATCATAAGGAATCCAAATGGTTTTTGCAACAAAATTTAGATGACTGCCAGTTAGGATCTTTATAGTCAGTTGAATCTATTTGCATACATCCTTAATTACTTCATTATATAGTAATAGTTTATTATGTACATTCTACTTATATACTAACCGCGAATCTTTGGATGGATGCTTTATTCCTCTTTCACTCAAACACTGCTACTGAACGGATTTTTATAAAACTTTAGAGTAATTTAGGTTATACGCCAAAATAACACATAGGCTGTCTTTGAAATATATTAATTCTTCGAAATATATAATTAGTGTAGACTAAGTTGAGATAAATACTTCATTCTAAGAGCTTTTTGGAATTCGCTACATACACCGTTAGCGTTACATAGTCGGATTGTTTTTCATAAATAGTTCTAAAAAACCCGTGACAGCAATAATCTATCTATTATGAGGAAACCGTTGTAGCCAAAATAGTGAACCATAAAAATATATAATATGGATACTGTAATAATAATGTCTAATTTATTTACAGTAGATACTAAATTAATTCATATCAAAATACCATTTTTTATCAGTTTTGGCAAATAAAGTACGTAAAGTTTGTTCTTTATTGAGTTATGAGTTTTTAGAAGTAACGATAATGAAAAAGTGTTTGTGTGTTGTGAGTTGTCTGGTAATCATAACAGAGTATAAATGAGCTAAAAAACATACATGAAATCAAATCAAAAAACTTGTAGGAAATTACTGTAAATTTCTTACCTGAACTAGAACAAAATCATATTTATGTTGCATGTTTTGTAAATTATCATATTATAATATTTAAACGGGTGCTCTACGTATTGATGTAATTATATAAATAACTGAAATCTCCCACGCAGTCAACTAATATTAGGAAAAGGATCGTTTGGGTACTAGTTATGTCGATCCTTATGAACAGAGCAATAAATATTTGCCTGATGGCCAGATTGTTTGCTTGTTGCTCTAAATTGAACAAAATCTTGTCTACCTACCAGTAAAGGCATTAAAAAAAAAATAACTTTTTAGGTAGCTGATATAAAATCAGTCAGTATTTAGGTTACCAGATTGCCACAAAATTTTGTTGACCTCTCATTTGGTATCTCCAAAGAGGGCGGCGTAGCGATCAAATGCAGGCTTACGGTCAACCTAGCCTAATGTTCCGAAGGCCCTCGATTAGCACATTTGCTGCTATGCCTCAACCTCTTCAGAAACAGGAGTGACGACTTATATCATCAGCCTTAAGCGACTACAAACCTTCATACAATAAATAGGCCGAACTATAGAATAATATACAATCTACAAGTATAAAAGGCAAACTTGCGTAGGTAATGAGTAAAAGCAATAAGTAATACTAGCACTTACTTCCATTTGACCACTTGCGTTTTAACGTTGGATTTGTGGACGATCCTCTGGTTTGGACATTTTGTGATGGTGTCTCATTTAAGTCGTCAGGTAAATGGACGAACGGGACCATCAAAATGCCGCGGCTGAAATAATAAATACATGTAATGTAATTTAATAGTGTACATTATTATAGTAAGTGTTTAAAGTATTAGTACATTTAGTAGCTATACTAGCGTTCTACCTTGATTTAACAATATTTGCATTTATTAAGGGGGTCTCTATTTTTTATCAGAAAAGATTATAAGAGCCATTATACCGTCTAGCTAACTGATAACGATGCTTTCTATACAGGGAAAAACTAAGTTTGTTAAGTAATTTTTAAGTTCGTTTATAAGAAACAGGTCATATTTTTATTCCTGAGACCCACCGCGGCTATAAAGTAAATTATTTGTAGAAAGACAAATTAGTAAACCAACTGCAGCAAGATAAATAAGTCGTTTGTACGGAATAACAAGTCCTTACTAAAATGTAAGTAGCGACTAGAATAAATGCAGTATGTAAATGAATAACTAATAGACAATAGACTAATAGAATAAGCGTATGTAAATGAATAACTCATAGACTAATAAAATAAGCGAAGGGCATGAAGGTCTAAAGTGGCCACCAAGCCTAAAGCGAACATCTATTTCATAATAAACTTCAAGCGTGTCCATTGGCCGTACCCTTTTACCGACTAATTTTAAGACAATCGTGATTCATATAATGTAACAAAAACATCTGCAGTTTGTCGGTGAGGTGTTGTTTACTCAAAAACAAGAAATTGAAGATGCCACGAATAGTGATTTTGCCGAATACCGAATCTTAGAATATTCGGTGACATTCAGTATATTTCGTGGGTTACAGATATGTGCTAACCGTGACCATGAAAAAACCGTAGTTACGTAACTACGGTTTTTTAATGTTATGTATGAATACTAACTATAATAAAAGATAAAAGAGAAAAAGTGCAGAGGGTAACTCCGTCTGTGTTGTGTCTGTGTATGTGTGTGTGTGTGGGTGTGTGCGTGTGGGCCGCTAGAGGTACTTCGGCTCGGGTTGTCGTGATTTCGATCTCCATTTGAATGGGAGAGGAGTTCGACCAGAAGGAGTATTGGGCTTATCATCAGCTCTTATCGTCGGAGTCATCATCATTGCCAGCAAGGATATGGTTGTGAATTGGTGTGATAGCGAGATATCAGCAGAACGGGAGTAACCGAAAGAACCGGATACTATAACGGCAGCAAGCCATTATAGGATCCGACAATAAGAACGTACCTCGGAATCGTTACGATGAGACAGTTCTCCTTGGTACATAGTCGACCATACTGATAATAACAGGGTGTAAGTGCGATTTGGAGAAATTAAAGTAGCGTCGAAATGCTTCTTAAGAAATGGTGGGCATTTAAAGGTTGTGTTGTAAAATTTTATAATCAAGAATGAGGTCGCAAGACTAGCGTATATGAGAATGGTCTAGAATCTAGACTACATAGAACATTAGTAGGTACTACGTAGTAGATTTGCGACTTGCTTTAGAGTACATACAAGCCTTACATGGTGACTATTTATTATTAAATGACAAGATACTACGCTTACTTACAAAGGGATATACCTGTCTTAGTACAAAAGCGTCTTTATTACGGATTATTCAAACGGATTATCGTTCGATGTGTTGTCCGACAACTCATGTAAAGCCTTGTTCGAATAATTCGATCGGGTGGCACATAGTGTTGAACTGTATTGTATATTGTACTCTACTCTGGGCCGTTATGCGTATAGAGCGAGACAAGTAAAGTAATCTAAGTAGGCCAAGCTTTGCCCAGAAACGAATAAGCTTTCTGTCTTCACAGGCATCACGGATCAAGCTCACCGTTCCGAAGGATTTGTGTATAAGTACCTATTTGTTTATACATTCATTATAAGGAAGTTTAGAATACAGAATATATAGAATACAGTTTAGATACAGGAATAAGTTTAGAAAATGAAAAAAATACGAATATATAAATTTAATATATATAATATTATGCGTCTTTTGTCATATTCGATTCAATAATACGTAATAGTCGACAGAATGAGGCAGAAATAGAATATTCGTGGCATCACGTGTAAATTTAATAAGGATATAACATAAAAGGCAAAGTGAGCATGCCAGCTATATCCCGTGTTACAAGGAGTTGTTACTAGTTCTTAACTACCATTATACTATACTACTGTTAGGTAGTATACTTAACTAGTAATAAATTATATTTTCACAAACTTTATATTGCTTTATTAAATAACCTCTTCATTTTTATGGCGAAGTAAAAAACAAATACAAGTTCTTGAGAAAAAATAAAAAATCAACGGCTTCAATACATGGCATCCTTTGCCATCATGAACGAAATCTAAAATCAGTTTTAAAATTAGAAAGATTTATCACAATGAAGATCTACAACTATAATTATTAATTGTTTTATTTGAAATGGTCAGTGTTTTTTAATTTTTATCGAAAGCGAAACTTATCAAACTTGTTATACAGTATGTTTAAACACCATAGCCCTTATTATACCTTGATCAAAGACTAATGATAAGGCTTTTGTTTTTAGTTTCAATCATATAGAACGGCAACTTGTTTGACTTTCTTATTATATAAAAGAAACCATCCTACGAAATAAATGCACAGCATTTATTTCATGTTTATATTTGACTTGGGTAGAGGATAAAAAGTTTAGCCTTGCTGTTGTATTGAATTCTCTGGAAATATTCATTAATAAACATTAAAACCATAAACTTTCTTATAATTTAACGAGTTACATCACAATTTTCTTAAATATTAAACAATTAATTTCATAATCATTGTCATTGCCATATCTTAATCCCATTATTTGAGGTCGGTCAGTAAGTTCTTCTTCCACTGATCCCTATCAGCACTCATATCTGACTTTACTCTCCTTTTATACATATATATATACTCTTCATTTAACAATGATTTATAAATAAAAAATAATGCATACTTGCTTTAGATAAAGCAGGCTCATTTTGCCCTTATGTCAAAGAGCTCTTCGCATACTATCTCCGAACCAGAGGCTTATTTCGTCAATTATTTCCGGTCGATAGATGTCGACCTTGGAAGATTCCAAGATGGTTAAGAATGTTGCATTATAAGGACTAGTGAAAGTCAACTGCGACTCCGAGCGTGAATTAAAGAGTAGTGCCCTGAACCGTAATTTCCATTTCCTAAAAGGCATAATAGAACCATCTTAACCATCGTAAAAGTTTTGGACCGGTAGGAAAGTGTTACCTTGACCTATTGCTGGCTCACGGGCGCACTACGCAAGCACACGCCGCAGACGTTTTATCAGTTTTAGCATTACAATCAAATACTATTATGATAGGTACTATATTGTTGGATAAAGATTATCCTAGTTAAGAGTAGAATGATATACCATTATTATTAACTTTCGAGTTTCGTGTTTCAATGACTACTTTGAACCAAAAATAGTTATTGTGATTTAACTATATCGTAATAGATTTTCTTTTCGAACTATTCTAATGCTGTTGACGCAGTTACAGCTTCAGAATGCAGATCGTACTCGTCTCCTATCATCTCTATCAGGTACGAACCTCGAGGGATCAGGGGGATTAAATCCTCGTGATTTTGATCGTTTTTGAATGGGGCAGGGTTTTACCGGAGGGGCTACCAAGCTTAACATTGGTTTTTATTCACTTGGTGCTTAACAAGTAAGCTCCAGCAAGTCCACTTCAACATTGCGTTGGATGGTGTAATTGGGGTCGTTGTATTGCTTCGACGATGTCGTGAGTTAGTGTGATAGTGACGTACAGACGGAGTGGGAGTAACTCAGGTGTGCTCCGTGTGCTCAGGTGTTACGAAATCGACGAGGCCGATATGAACGTGCGTCAAAACAAGTACTGAATGCACGGTATATTCAGGAATTTGAAGGGTTTGACCGGTATCTTATTTTTTTATGAAAGATTAAAATTGTTTTATGTTCCTGCAATTTCCTTATCGTTTCTCAACACTTAAACATTGTTTGGCCTTCTATTACTATATCAAAACCACAATTAGGCAAGTGGTTCCAGATGTTCTCGAGTGTAGCGTGACTACCAAACAATTATCAACATTTAAGTATATATGTATATCTTAATTTTAATAATATTGTAGAAGTTTGTTAGTATGGATGTTTGTTACTCTTTCAGACAAAAACTACCAAACGAATTTTGATGAAACTACAGTAATATAGCTTACGCATCAGAATAATATATATTTTTTATTGAAATTTAACGCGGGTGAAACCGCAGGCAGACCTTTTTTACCTTAAGCAGATTATTTTTGCTTAAGAAAATTTGTTCTATTTTCTTAATGTAAAATATTAATGGAATTTTATATATACTTACATATTTCTTAATTGGGATGGTACTTCAGCGTATACTGGCACCATTACGCCCCGATTGGAGTCTAAATTAAAAATACAATACATTATTCAGAGTGCATTAACAAAGATTTTATATAAATAATAAGAAATCCTTAATTGGTTAACTTCCGTTAAAATTATATAGGAATTTAAAAGGTATATTATACTTATTTAATTTATAAAATAATTGACCTAAGCAGTAAAATTTTTAAGGAAAAACTTATTTTTAAAATATATTATTATGCCTTCTGAGAATTGAAAGTATTTTTAATAATTTAAAATTTTGATCTCATAATGACATAAATGTTATACCTATAACTATAAGCGGGTAGTAAACTTACTTTCGGGAATTGACTCCGATGGAGTCTGGGTCATATTAGTCCCCTGTAAATGGTTAAGTACATGTGGTGGCAAAGTACCAGTTCTATAGAAATGTTCTGTTTCAAAAGTGGTTGCATGTACAAAAATGCAGCTCTTGCGAGCGCATTTTCCATTGGCGAAATCTCGACAAAATTTGTAAACACCATTTAATTGTGATATATCTAATTCATGTGCATAAATGCAGGTGACACCCCGCTTACATTTTCCTCGGGCATAATCTTTACACATTATCTTTTTACGTTTATTTGATACCGATTCTAACTTATTGGAACTTTCTTTTGGTTGCCCCACGTTCGGTATTTCTTCTAAGTTTTCGGCTTTATGATTATTTTGAATTTTGGGCTTTACTGTCAAATTTAAAGGAATATCTGGTGAAGAAGAACATGACGGTAGTGTTGGGGACATCTTCATATAATTTTCATTCTTAATGTCAATGACTGTATCTTCTTCTGGCTTTGTTATTTCTTCCTCAAACTTTGCAATAAAATATTTCTTCATGTGTTTGAAATTAGACGGAAACTTAAAATTTTTAGTATCTTCCTCTAACATTTCTAAACCTGGAAACAAAAAGAATTAGTGTAGTATTATATATAGATTTCAATAATCAGCTTTTATTTGATTAACGCAGCATGGATAAGGTGACGGCAGAGTTACGACCTCAACGTGTGATTCGCAGGTGGGGAACACGTGGGTGATACGTCGTAACGGGGAAAAGTTGGCAAGTCAATGATCCGCATTGTCACTTTAATCCATAAACTATGGATCAAAGTGCTGGACTGTAAAAAATCGTTCGATTGCATACAACTGAAATGCGATTATTAAGATGAATGTGTGGTGTCTGAGCGAAGGACAACATAATGAATGAATACATCAGAGAAAGTATGAAAATCTCAGTGTCGGAGAATTTAAAAATAATACCTACCACACAGGGGAAACAAAATGGGAAAGAAAAATACAATAATCGCACACAGGAAGATTTACCTTGACGAAGCTTTAGCATTCTGAAATGGCGGAATAACGATCTTGGATTCAATTTTCTAAATAGTAACGTAAAACTAAATAAAATAACAGAATTTTATGTATTTTTACTTGATAATGCGATCCATAATGGATTTTTTAATACAGTTTATTATGTGTTAAGTATATTTTTAAGTACTTCTATATTTCTTATATTATCTTCTTATGAATAAGGCGACTTGGCGTCTTAATCGATTAAAGATTTGTGAGTTTCTACAGTAGTTAATTAAAAGGCAACTAATTAAAGATTCAGTCGGTGCAGAAATGGTTTTAATCGTACAGTATTATTTCCTTAGGGATTACGATTTAAGCGATCTTTAATTGTCTCTCTATAAAATTTAATGGCGTGAAAATTGCATTATCAACGTTTTAAAATCATTGTCAAAATAATTCGATAATTAAATCGTCAATTACAATAGATATTGTTTAATTGCATATTTTGGCCGAAATAAATAAAATCGTAATTGATAAGTTTTGAGAAACCTTCGCCTAAGAAGTAGAAATAAGGGTTTAATGTTGATATGAGGAGTCCGTCAGTAATCAAAATGAAATTAAATATAAAAGTTAACTACCAAAACATAAAATACATGGTTCCTAAGTTTTAGAAATTATATCCTCAACGGGATATACGAGTGGAAACATAATACAAAATAGAAGAAATCGGCGTATCTAATTGAGTCAAAAACTTAAATTCGTTCGTCCGTAATGGTTTTCACTAAGAATGTTCACTCCTCAGATGAGGTGGAATTTTTTTTTGAGAATTCTAACATTACAAATTTACCAATACAAACTGCATATACATATTTCTATGTACAAGTAATAAAATACAAAATACAAAGTGTCTAGGAAGGTACAAGAAATACACCATACTAGATAAGTTTGTATAAATAAATCCTATTACTATAGCGGATTGACAAAAATTCAGTCAGAAAGAAGAATTACTCAATTTCTTACATTGTCATAGTTGTTTCAAATATAGGCATTATTAAGTAAAGCCGTGCAAAGTACAACTAAAATAGGTACAACCTACCTGTACTATATAAGTATGATAAATGGGTTATAAAAAGTATTTTAGGAAAAACAAAATATTAATTTTACACACATTACCTTATCAATGTGAAAAGGCATCAAATCTTCAACCGGCTAAGTAGACATGTTCAAAAAAAATTATATATTCTATCAATATCATAGAGAGAGCTACACATTTTCAATACTTTTTAAAAGAGCTTAATTCCATTTAATACTAACACTACATGGTTAATCCGGCCTAATATTATATATTAAACCGTAAAAGGTAGGGGAGGATGGGGGTATTACGGACGCGGGGTAAATACGTAACACACATATCTGCTCAATCCTAACTTTCCGCGTCCTCATGCCACGATCATGCGTTACATTTCCTCATCTTACATAAATGATCACCAAATATTTCTGATGAACGGATGACGTTTTGATGACGAACACGTTTCAAACTAATTAAAATTTTACATTTATGTTAATTTTTATTTAATTTTTAGTATTTACTGTTTTGATTGTTATTTATAAAGAATAAGTATCATTAAAAAAGTCATATATTCTGTCGTTTGTAATGTTAATGAGTAGTGAATAGTTTGTCTTGATAAATTTGTTTAACCTGAAAATTTTGTTGACTTCCTAACTCGTTTGGGTTAATTGCGGACAAAGTATCTGGGGTAAATACGGAATTTTAGGTAACATAGCTATAAGGATTTAAACAAAACAAAACCTGGATATGCATTAGTACCTAGTTTAAGTCAGTGAAGCTGGTGTAAATCATTGTATGACAAGTTAAACTAGTCCAGCTCCCTTAATAACACTTAGTGAAGTCGTGCAAGTACCTACTCTCCAACTTACTAGTACAAAACGATTATTTTAAAAAAAGTTCCATTATTTTCACCAGCACACCGGAAAAAGTAAATGTAGAGAAAAGAAAAAGAGAAAATAAAAAAAAGAGAAAGAACCTGGAGTCCAAAACTATAAATAGAAAATATTTGTAGTACCCAGCACTTGTCCCTATTTACCCCAAGAGCTAAGGGTAAGTACATCTATGTTTTTGTTTTTTATTGAAATTAAATAAATATTGATTGATATCTTAAATTAATTAATGTTGATTTTATAGGTATATAACTATAGTTTTATAATTAGTAAAGATATACTGATTATGATTAATTTGTAACGCTGCTTAAGCGTCCGCCATTTTCCCATCCGCCCCTAATAGATAGACATCTGTGTGACAGATTATATATTCAAAAAGGGTGTGAATAACTAAATGATTACAAAAAGAAATGAAATCGATGAACGATAAGAAAAATACATTACAGGAACCACTAATAAAATAGAATAGCGAAAAAATTTATACATAACTTCAACTTAAGAAGCAAAGTAGTGTATCAGTGAAATTTTGAACAGTCAGGAGTAAATAGAAAACAAAACGCTGTACCTATATAATAATTAAAGATATACTTAAAATTGACCATGTCTAGGTAAGTGCCTAAAATTATCTGAGGTAAAATATAGGTTCAGTTTTAAAAAATTGGTTCTCATAAGATAAAAAATACTTTTAATAAATGACATTAACAATGGGACTAATGTCTATTTATTTTATTTAGAATTCTGTAAAAATATAGCATTTAGAATCTATTATGTGGATGAAAATTAAGTGAACTTTAAACGAACTGGACTTTCATGTAGCTGATAGTTTCCGGACACTGTATAAATCATCATAAAGATTAGAATAAATAAGTGATACTTAGATGGGCAATGCTAATATAATAATACGTAGATAATGAGTTGGCTGAACATTATACGGGAGCTTTAAATTAGGTCAGTTGTCCATTATCTTGAATTCAGCAGGAATGAATCCCGGAATGAATTCCAGAGGGACTAGAGGGCGACCTAACAGGGTACGTTGTCAGCAATGGGGCGTAGTTAACTTTGTTATATTCGTGAGACCAACACGTACCTACCTATGTGTTTATTATAAATTTTAATCGATTGTGACGACCTATGTCGATTCTCTTGGCTATTTAAATGTACACTGTAAAACGGCATGTAATTGCTTCCAAAATCATTCAATCTACTTCTGCAATTTATGAATATCAATTTAAACTCCGTTCCCTGTCCTTCTTCTCCTCTCGTTCGTCCATTCTATTCTATTCGTTTACTTCTATATTTACCGTTTTGCCATTCCTTTTTATCTGTACATATAAATAAAATTGGAGTGTCTCTTTGTAATATTGAAATAACCGTTAGTACCTACTACATGCATATGTATAAATAAGGTACAGATACACCAAAATAACATTTTTTACAAATTTTGTCTCTCTGTCTGTCTGTTCCGGCTAATCTCCGAAATGGTTAGCCGACTTTAACAGGACTTTTTTGACAGGTAGCTGATGTAATAAGGAGTAACTTAGACTATTCTTTTTAGAAAAATAAAGGTAAATTCCATGCGGACGAAGTCGCGGGCTACAGCTAGTAGTATAATATTAGAGGTACGAATTAAAGATAAAAATATTTTTTACACAAAAAATTAATGTAACAATATTTGGTAAACTATTGTTACTATTTCTCCTTTTTTATAGTCTCAGAGATTTAAGTCATCACTGGTATTTATTATTAAAATTTATTAATTAATTAATTAGTTAAAAACAAAAGATAAACCCTTAAACAAACAAAAAACAAAGACTGATTTGTAATATTAGTGTATAAAAATAGATATAGGGCATCTATGTGGGACTATATTTAAAAAACATCTTCAGTTCACTGTAAAACGGCACGGCAACAGCTTCTAAATAGGGTTGAATTATGTAGTATTCCCGAAGGAAGACCTCAAAATAATAATGAACCAATTGTTGGTTTAAATGGACGATCCTTCTACTAGTTTACTACATTTGTTAACATACCTACTGATGTCGTAAGAAATTGATAGGTATAAGTAGACAGTACAACGTATTATAAGAACAAATAAATTGCACCCGTACCACGTATACAACGAGTGCAAGCACTGCGACCAACTGACTATCAAGGATTTTGTCAGAAGATACCTACCTACTTCGTTGACGCACACAAGTTCCGCTCTTTTTTAATTAAATGGTATTGAGCGATGAATTGATTCACAAAAGAAGTTATATAAAAGATAATACCTACATGACGAAAAAAAAATATTCACAATAATTAAAATGAATAAATAGATTCTAAAATTATTAGGATCAGGTACACCAATAAAATTTATTATTTCTTATTTGTGATAACACCCCTCCCTTATCGCCGACATTTTGTTGGTGCACGCCATTCGGGATACCTGAATATTTCTATTAGGTACAATGTAAAACAGATTAAAATGCTAAAAAACAAGCCTCAAAAAACAATACTGATAAAACATACGTACTTGTTTCAGGCACCGATTTATTAATATTCATTTTTACAATGGAACCGCTCTTTTGAGAATTGAAGCAAAATGGAATACCTATATGGGAAAAACCAATAATGGGTCTATAATAAAGGGCTTGCACTTGCAACTTGTTTTTTTTTTAAAGTGAGGCGGGATTGCACATGCGAACAAAATCAATCTATGCAAACAAATGACTGCATATTTGCTACCGTAGTAAAAAAAATGTATCACAGTTTGTTTCTTCTTTTGTTTTTATTATGTGGCGTCTGGCGTAAAACAATGTTGTTTTTTTCTATTTGTCCTGAAAAAATATTTTGGTTTAAGTGACATAAAATTTATATTTGCATTTCTCTCCCACAGACTACTTACTAGAGCTGTTGCAAACAGCAAGTACTAAGTACAGAGTAACTTATACCGCACCTGTCACGAAGTTACCTTTGGTTGCTTCGGATTTGGACTTCTTGTAGTTAGTGAGTACCTGTGGTTACCTGATGACCGTAACTGTTTATCCATTGTAAGTGACTGTATTACAACTAAGTTACTGTAGATACTTGTTTATTATAAAAAAATAGTCGTCTTTATGACACTCCCCATCATTGCGAAAAGACATTGCATCTCCGACCATTTTCTGCCGTATACATTATGGACTGTTCGAATCAATATCAGCTGCTAAATTCTATTTATCTATTTTAATTCTATCCGCCAAGCCAATTAGAATACCATCCTGATCACCTGGAGAAATGCGTGCGGCTTTCCAAACCACTTTAAATACCATTGCTGGAAGGTGATTAGGTATACAATGTGTTGTGTACCATCAGGTGTGCTCATATGCTGTATAAAAACAACACTACTATAGGTACCTACATAAACAATCTGTGACGTAATAAAAAAAGCTCGAGCACAAGATCAAATTACGATTGCGGATGACAAGACGCCGTTACGGGCACACATAGCGCCCTAATAAATAAAAAAACAAAAAAACTACAGCATGGACACTGTGTGACGTAATGAAACTTTAGTAACGAGTTGGATTAGTTACTAGTGCGTACGGGTACTCCAATTTCTCGTTATTTTTACAGCCCTGGTACATAGACAGTCCCTGTGTTGCCAGGTGCAAGGCTGAATATTTGTATTTATTCCTACTATTTCTTTCAACAGTATGGTGATTGATGACACTAGTTATTCATAGGTCAAACTCCATGTCGTAATTTGGTATGAGTTCGTATATCTTCATTTTATCGCCACATTTCACTTTTCTTTTTGCGCTGTATACCATTAGCGCAGGTAGAAATTACTATTTTATTAAGAATTAAGTCCTCACTCGTACTTTGCTAAGTCCTTGAATGAATCCGAGCTAAATATCTTGATATTAAAATGACAATAATAGACAGATATAGTTGGAAGGCATTTTATTTTGCTCTTTGTGTATTTAGATGTTTTTTTTAAAGAAGGACAGCTAATTTAAACAATAGAAAGTCGACAGAATGCTTCACATAAAATTTTACCTATATTCAGGAATATAATTCGGAAAGTAGTGTAACACATAAATTATAAAACAATTTACAAACTGTTTTATTTAACATCGGTGGTTTTATACACTTAAGTATATTAATTAATAATTCTCCAATAAATACTTAAAATTTACAATTCATTTAAATTTATTCACTAATTAAATAACTAAAGTTTACCTATATTTTATACACAGTCCAATATTGTGATAAATAATATAACAAAAATTATGACCAGAACAAAAACATAAAAGCACAATTTGTCTTCTGCCAAAAAAACACTATCACATAAATCAAATTGTTGAGTTTAAATTAACATTCAAATACGTCAATATATATTTTGATACCTAAAGAGGTATTTGAATACGAGGCACAAAAAATGTTTAAATCATAAATTCCAGAATAAACCATTTAAAAACATGATTTTATTATTTACTTTACTACTGCAGATGCAATTTAGTGGTATATATAATTGCAGTAAATTAATAAGATCACATCAATTTTGAAGTATGTTTTTTATGTGTAACTATTAGTAACTTAAAAAACATGAAACTTCATTAGGCATCATGTTTCTAGAATTATTATAGAAACATATTTAAAATTAGTGCTATTTTTTCTATTCTGAAATTGCTATATATTTGATATTTATTTAAGCGGATGTTTCTTTGGAAAAATATGGGCGAACTCCTTGCAAGCCTTGTCAATATCATCATACTGATATTTGAAACCATATTCTAACACTCTTTTTGGTATGACGTGTTGTCCTTTAGTCATAATCATTGCTCTTTCAGGATTCAACAAAAAATCCAGTATTGTTTCTGGAACAGGAACTAAAGCTGGCCGTTTTAATGCTTTTGCGAAAGACTGAAAAAAGACAGATTTTATGTTCATTTACTGAAATAAGGTATACTGCTTCGCGTCTACTGATTATAAAAAAATATGTTGGTTTTGAAGTACCAAAAATAAACCATTAACATACATAGAAAAGTTGTTGCTTCAACATTATCTAAACATACAACGACATAAAATTGAAGTATTTGTTTATATTAACAGCTTTACACTAAATGCTTATAAAAGTTTATTCGGTTCTTACTCTAAAAAATATTGAACAAAATGTATCTGTCTGTCCGTTTGTTTTTGCTCTGAAACCGCAGGGCTGATTTTGACGAGACTGACTCCCAGATAGCTATTGTTACTGCTGTTTTAATATAAAAAAGAAGTTTAATTCCACGCGGACAAAATCAGGGGTAACAGCTAGTAAGGTAAATATGGAGAAACGAATTTTACGCAATAGTAGGCCTAAAAAATAGGAAAAATCAGTAACTTACTTTTGTAAATTCGTCGTTAGTAATAACATGAGGGGCAACACCGTTTAGTACGCCTTGAACATTTTCATTTTCTATAGCAAAATGTATAAGGCGTATGAGGTCATCTATGTGTATCCAAGGAAGATATTGCTTGCCGGTACCAATGCGGCCACCGAAACCGAAATAGAAAGGCAAGAACATATTTTTAATCATGCCGCCCCATCTACCTAAAACAGCTCCAGATCGGATGATTACCTGAAAATACGTAATATACAGTTTGTCTAGTATAGTTACCATTACATACAGAAATTATTAAATTATGCCTTGTACCCATAATTTTAAAACGTTTTCTACAAAATATGTTGTTTAGTGACTTGTCTTAAACGCACACCAGTTTTATACATTATTTTTCTATATACTTGAAAATTCCCTGTTCTACAAGTGTTTTCTTTTTCTAGCAAACATATTTCCATTTAGAATCTTATTAGAACTAATTGTGCTCGAGGCTTAGTATTTGTGATATTTGATAACAAATTCAGATAAAAATTCTAATTAGTATCTGATTGAAGCCGGTTGTATTGTATATTTGTTATTTATTTGATATGTTTATTTAAAAACGATTATGTATAGACGTGGATTACGTTTTTTATTATATATGATCGAAAAAATTAACCTAAACGTAATATAGATTACTTTTTGAAATAGACCTATTAAGTAAGTTTAATGTGTTATCATATTTATGAAAAAGACTTATTCGTACATTTCAAGATAATGCTGGTAGTTTTATTATATTATTGATAAACTAAAGCTGAAAAAAGCTGAATATATATATATCATTCATTCATTCATAATTTAAGAGCTGTGCTCTTGTCGGTGGAGCTCCCGCCACCTTCCACGATCTTCTATCAGTCCCTTTAGCTGTTGATACGACACGACTCTAGCTTTTTCTTTAACTTGCTTGATATAGCTGTGTCTTGGTCTTCCCCTTCCTCTCTTTCCATCTATTTTTCCTTCTATAATGTTGTTAATTAGTTCGTCGTGTCGTATCAAGTGCCCCAACATTTTTCCCCGCCTATTCTCAATAATATCTATGATCTGTCTCTTTTCTTTAATCCTCTCAAGTACTTCTTCATTCCTTATTTTATTAATTATATATATATATTTAGAAAGGAATTTGATAAATTCTACCCCTAAGGGGATAAATTAACGCGAGCGAAACCGCGGGCAAAAGCTAGTATCAATATAAAAAGCTGATAAGTTTGTTTTGTTTGAACGCGCTAATGTTAGGAATTACTAGTTAAAAAAAATATTTTAGTTTTGTATAGGCCATTATCGAGGAATGTTATAGGCTGTATAAGATCACGCTTTGTTGAATAGGAGCGAAGTAGCAATGAAAAATGTAGATAATAAAAACGTCGGAATGTGACGTGGACGTAATTTTGTGGGACTGCAATTGATAAAACCACTTAAAGCCAGGCAAGGTTCAGAGATAAAAGATCGCCTTTGTTATGTAGTGTCTCATGTTATTACTGGATCTAGTTTTAACTATATTTATTTACTAGCACAGTTTTCGTAAAGTCTACAAAAATGATACACAAAAAAAAAATTTTAGTTATTTCAAAATGTTTGGTTTCATTTTACACATTTCATGTTCTAATAAATCTATCTAATTACATCAAATATCCAAGTATTCATTTAACACAGTCATGTCTGTTAAAAATGTTTCAGTGCCTGTGTGACCTAGAGATTTATTGCTCTGACTTGGACCAAAAGGTCGTGAGTTCGAAATTAACTGACACAAAAAAAACATTGTAAAAATGTCAGTTTTTCCGCTGATGGTAACACCGATAACAAAAATGATTAATCCGACAGGAGACTGTAGGATAGGCTAACTCCCTGCCACGTTGGATTTAAAACCTAGCAAAATGTGGCTATGTCAATCGTTGCATTCACCATGACGTTGATAGTTCTATCAGACAATGCCTCTGATTACCCCATGTGGAATAATAGTCCTGAATAGTGTATGTATACATTATGAAATATTTGTTTAGATTAGTTGTATGAGTTGGAATTGCGGTTTACAATTTTATTTAAATCTAATGTACTTACAAGTCTAACAGGTGGATCTACATAGGCAGCTTTCTCCCACTCAAACACAAGTCTTGAGAAGAAATCTATGCCAGTCGTGGGGCTAGTTTCGTCATATTTATTAAATTCGGAAGGTTCATAAGCGCCTACCCCAGTCACTACGATATACACTTTGGGTTTGTCTTCACTATGATTTATAGCTTTTGCCAACGCTTGTGTTGTATATACTCGTGAATTCTGTACATTTTGTTTAAATCTAAAAAAGTACATAATTTTATTTATTTCTAACAGTTATATATACATGGTGAAGTAAAGGGGACCGATGGTCTCATTGTAATTCGACCACGTCAGTTCGACCTCCGCGCGGTCCGTCCTATTTTTTTTGTTTACGTGGGGAAAATATTTCATAGAGACCCATCCGCCTGAAAGGTTGGACAAACAGGGACTGAGGGACGCCTACCAGGTAAACACCTCACGGCATTCTTCCATTAGGCATAGTGCCGGGGTCACGGGGCCGCGGAGCATTCTACCGCGATGCTACGGCGGTTGCCCTATTTCGCCCGTCGTGGGAGAGACGCACCAGAATATGGGATGCGCCCTTTCCACCATCTCTGCTAATTTTGTATGAATCTCTGGGACTGCTGCCCACACAGAGTCGCGCCTGCTCCGCCCGTACCTTTAAAATCCTAATCCTCTAAACCGCGGCTCTCATTGGCCAATATGAACCCCATCTAGCATGTAGCCTGCATATCAGGCCTTTTGCCAACAGTTAACAATTGCTCTTACAAGAACAATTATTACCCAGAGCCCAGAGTACACTAACCCTAACCATTCTTGAGCCATCGTTCCCGCGAACGTATTCACGAGAACAAACGAAAATGTAATGGCGAAATGCATCGTGGTGGTTGCTAGACGAATAACTATTCTCCGGGTTTCCCCTGGAAAGAAGCAATGGTGTCTACGATTGATTCCTAGTGTACTCATCACGAAGGGCCAACTGACTTAACTTCATGGTTGCCCATCCTATATATACCAAGCTGAATGGGCACCAATGAAGGATGATTAACGAAAAACGTTAATGGAAAAAAAACACATATTATATTGACATCTTACATACCATTTTGACCGATTTAATTATTATGAATAAAATTTATTTAATGACGTTCATGTGAGTACCAATTTCATCAAAATCAAAGTTGCTTTTATTTTGTAAGACAAAACTTCATCTCCCAATTATTTTATTGATTTTCTGCATCTCGTGCAATAAAGAGTATAAATAAAAATAAGAAATTACCTAAGCAAGAACTGAAATGGACTTTAAAATTAGGATTTATAAGGTCTATTTTTAAAAAACGCTTAATTTTCACTTATAATTAAATACCTTCAGCTATCGGCTATCTCGCCACATTTAAGCCAGCTGAAATTATTATTTATTCAAAATAGCATACAAACTAATAATTAACAAGTTTTGGAGTGAGAGGAAATCACTAATCTTTTTTACATATTCTTACATCAGCTGACTATCACCACGTTATAGCCAGCAATTTTTTTTTCGTCAATTTACAGGTGTAACTGTGATTTGGTCGGGAAGAAATGACAGATTTTTTTCACATTTGCCAGATCGCTTCTCCTTAACTAACCACTAAACTGTAACTGACTTTCACTAGACTTCATAATATATATTTTTTTAATCATCTTAGAAAAACTTCTAGTCTAAACAGACTTAGAGGATAATTCACGTAAAAGCGCGGGGCGCTATCTCTATCATCTCTATTCAACTACAATTGACGTATATTTTAAGAATGAACTAGTAATATATAGACATTACTATTTCACTTTTTGGCACTTTAATGCCAATTAGAAATGACTTAAAAAAATTTTGTTCCTTTCAATCTTTAATTCAATAAATTGGTATGCCAAGTTGATTAAAAAGATATTTCTTTTTACTACCCTACTACTACTTCGAGTTCTTATGTAAAAAAATATTCTAAATCGCCTTATTAGCAGAGAGACAACTCAAGGCAGTTACCAATATACTTATATGCTTGGGCTTTTTTTAAATAACAATTAAGCAAGTAAATAAACAGAAATAATTTATGATGTTATATTATAACGAGTTGATTAATTTATACCAAACCAACCCTGGTGTCCAGGATTTCGAAAAATCCATAAACTGTTGTCCAGCACAGTTGACTACAGCACAAGTCTTTTTGGGCAAGCCTGATACTTCTAGTACAGACCATGAAATATTGTTAGTACCAGGCATTCGGGCTATATTGGTTACCTCATAGCCATTAGCTAGAAGTAATTCACCTAAGTTTCGACCAATGAAACCCGTACCACCTCCTGAAAAGAAAAATAATGCATTTGCTCTAGCAAACATTATACCCATAGCCAGTAGAAAGTTTTTGATCTTCCATGTTATTATTTCAATTGCTTCGTAAGCAGTTTTTATAGAAACTTTTGGGTAACATCTAATTTAAGATATATATACTGAGAAATCAAGAGTCTAAAAATAGTGTATATAATTGTATTTGTAACTTTTCTATACTTATGTAAGTTAAATAAATAGATAAAGCAAGGGAAGTTTGTAATTCTAGAGGTTAAATCTATGTTTTCTGCCTACCCAGCAATGAAATTCATCTGAAGACATTCATTCTATAACTGTCAGTTAGGATCAAAATCAGGTACTTTCGGATAATAAATGTATGTATGCACTAGATCATGTAATCTCTACAAGGCAGTGTTTTTCCTGTAAGGTTTTTTATACCATTCTCTTTGTTTTAAATGTAAATGAGTAAAACAGTTTCAGTATAAAAGTAAATATCTTGAACAAATCGGAATCAATAAAGCTAGTAAATAAATAAATTAGTTACTACACAGTTAACATGGTATCAAAATAATATACAAGAATTTGATTGTATCTATAAAATATCTATGTAAGGAATTTATCTGCGAGAGTATTTTAAAAGACCCTATGGGTACCTACCCACTGCTTAACTGTTACTTATTGGATCATTGTATAACACTACCAGTCCTCAATCTGATTTCTTTACGGAATTGTTTTAAAATTGGCATGTTTGCGATTAAATATAAACCATTTAAATTTTGCAGTTGTTGAACTTTAAAACTAACATAGTAAAAATAAATATATAAAAATAAAAATTTATAGTGAATATACTTTCAACTTTGACTTGTATTATATAATCATATCAAGTGTATGTAAAATACATGTGCTTTTGAATATACATAATAAAAATAAATAAATAAGCATTTAATATATTCTTCACTATGAATATAATCACGAAGACTATTCTATTTTCTCTGCCTCCTCAGAAAAAAGGTCTCTCTCTGCCTCCTCAGAAAAAAGGTATCTGTAGTAAAAATAGCGATAATAAAATTTATATACAACATACCGATTAGAATTTTTCTTGCTGCCATTTAAAATAGATGTATGTTTATGGAATATTCCTCTACATAAAATTATATTTAAATCTTTGTATACTACATAAATAAACTATGTCAGATATATTATATATTTAGTTTAATTTAATTATTAATGCAAAAATTAAACCGATCATGTTCACTAGTGCGTCGATTTAATTCTGTTACATTATATTTTCAAATTAATTTAAAATACAATTTCAATTTTCAACTTAAAAAAATAGTGGTTTTTAACTTTTTATTCTATTTGTCGATTGACGTCGGTGGCCAATGGATTGACGGTCTACCCATAGTCGTCAGTCCTATACGTTGATTGATCCTATATTTTTTTAAAGTATTAAGTCTTCGGGTATTTACACCACAAAATATACAGAAGATACAGTTTGAAGTTAAAAAAAAAACAGTGACATATAGGTTGGTCTGTGTCGCTTGTTTTAGTGTCAAATACGAATATGTATATTATATATACTTGTCAACAAAAATATATAATTCTGTTTAACAATTCTTAAATATATAATTGTTTAAATTTATTCTGTACAATGGTTATTTCCCTGAATGTGCATGACGGAGTAGCATATGTATGGAATTCTGATGGTATATTTATTTATTATTATGCGTAGTAGCCACAGTTTTGATATATTTGACTCTTACTACTTTTGTTGAAGTCAATACTTAAAAAATTTACTAAGATTTTTTAAATTATAGATTGGCACATTCTTCGCTCGAAATATCGAATATGCGGTGCACTAATCGGAACAGTACCTTCGTATCCTAGACAAAATGAGTTTTCAGGTCAGTAAATATCAATAATCTAAGTAAATATTACAATACAAATAAATAAATATAATGTTTAAAATAATTACCTTACCTAGTAGTGTTAATACAATTTTTATTGTAATTTTCTGAATAACACATTTTACAAATAACATAATTCAGCTCAAGATAGATTCTATCAAGCTAATACATATAATTACCTTAGGGTGTATTAAATTCAGGATGCCCTGGATTTTATTATAACACTTGTAATATCCTGTTCTAGGATTGCCTATGGCTTTGATGTCCGAAGAAGCAGCATTATTAGTGGAAAAGGGGATTTGTGAGTTATTTGAATTACCTACAATAACAGATAAGTTGACAAACACAGAAGTTGAAGAAATCAAAATTGAAGAGCAAAGGTAGATTTATTAGTATATTTTTATTATTATACATAATTTGAGTGATCACATATTTTGTGATAGCTTCAATTTCTCTTTGTCTGACTCAAAGAGGTAAAATTATTATTTAGTTGAATAATGTAGGACTACATTCCTACCTTCATAAATATAGGTATATATATATATATATATATATATATATGTTTAAATTTTTTAGAGTTCTACAAGAGCAAAAAGAAGCATTGATGAAGAGAAAAGCTGAACAAATGTCACAAAAAATAGATATTATTATGGCAGGGAAAAGACAAAAATTACTATCAAAAGGGGTTACTGGTTAGTATTAAAATCCTTAAAGGAATATCAACATCACAATACTGATTTTGATGATCTATTCAAGTGGTTTAAAGTTTAATAGACTTATTGTGGTCCAATCATTTGTATTAATATACAACTTTTTCTTACTTGGATCAATGTATATGTAATGTCAATGTAGGTTGGACTCCATTTTCCGCAATTGGCCTCTCATTCGGGCCGTTGTGCTCTACACGAGCCAGGCTACTAACGTAGCCAGCCAAGCTCCTCCCAGAAGCGCAGAAGTCTCCTGGTGTCTTCGCAGGCTTCTCGGAGCGACCTCACCGTTCCGAGGATTTGATTTCGTTGTGTGGTCACTGCTTTGCACTCCAGGATTACGTGAGCGGCCGTTTCCTCGGCTACAAAGCAGCCCCGGCATAGGGGACTGTCTGTAGCACCTATTATGTACAAATGTCTGTTTAAGGGACAGTGGCCCGTCATTGTCCCTATCATTGTTTTTATGTTATGCCTGTCCAGATTTATTAGGCGTTTTGTCATTCATTGATTTGTTCTGGGAATTGCCACTTTTGATTGTTTACAATCGGTGGTTTGTTTCCATCTTTAGGGGCCTGCTACCGTCATACCTGATCCTCTTCTCGCCAATTCGTCCGCGGCATCGTCCATATGATCCACTATGCCCTTTTATCCACTGGATGGTTACACCGTTGTGCTCTGCCACTTTATCCATGATATATTTATATAGGCTACTATTATCACTTACCATCGGATGCACACTCAGATTGTTTTGTACAAAAAAAAAAAAAACAATTGGAAATAGATTGACATCAAGTCTTGCATTCACAAAGACATCATTGAAGAATTAGTGAAACTATCACTTATGCATTATATTTCTTTATCCTTTTAGATATTAATTTGGACAAGCATTCAGTATTACAAGAAGAAATAAACAAATTACCACCATTAAATCCTGCACATGTACTGGTACATCTGCCAACGAAGCACCATATAGACATAGGTTTGAAAACAGATATTATTTTTTAGTCAAGAACAACATCTTCTATGTTGTGGTATGGTTCTTAGAAAAACAAAAGCTACAGTCGCTTCTAATATTTAGAAATCTATTTGAATTGCATTTTTAGGGCTGTTTTTTTAACTATACTATAATGCTGTGACTTTGTTTATATAAATTATATATTTAACATTACAGAAAAGCAGCAAGTTGGTGTTGATGCCTTGAGACCTAACCTGAAAGACAATGCTGCAGCTAGATACACTATTTTCAAAGATTTATGGGAAAAGGGTTATCATATTACAAATGGTCCAAAATTTGGCTCAGATTTTCTTGTTTATCCAGGTGACAAACTATATATTGATCATTTCATACATTATTCATAGTGGTTAATTTCAAATGAATTCTGCACTATGGGCTAAATTATTAAAAATTATTATTTTATATGACATATCAAAATTAATAATAATAATACCCCCCAGGGGCCACCTTGTCCCTCCCAGGGGGCCACCTTGTCGTGGTGAAGGACCTAATAAGCAAATGAATGAATTTATTTGGCGCACATACCTCATTATAACAAACAATTAGCAAAACACAAAAGCATATCTTAAACCATTGCATCAACAATTTACACAGAAATTCCCAACAATGAATGTTCACAACAAAGGTTAGGAGACCAGAGAAGAGCAATAGTTAGAAACAAATTAATCACAAAAAGCAGTCATTCTCAACACATATTGTTATTGTACGGAAATTTCTGTCGTCTTCACTTTCATCATCCTTATATAACTTTTAAACTCATCCACGCTTGGCTAAGACCCGCATGTTTGAATGTATTACCCCTGTAAAAAGGGAGATATATAAAATATATGTATATATAAAAAAAAATCTCAGGACAAATCACACAGCGCCATCTAGACCCAAGTTAAGCTAGCTAAAGCTCTTGTTATGGGTACTAGACAACTGATACAAATACATAGTTTTTTTTTGGGAATACATACATATCATACATAGAAAACACACAGACCGATACAAACAATCATACTCATGAATACAAATGTTTGTGCCCTGCAAGGAATCGAACCCGGGACCATCGGTAGTAAGGTGGTGTGCTAAACCGGTAGACCACCGAGGTAAATGTGAATAAGTAAGTGACATCCTTTTAGTACTACTACAGTGTAATAGCACAGCTGTTTCATTAAAATAAAAAATAGTAACGTATTTGTTAGTTGACACGGGTGTCAGGTGCAATTAGTAAACCACAATAATTTTAATATTATTTTATGAGATTTTCAAAATATATTATGATTATTAAATGTTAATGTTCATTGCAGGAGATCCTGTAAAGTTCCATGCTATGTATATGGTGAGATGTGTAAGCGACCAAACCACCTCATTATGCCCTTCCAGTCTCGTCGCCTACGGAAGATTGTCAGTAGCCGTAAATAAATTAGCAATTTTAGCTTTTTGCAGCAATTATAATAAAGTAGATTATCAAACATTACAATGGCATGACAGCATACATAGATAAAATAAATATTAAAATTTGAAATAGGCATTTATTTTATTTTAAACATCTGAGACTGATACCAAAAAGTATGAACTGATACGGGTAGTAGTAACTTTACTTCAGTTTAGTTTACTTTATCCCTTCCGATCAATCTTCAGTCCAATTCTAACGGGAATCGAAATGAAGACCTAGTGCCCCAGATTCGAACGCCTAGGGCCGTCCTCCGTCAATTAACAAAAATTTATTAACATTTTTTAAAAGTTTTTATTGTAAAACACTTTTTTGTTTAACTTAAGAAGTTTGTTTTCCTTATTGAAGGAACAGCAGGTAAATAAGAATTATTTGTGCAATTGTCTCAAAAGAGTATTAAAAATGTTGATGTTTTTCTAGGATTTAATTTTGACTGATTAATAATAAAGCAATTAAACTGATTTGACATTCGTTTTTATTTACATTTCATCAGCATAATTGCAATAGCATGTCTGGCTATTAGGTTTGACGATTGACAATTCCTAGATGCCAGAGCCGTGAAATAATGAATAAAAAAAGTTTTCCTGTAGTCTCTCTAATCTGTGATTGATTGTGAAATGTCAATGTCAGATAATAATTCGTATTTAGAGATCATTTATGATCATTTTATTTCGTCATTTATTTGTGTATTATCCTATTCAGTACAAGAAACTAATTATTTTGTACCTTATTTATTTTAAACAAACATGGATGATCCAGAATTGGAAAAGTTAAGGCAACAACGTCTAGCACAACTCCAAGCTCAACATGGTGTGAGTAAACTTTTGAAAAACTAAAATTATAGGTTAAGTTTCCAAAAAGAATGTTTAGTTTTAATTATTTATATATTTATAAAATATCAATATCTTACCACAACTTATAGCGTACCAATAGCTCTTTAGAATAAAAAAAAATACTATTCAAAAGTTATTTTGATAATTTCTGGTCTAAGGATCTTTACCTGTTCCGTCATTGAATACGCGATGGACGAATATAAAAAAAAATTTTTTTAGTAATTTCTAATTATTGTGCTTACAAATGTTTTAGGGGACGGGCGACCCGAATCAGGCAAAAGCCCAAGAAGAGAGAATGCAAGCAATGGAAGAAACCAAGAATTCAATTCTCTCTCAAGTACTGGACCAAAATGCCCGAGCTAGATGTAGGTAATATTATTATGGTAATATGATGTAGGCACTCAGGTTTGTTAAATGTTTTTAGATTTATTGAAATGGGCAGTTTTGTAATTTACTTTATTGGCATTGTAATCTATGATTATAGAGTTCTAGTTTTCAGGGAAATTTCAGTATAGTAAATTACAATAATAATTATATCTTATTATAATATGTGTATGAGTTTGAAGAGTTCTTCATGAAATAAATATTTTCACACTCAAAAGTGTAATTTTACATATTACTGGTTATATTGAATTTTGCCAATTAATAATCTTCAGCAATGGTATTATTATTAAATAAATTTTACTCACGATTCAAATAAAATAATCTGAAGCTATATGTTACGGTCTTATAGTATACAAGATATAGATTCATGTACCTATAAATAATGATGTATTAACATATAATATAATATATGGCATAAAACATAGATATGTACCATTAAATAATTTGTTGCATATGAGTTTCGTAACTGTGGAAGTACTAGAACAAAATAGGGTGATATGGTGTGGAAGTTGGTTGAAAGATTTTCATGCTTGTAAGATGTAAGTGTTCTCTCTGTATCTGGTCCTGCCTGCAGTAAAATGGCTCTTTGTCCAAGTCTTAGGGTATTAGTTCTTAGGTTTATTTTATATACTTACTTTATTACCAAAACTTTCAGATACTGTACTAAAAGACTACACAAACCATTTTGAGTCCCTTACTTAAAATACATTTCATTCATGCACATTACATTCTATTCATAAAGATTTTATTTTTTTCAGTGAACACAATTAAGATTAGCCGGCCGGAGAAGGCAGCGATGGTGGAAAATATGATCTGTAGGATGGCTCAAATGGGTCAAGTTCAATCTAAAATATCTGAACAAGAACTTATTCAGATTTTAGAGTCACTTAATCAACAAATGCCGAAATCAACAAGCACTGTGAAATTTGATAGAAGAAGAGCAGCTCTTGATTCAGATGATGATGATTTCTAGGAGACTGACATTTAGCTTTATTTATTTCATTATAAAATTAACTTTACTCACACATTGAAAAATAAATTTTATTAAGAACACTGTCTATTTCTTAGCTATTTTTATTTTAGTTAATGTTAATAAATTGTTAGAAATTTAAAATAATATTAACTCCTTCTAAAACACTATAAGTACTTATCATAATACTGGATGCTTTATTTCATATTGCTATGTACTCATTGACATATTATGTTTAATTTTAATTATAACATTTAGTTTACTAAAGTGATTTAGTAGTTTAATTTGCTTTTTTAATTTGTTATTATTTTGTGGTGCATTAGTGTGTCTATACATTTATAGCAGTTGAAAAACTATCTGTAGAGTTGAATATTTCTAAAAGAAATACGACTTATATTAAATTCTCAAGGATTGGTATGATGTGATTGGTGGTACGATCCCAATAAATATATACTGAAGGTCTCACGAATCATTCCTCCGTACCCCGTAGCGTCAGGCGGAAGATGGCCTTCAACCGCTCTATAAGTCCTTCCGCGGGTTTGGAGCGCCATCCGCACTCGCCTCTATCGTCAGGTGTACCTGTAGATGCCAGCTGCGGCCAACAGCATTAGAGTAGTCCGAAAAAAAATCTGAGATTAGAGGAACAAACACAAAAATTTTATAGGCAGCTAATTGCTAGGGTTACGTTGACAAAGTTCACCAAAAAAGATGCCCAGTGGCATGTCTTGGGAGACAGCTATGTCCAGCTGTGGACTGCAGTGGGCTGATGATGATGCTGAGGTATCTTTTATGTACATATTATATTGATCACAGTCACACACACATTGGTTACAGTGATCATTTATATTTTTATTATAGGTAGTAATGTAGCAAAGGATTAGCATAAGTTTAAAAGGTAATCAATGTAGATACCTAGTGTATTTAAATTTATCTGTAAGATCGTATAAGAGTACCTATATTTTGGTTGACAAAAATAAAGCTATAACATCACCGTGAACACCGGTCGGTGCGCGCTGCCCTGAATTTTAATAAGTCAATGACCCCGCGTTACCAGGAACAACCAAAAGGATCTACGTACGACACGATTGGTATCCGATCGGTCGGACGTACTGTCGGATTGAAATTGGACACTGTCTTCACACATCAATTTTACAATCTATAAGTTGGTTGGAATTCGTAGATATTAACGGAGACTAGTTTGCGACATTGCTAGCAATGTCAGGTCGACCTCCATACGGTCCCTCATGGAAAGCATTCTGCCAAATTCGTATTAGATTCGTCAAGTGGGTTTACTGATTGATGTCATACTTCATCATTCATCCCTTCAACTTCACTGGTGTCATGCCAGCTTGTAGTCTTAGCGCAAGCGTGGCTACCATTCCATTTTAATTCAATAAAAAAAACTTCTACTACTAAAGTTCAGCCGCAGCGACTCAAAAGTAACTGGTCTCCAGAGTTGTATAGGTACCAACTGACAGGATCCGACCCATTAAGTGTCAAATCGTGTCGTACAAACGTCATGTCACACAACAAAAAAATAAATTGGGGAACCATTAAAAATTCTTACCGCGTTATTTCTTAAAACGTAATCATTGAATCAAGTACCTAATTAGTTTTATACTGTGGTAGAGCTTGTAAAAAGTCATCTACGTGGGTGGCGCCAAGTAGTTACTTCGTTGAGGGGTGAGATATGGCAATGAAATTACAGGATAAGGTGGATGACATCTTTGTCCTTCGAAATAGCAACGCATGAGTGGTATCACGGGCGTCACGAACGCAAACAGTTCTGTTCATGTACTCGAATATATCACTGACGTCAGGTAATCTTAAGTAGTAATCAGGTGGGATGTCTTACCTTGATTGCCTTTCCAATTACATCAAATAAAAAAACTAAGCGCATTTATTTTGAGTATATTTTAGTTTTGTGTAGAGGATACTAGTTTCCTATTTGCTGTTGTCGTATTATAATTATATCCGTCAGGTGGGAGTTGGCCTTCACCCGCGCCATAAATCCGCAGGTTTGAAGTGCCGTCTGCACTCGCCCTCTATCGTTCGACGAAGCTCTAAAGGCCAGCTGCAGCCATTAGAGTAGTCCAAAAAAAGCTATTGTATTGAATTCTTTGGACAAATTTACAGTAAAGTATAATATTTGTGTAAAAAATACTTTGCACAGTCATTTGAGTATATGTAAAATTTATAAAAAATTCTAGACTGCTGCATATTTCCATATCTTTTGGTATTGCTGCCATGTTTGGATAAATAACAAATACCTACACAAAAAACTACATACAGACTTTCAAACAGCGATAGAGCATAGTATTTGCGACGGAGAACAATATCATAATTACATAAGGAAATAATAAAAGGTTATAATTAGGTATAATAAGTACCTAGATATATTATAGTAACATCATGTGCGTTATAATGAACGCAATAATTAGGTTGATTAATTACATGTAAAATGACAACGACTTATCAATTAGAAAGATTTAATCTATCTAAACCAATATAATAATCCTTATTGTAAACCACACACAATTATTTACTATATGTAGTGTTTTATTGTAGTGTTATTTCCTTTTCAATAATTTTCTTATCAATGAAAAATAGTAGATACTATTTGATTATTTAGTTTATTCACAAATATTGTTATCTGTCTAAACTTATCAGTCTGTTCCCTACGAGATCATTTTATTTTTGTGTTTGTACAATACTAATAATAATATTATCTCAGGATAATCACACTGCGCCATTTAGTCCCGCCCGAGCTAAGCTAAGAATTTTTGTGTCATATTTACATCTTTTTTGAAAATACGTACTTAATATACATAGAACATACCTAATAAAAATTTATACATTGTGATACAATCACGCATATTAAGGTAACAAATAGACAGACAGACACACTTTCGAATTTATAATATTAGTATGAATTTGTCTTAATTTTCTACTTCAACATTCAGGCTCAGGCCATTCAAACCGTTAATTTCCATTGATTTAATAAGATTAATGGTTCGATCATACACTAGCTCCTGAGCGTCGATACCCCATAAGAAATCCAAATGACTGAATCTCGGTAATGAAACTCTGAATTTACCAACAGGTCTACCGAGTTCCCTGAATAACCTGTCGACATCATTCACATGAGCTAAAGGATCATGGTCAACGTAGTGTAAGAAGACTGGAGCTGTGACCTTAGAAAGATCATAATTCGGAGGCGTCCGGCTTCCATAAACTTTTCTGTTTGCTCGACGAGATCCATGGTCATAGCGGCGAAAACGTTTACCAGAAATTCCTTGCCCGTAATGGGCGAACTGTCTTACGGATGCACCAGCGGGCGTGTGACCGAATTTTACTGGAATCATAGTCTGCAATTTGACACAAACTTTTTAACAAATATATTTAGTTCTGGAGTTTATTATAATTAACTAGCGATTTACCGCGACTTCGTTTACTTTTTTTGTATAAGGAGCCTATGTTAGTCCTCAGTTATAAAAAGGCAACAAATAGACTGGTAGACACATTTTATAATATTAGTGCGGATTACATTTTAATTTGCTTTTCTCTATACTAGAATATAAATAGGATATACTTACAGTATTCTGTTGGGATTCGCTCCACCCTCCGATCAAGAATAAGATGTTGCTACAAATAGGTTGGAAAATGACTTCGTCCATACAAAATTGTTGGCCAGCCCACGTCATTATGAGATTATTGGGTAAAAATTCACCAATACCAATAAGAGATGCTAGAGTCTAAAAATAAGTAATATAGATACTATTAGTAAATAAAAGACTTAAGGTTTCATTTAATTAGAATTCATTAAACTAATTAAGTTACTAAATTATCTACAAACTAGGATTTAGGTATGTAGAATTAGATGTAGGTTAAGATTTTAGTTTGTAGTTCATCATTTGGTAATCTATTACTATTCATAAACGTATTCGAACTATGTACGTACCTACCTAATTATAATGGGTAGGTACTTAAATTTCGAGTTTACATAGGCGCCACTACACCACCGATTTTGAAAACAAAAATTTTATATTAGTGTTTTAACGGATGAAGATTCGCCTAGTGGTGATACCAAATTATTTGTAACCAAAACTAAAGGATGAAAAATCGATCTAGATATCTAGATAGATACACTAATTTTTATTCCTTAAAACGTTATTCGTCCTGCCAGAACACCGATGGAATAATTCAATTTAACGTGATAGATAAATTTTCCTATAATTATTCAGAAGCCTACTTCTTTGATATTATGATTATACTAACCTCAAGACTGTTAGAAAATGGCGCTATCATTAAGAAGAAGGGATTCCGGTTATGTGCCATATATGCAACAGGGGCGAAGGCATGCATAGAAGTAATTTTCTGATTATATTCTGGTCGAAGAGCTCCCATCACAAAGAAAGATGTGGTGCCTTGAGAATGTCCCACATAGTGAAGCCTTTCCTGATCGGTGTTATTGAGTACATAATCAATCATTGTAGGCAAATCAATGTTGCCTATTTCATCCCACGAAAATTCCCAGAATCTAGTACTCAAAAGAGCATCTGGATTAAGACTAATATGTTGACGGGAATAATAGTTGCCACGGGCATTGCCCATCCAAACGTCAAAACCCTCTTCAGCAAGAATATAAGCTGTCAAAAGAAATATATAATAAATTATAAATCAGTGCTATAGATTCAGAATTCTATTTATTCTGTTTAGTTGATTCATTACTTCCTCCAGTACATTTCATTAACAGTTGTTCATATGATTATAAATTTGAAACTAATCAACAGGATTATGTATCTTAAAGGCAATGTGTATACTTACCAAATCCACACCCGGGACCCATAAGAACCCAATCTGCAGACGAGGAGAGAAGACCGTGCATCAAAAACACTATGGGCCTACGTACACTTGGATCGTTATTGTTGTCCCGACCATGTGGAATTCGATGTATTCCCAATATATAACCATCGTCAGTTGTAATACTGTGATCTTCGAAAGAATAGTTGTATTTCCTTACAAGTTCCGGCTGGAATAATATTTTTTCAATTCATAGTAATAATGATGTTAAAATAAATAATCTTAAATTCACGCAATAACTTATTAATGTGTTTGAATTAGATTTCCTGCTCCACTTAATGCATAATAATATGATTCATGATTTTGTTATTTAGTAATATGTAATATTTAAAAATTTTAGTAAATTTTGTATTAAGTTAGGTCCTTAATACAACTGTAATAACGAGTCTTATCCTCCTGAGTCTTCTAAATATGTTTTATATATTCTCTTTTAAAGAACTTTTTAATAAGACTGGCAGTGGTCAGGTTTACTAAAAAGTAGTAATGCATATCTAATGTAATCATAGAATATATATATATAATATGAAGATATATGTAATGATAATAAGTGAACTAAAATATAAGCTGGTGTCTATTACCAAAAAGTATAGATTAAATTCGGAACCAAAGTAACTCACCACATCCAGACGTGCATCTTCATAAATATTGTCAGATATTCTACCAGCATTTAAATGAGTTTTATATAAATTTTCAATATAGTCTTCATTTAGGGAGGATCCAGCAACTGCTATTGTCAATCCATAAAATAAGAAAAGCTTTTCACGCCACATTTTTGTCGCGACTTATGAACAACTCTCTACATAACTGACAGTAACGGCTTTTATAATTTGCGGATAATGCGATAAACTGGGTATTAATTTGATAATGATAATTGTTTGTCAATATATCTATCAACGAAACTGGTGGTAGCTTCAGATGGTATTATAAATCGTTTTAATGAATACTGATTGCTTGCTCATGTAAACAGATTATTAAAGATATAGGTAGGTATGACTTGTAAGTAAAATCACGGTAAATGCACTGAGATACATTCGAGATTTAAGAGGAGTGTAGTGTATTCTCGTAATAAAATTGCGATGTAGATAATAGTAGATATTCTTTAGTATTCGTTCTAACTTCGGAGATCTTGCGTCTTCACACACAGCGCCATCGAAATACTTTCAATCGATATGTTACCGTAAATATTTATGCATTTGACGTATTTTTTTACTTTCTGCTCTACTCGACTTACTCTATTACATGTAGGTATTAGATTGTAAAGAAAGGTATTTCTTTCATTATTCTGAAAATTCATTATAATTGGAATGTATTACATATTTCTTTAAAATTTTGTACAGTCTTGTGTTAATATAAATGAGCTAAAATGAGCGTTTTTTTGGTGAAAACGAGTTATACAGTAACGTGTAAATATGAAATTAAAAAAATTGTGTGAAAAGTTGATTATTTGCATACGATAGTATGAACAACAACAAATTTTGACGAGTTCTATTGGTTATTGTAGAAAACATTCATAGTAACACGTTTTGTATGGAGAGGGGTCGGGGACATTATTGAAATAACCCACATCGCGTCGCAAGTAGCGAGTTGCTACCTTTAGATCACCTTCATCTACATATCCTTTATAACTATGGACACCTTTAAAATTTTCGATCTTCTTTTCATAAATCGACTGTATTAATTAGTTTGTACTTTTGTTGTGCACAGTGACGTTATCTGAAGCAATTTTCTTTGTTCGACAAACTCTTATACTGTACTTATAGATACATCATTACATTATCAATGTTTTTGTCTGTACGATACGAACCAAATAACATATAACATAATAAAAGGGATTGGTTCTCCATAATAACACATAACATACCTCCCTATGTACTTCCGGTAACTATTAGGTACAAATATCAGTGTGATCTCAGCAATTTGTAGCTGAAAAAAAGTAGCATGACATGTCGTGGAAGGCATTGAACAAGACCTATGTATATAAGGTAGTGGATAAATGGAGGTAAAGACGATGCAAGTGTATTAGGTTATCTACACTAAAAGATTAGTAACGAGTCTTATACATTTATATTATTATTAATATCGGAAACGTACATAAAAAATTCTAGGCCTACCTACCAAGATTGTATTGTATTATTTTGGTAGAGATTTTACAATAATGAAGGAAGTCACTTCTCGTTTCGTGAAAGTATTTTTTTTTACAATTTTTAGCATTATTCTCCAGTATCTATTGGTTTTATAGTACCTTCACAGTAATTTCCTTTCCAATCGTAGTTTGATTTTCGTCGTCGTTTTCGTTGTCGTGAGTTGATACATTGAGTGAGCGATACAGTGAGTAGATCTAAGTTCAAACGAATCAAAATAAAAAGTTTTGTGACTATTATATATATATATATATTAATATTCCTATTATATATAATAATAATAATAAGGGATCGGTTCTTCATTATTAATTCTGCGTTTTATTAGAGTACTGCCTTTAAAGTTTAACAAATATAACAATTACCAAACATAGATTTGTACAGTCTGAATGATGTTGCACTCAGAGTTCGTTACGTATCACATCTTTACTCAATAACCGACTCTAAAAAAACCCCATAATTGCACTATGTAATCTCTTGCTTTGTACAAAAACTCTTTAAACTTGTGCATTAAGTTATACATACGGTAGTGACATAAAACGTAGGCCAATCGTAGGACAAAATTCGTCGTTCAATGTTTCCAATATAGATTAGATTTTTTATAAAACTATTTCCTATGTCATATCATTTAAAAAACAATTAATGTTGCTATTTCTCGAATCTGTTTGCTTGTACAAGTATAATAACTTTAATATATTAATACGTAGATTATTATCAACTGTTTATAGATCAGTACTAATCCTATGATTATTGTATTTTGAATAGTTCGTAATAAGGAATATAACATCAATTCTCCGCACTGTAATTTACATCGGATAATATAATAAGTAGTAGATACATAGAGTAGGTAAATATGATTAACTTCGCAATAACAGAATTATGTATATGACCAGATAATTATGAAATAGGTAAGTAACACATATTGTTTACCGTAAAGGAAGTTGTGAAATGTTTTGGCAACAGCGTATCTCAGTTCAAAATGTTTCCCTTAAGCCTACATTCGGTAAACGCCTAATGCTTTAAACAAGCAAGGAAGCCAAAAACTTAAGGATTTAAGTAAACATACTGTTACCGTAACGAGCTTGCCAGAGAAGACGTTGACGTATCTGACTTGAATTTTGACTTGAGAGTTTGTAATATTATCGTGTCTGTGATAATAAGTACTTACTTTGGTATATAACAGCTTTGTTAATTTATTTTCTCATAATAGCACTAAAAATAATATCGGGAGCGTTATGGCATATCATATCTTACCTAATGTTATATTATCAGTGTTAAGGTTTTAACACACTACAAAGAGTATTTTATATTTTGCAAATACAAAATATTTTCTACAAAGTATTTAAATATAAAATTATTAGTATTTTGCCTTTCGAATACTAATATTTTAAAATCACACATCTAATACCGGATACCTAATTTAGGGTGTTCGATTATTATTGTTTCAGCAATTGAAAGTACTATGACCAATTATTTTTCCCATTACCTACATCTAGATAACATAGATATATGTATGTTTATGTGTACTTATCTATTTCATATTTAGTATCTGGGTATGGCGTGGTTTTGTGACTCAAACTTTGTCTCTATTATTGTTATTAACAATTAGGTATATTATTTGTGAATGAAATGAGATAATCCGCGAATACATGATTAGATAGATATCTGGTAATTACGATAGATAAAATTTTTAGAAATACTTTAGTGGTTATAAATGTAATAAACAGGCAGGCTGGCATACTCTCCCATTTATTAGTACGATTTATGGCGCAGTAATAATAGAATAGATATTTATTTTGAATACAGTTTATTTGAAGCCAGGAACACAAGTATCAGTAATACAATAATTTTAAATTCAACTAACTGTAAACATAATGTAACAGACACAGATAATTTAATTTCTTTTAATACATGCATATGCATTTAACACATAGGTACATTGGTTAACACTACAGATATAACGCTCACATTTGTATAATATTGAAGTGTACAATGATGTTACAGACATCTACATAGTTCATTTAGGTCTCTAGTTATATTTTATAGAAAATTAGATCACACGCTTCTATTCAGATAAATAGTAAGTATATTAAATATAATAACGAACACCTGTTTATATTAGGTAATACGAGTAACGACACATGTATTCATTGATTTAAAAAATACATAATAATATTGTTAAACAGGTACAATATTGTAGTAAAAACAGTGATTCACAAATATAAATCACTATTATAAATAAAGAAACTAGTCAAAAATATTAAATATTTTCTATTAAACATGTTGCGTTTTCATTTATTTTCATAAGGAAGAACGCGGGTGGCTCTTGAATATTCTGTGGGTTTTAATTTGTATAAAATAGGTAATAGGTAAATATAATGTGTAGAAATTAATGTATATTTATTACGATTGTATAAATAGACACTTTTATAAAAAAAAGTTATGAAAAGCAATACTTTATAAAATATATATTACCTAAATCTGAACATCATAAATTTTATTTGTATAGTCCTATTTTATATAAGTAATTGACTTTTGGAATGGTCTTGTTATGCCAAAAGATTGTATAATATTTCTAGTACTTACTGTCAAATATCTTGATGTTTAATGAAAAGTCCATTAAATGTCGAGTGACAGTTTCAATCATAAGAAACAAATTTAATTATATGGAAACGGAGGTCGCTGTATCCACGAAAATAAATTTCATAAAATTCTTATTTTGACGTCTAACCTCCTCAGTATACAATATAATTAGTTAAAAGCTCATTGATATGATCAAGTTGGAAGAGGATATGACATGGTTCTGTAATTAATTTCGAAAATTGAGACCACATTGTAATATTATAATACACGTATAGAAAATCTAAAGGAGATAGGTACTTGTACAACAACATCTACCTACTTTCGTCATATTACAGCCCTTTTGCTATATATTATCTAGCCATCTAGCCTTCATTCAATGGTCATAAAATGTAACTAATGCACACCATATCATATGTATATATATTCTCGGCATAAGTTGCCGTAAGTAATAACTAGATTATTATGTCCTTACGCATCTTTCGACATTGGTATAGAGTATATCGTAACAACTGATATTTCGTGTAGTTTAATAGAAGTTGCATGGCCTACACACGACACTATATTTAGTGACCAAAATCGGAGTAGTAGTAAGAAGCGCCGTGGATCGTTTCTTCTTAGATGGCATCGTGTGTAGCAAAATCGGGGCCAATTTCACACAGTGCCTCACATATGTCCTCCGACTAAATTTACTCCCACCACTAATGCTGCGATATTGCCCTTGATTTTAGTACCGTCTGTAGGGCGGTTTACTATCACAGTAGCCTACTTCATTTTGTCATGACGTTATACTTTACAAGTACATATCGTGGTTGGATTGCGCAATTCGGATAATTGTAATTTTGGTACCTACCTATGAGTAGGCTATGCGGTGCTAGTCACTTGCAACTGAAATCCTACATTTTCGTAAAATATTAAGATATTTAGGTCGAATATGGCCACCATAATTTTTGACGCGATTTTTTTCCTATATTTAATGACAATAGGTTAAGAAACAGTAGGTATTAAAGCATATCCATATAGTGTACAAATTGAAAAGAAAGTAAATACGTAATATTAAATGAATTTACAATTAAAGTTATAGTAACAAACAAAATATAAGAGTTATAGTATATACAAAATAAAAACTACATGGAAATATCAAATGTGAATCCCGAGTAGGTAGTCGGGTTATAACATTCTGTATTTATTTGTTCAATGACATTGTACGAATAAAGAAAACTTACGAGTGATTTTTATAACAGCGTCGTGTCATTCACTTTTGAGGCAATTCGTCAGGCCCTTGCATGTGCGTAGCTTCGATGGCTACTGTCACATCTTATAGTATATATTGTTCAGTTTGTAAGATCATTCTAGTTAAGAGATGAATATTTATGGCCTAATTTTACGGTTAGCCATATTTGACCTGGGTACCTTACGTCTACGTTGTATATAAATCTCGCTTTGTTAAATCTATCGTTCTGACAAACTTTTCCCCCATAAATTCTTCAAACAAAATTGTACGAGGTGAAAGTTTTTATCATTTATATTATAGTATATCTGCCCGCTCTCTTTGATCCATAACGTCCCTCGGTGGTACTTTTTGTTTGCTCTTACTTAAATGTTTCCAAGCCGAGTTTTAAATTAAACATAAAATACTTTATGCATACATCAATTCTTAAAGAGTATTTTACCTTCACAATGGGACTTTGTTCACCTTGTACTTATAAATATATTAATACATGGAAATTGTAATACAACAAATTCTTTATGGTCAATTATGCAAATGTACTGTTAATTGAAAATGTCTTTTACCTGGAGTTGGTAACAAACATTTGTTTAATTCTCTAAGTATTGAACAGTTCCAATTCCAGCGATATACCACCACTTATTAAATAAGAATTTAAGAAGATTTCTTATATCGATTAGTATATAATTATTCACTCACTAATTTATAATTTATAAACATCAATACATTTTTTTCTATATTTAATTAATATTTTTTTTAATTGTATACACAGTGAACTTTATTCACATAAAGTTATAAAATTTATATAGTTATACTTGTACAATAATTAAACTAACAATGAAAATCAGTCGTCAAAGACATGTATATAATAATAATAATAATGCGACGGATAGGTGACCAATGCAAAGCTCGTTTCAAACCGCAATATAAATTACAAAAGCGTGTATATAGTCTGGAAAAATATTAAAATTCATAACAAGCTCATAGTGAGAGAGTTTCATATGATAAAGTTTATTAAAGTGAGAACATTTTATGACCTCGTACGATGTGTATATTCTGCATCAGTTGTCACAGTCTACTTACTACATACATGCACGTGGCTGTTACAGCCTTGATGGGTTTTAATATCAGCATATAAGTGGGTGTACTACACATCCAAACAAGTCATATAATATGCTTGTGAATCTACCAAATGATTGAATTGTCACAAAGTAGAGGGTAACGTCGAATCTTAAAGTACTTGGTCGGGAATTTCTAATAGAGACTAATAACTAGGGACATAAGCTCCGAGGGTGCATACTATCTATCATACACATATAAAAGTTTTGAAAGTACACACACGACATTTTATATTCTCTCATAAATAGAAGATATACACAGTCTTTGCAATATGTATTTATACAATAATACTGATGTGTTATTACATCTTACAATAATTTAACCTTGATTCTATTATACACAACTAGTACGTAACGTAAATTTGTTTTAAAAATATTGAACTCTTTTAATTTAGTAAAATATTTTTATAAGTACTTATATTGTCGACATGGACGTTGTGCATGAATTGAAATTATGAAACTGAATTTGAACTTACAGAAAGACATATAATATGTAGATATATAATAATTGAAATTAATTGCCTACTGTTCGGCAAATCGTAGTTTTTGTTTCTTGACAAATTCCATGGCTAATTTATCGGTAGTGCGCGATTCCAATATTTGTAAAATGGGGTGATCTGGGAACAATATTATTTTTATTAGACAAGAAACGCAATTAATCATTTAACACATTAGGGGTCAACCAAAAATTACGTCCCACGATAAGAGGGTTGGGGGGAGGGGGACGATAAAGCGTGATAAAATAGGTGGTGGGAGGTTCTCCTAAATTTCGTGACGTAACATTTCATAATTGAAGAAATTTAAAATTATATTTATATTTTTGTAAAATTTAGTTTTCTTCTGCAGTAACGTAGTCGGAGAGGAGGAGGGGAGGGGAGAGGTTAAAAAGAATATGAAGTTGATGTGACGTAATTTATGGATACTCTCTTAAAAAGGCTATAATGTAGAGTCTCGGTGTGGAGGGCGATCTGTTTGCACTGTGTGTACGGCACTTAGTGCGACCGTGCGGCTGCATAAAGATCCTCAGAGAGTCGTGCTCGGCGCTCGTATTACCCAGAGAATATTGCGGAAACGAACACTTCGTATTCAGTAAATACGTTGAGGCGTATAAGTAAATATCAAAAATACGAGATCCTACAGATATAATTAAGTAGACTACTACGCGTATCTAAACTATTGTATTTTGTTTGTAATATATAATCTGTTAAATTCTTTAATGACTTTCAGTACTTATTCATTATTTATATATCAGATATTACAAATTCTTGAATATTTTAAAACGTACATTTTAAATGGGGAATTCAAGAGTGTTTTGGCCTTTTGGTGGCCTTACACCCAAAAGGTCTAGAATTCAAATCTGGCAAACACAAATAACTTTATATGGTGTCCATTTATACATCTGACTAACTTTCCGGTGATTTAAACACTGATAACAAAACAAATTAATCTGAGGCACGGTGGTAGGCACCCCTCTTGCCATGATGGTCATATATAGCCTACTAAATGTGGGCAAGTATTGCGTTCACCAAGAAATCGACAGTTGATAATGCCTTTAACTACCCATTTTGTATAGAATATGTGACGGTAGAATAATCATTTTTACTACTTAATATAATAAAAAGGACACGTGGTTGGTTACGTCTGATACACATTGACAAATTACTCAAACTATTTCCTTGATTTGAAACAGACTTAAATAATAATAGGATAAAAATAATGTGCCCGTTTTTTCAACTGAAGTAGCTAGCCGAATTGGACGATAAGGATAGTGATAAAAAAAATACCGTTATAAGAGGCCGAATTTAATTTTGATTACTTACTTCTATCGTGGAGTTGCATAAGCGGCAGTTCTAGAGGACGCAGTGGGTCTGGAGGAGCATGGCTGTTAACTCCGGGTACCCGAGATAGGGATACGAACGCTTCACCCGCGAAGTCATCGGCAGTCAACACGTCGCGGTCCCACACGGTCATTGACAACGTGGCTTGGTTAGACCGGCATGCTTCTAGAGATACCGCGAATTCGAAGCACTCGTCCCACACCGGGTTCAAAGTTTTCTGTTATTGATGTCATTCCAAATTAGTATTATTACAAGTCAGGCGCGCTTCCAGAAATAATTAATCTATTAATAAAGATTAGTATCTTTGAGAGAGCGTCTCTTACAATGACATGAAAACTATTCTCGATTAATAAGAAACTTCGAGAGTAACCTAGAATAGGTTACGCCGTGTGTATTTACTAAAAATGGATAATACCTAATAATATACACAGAAAACACACAGACTGGCACAAACAATACATATGAATACAAATGTTTGTTCCCTCCCTATATACATGAACTAACTAACCCTATAATCGAAACAGAACTTACAAAGCCCGGTTGTCTGTTGAGATAGGTGACATTAGAATAATCATATTCATTTAAAGACCAATATAATACATACTATCAATAATACTTTACCTTTTGAACATTGGTAGTCTGTTCGTGCGCTTTAGGGAAGAGCCTTTTAGGTAATAGCTCGAGTACTACGAACGGGTCACTTAGCCCATTGGGATCAAGTGGGATCACGTCGCGGGCCGAGAGCACTTCCACGCACAGAGAGTCGTGGTTGAAATATACCCTGCCGATATAATTATATTATATTACTCGTGTCTATACTATTATAGCAATTATACAATTTACTATAATGATTTTAATATTTTTTTTCCGACGCGCATTTTTATATATTATAGTTATTTTTTATGTAATTGGAATAGAAATGCTAATTTGATGATAAATAATAATTGTGTCTCTATTTACATGAACAGGACACGGTTATCACGTTATCATGTGATGCTCGCAATACCAGGGGTAATGCGTTATATTCTGAAGACCATACCTATGTGAGGATATTCCAGTATCGTGTTATTTCACAACCCATCATGGCTAAGCGGCTGAAATAGCGCAAATGACTTTATGCCTACAAAGTCTCCATGGGTCGTATATCTTAATACTACACATAATTATGCATTCACACTATGTTATTTTTTTCTTTAGTTCGCTCAAAATGGTAAATGAATTCCTGGTGAAATCTTTACCAAGGTTACCAGTACTTTCAGTAGAAAGTTAATTTAAATTAAGTATAATGTAATTCAATTTAGAGCTAGATAAAAAATTGCTGGTTGAAAATGTAATTATATTACGTAATATCAAATTTGAAATAAGCGGTAATAAATATGCGAAATTGCTTTTAGTAATGAAGTCCAACGTTCTTATAAAATATGTAGATAATATTAAGTGACGCGGAATACTCTACCTAACTAATATGGAGCCATACGGCGATGGTAACGGTGTCCGAACCTGCTCGGCGACCCGATCGGCCAGCCACAGTTCTAGCAACTCTTCTGTGGGCGCTTGATGATACTGCATCCTTTGTTCAACGCGTATCCACTCACTGTTATGTACCTCAGACATTGGCAAACCTAATGAAGCGAATAATTCAATGTAACATTAATATAATTAATACTTCTTACAAAACACTTAGCTAATTAAGTACATGACGAAACAACTTTCTTGAAGAAACTTATGTTTCACCTCGGCTCTCCGTGTGAAAAGTTCATTGTTTTAGATACAAACGCGATCAAGTTAACAAGTTAGAATTGGTTCAATTATTATTGTTTCAATTTAATTTATTATATTCAAGTTCGTTGGAGTTTTCGTTATATAAATAGACACGATAAAATTGACTCATTTCTAAATTGGAGGAAGATGGAGGAGAATTAACTGACATTGTACTTATTTACACTAAAGTTTATCTAATTTAAATATTTAAATAACTCTAAATGACAAAACATTGCACCAAATCTACTACAACTTTCTATCAACAAATCTACATGTTAAGTTATACCAATTCATAAGAATTCGAAAAAGCGACTTCTTACCCTTTCCTTAGAAAGTGCATGATCTATTTAAGTAGCTCTTATAACAATTCAGCATAGGCCTTACTAGTGAGGCCAGCACTTACTAGTGAGGCTTATGAAAAGACATCAAGTACTCTTGATCTCTCTTGATGAATCTTTCTATTTTCATATGGAGGTATGAAACACAATACTTATTTCTCTAAATTTACGTACCTTTTCCTTCTGCGTGGAAAAATTCTGCGAGAAGGTCGAGAGCCTCCCTCAGTCTGTGATGGTAAACCCTAGGTCTTTCAGCTCCACCAGCATCGGCTTGAGCAGACACCTCTTTGAGTACAGCGCTCCAGCAGCCCGCAAGTGCTCGGGTGAAAGCACGGGGCAATAACCATGTGTTGAGCGAAGACAAATGCTGGTCCAGGAACTCGAGCAGAGGGGTAATAGCCTGAACAATAAAATTTAATTATCTTAATATATCTAGAAACATAAACATATTTCATGTAATTTCAGTAGTATTCGCATATCTCAAATCTGAAATGATGATAATGATTTTTTGCAATACGAGTATTAGATCGCGCTCAAAAGCTCATTTAGCGAAAGTATAAAGGTAAATATGAAATATAACGGATAAATGGATATATTTATTTTTGTTGTTTCACATAATAACTTAGAAACCGAAAAAAAAATACAAACTAGATTTTACCATTAAAGTTCTCAATAAATGGGACCTCAATGATAGGAGCGACCATTTTACATTTCAGAGGATAACTTTCACTGCTTCAAAATTTGGATCTTCTCAAATAAGTAGTGATAATGCAAATTCTCAGATCGTATTAAATTCTATTCTATTTAGTCAATAAACAAAGCAATTATTAAAGTAAGTATGTAACATGTATCATATTTACGTATATGATCAGTGCATTATGTAATTCAAAATATATTGCGATCTCCGAACAGTATTCATAACTATATACAATCAGTTCATGCCATGCCTCAGTAATTAGGTCAAAGGAAAATAATATTATAATGTAGATAAATTTTATGCTAGAAATATCCGAAGTGAATGCTAGTGAGAATAATAGCCGGATAGAATGTCGAATTATATGGTAAGGAAAACATTGATTACAAACGCTAAGAAAACTGAAAAATATATGTATATAAAGTGTTTGCTGCAGTTTCCAAGGTGCAGAACCATCATCTTTATCCTCGTGACAATATTTCTCAAATTTATTTAATAAAATCATGTAGAAATTTTAATTAAATTTAATTAAAAGAAGTCTATTTGAATGCAAGAAATCAAAAATGTTTGAAGACATAACAATTATGACTATCCATTATTGGGGTCAAAATCGTTGATTTAGAACAGTCTTAGTTTTGAACACATTGAGATTGAGAGTTTCACGATTTTGTATAGTCTATTTCTCAGCATCGGTTGTGAACTGTGTCTTTCCTTTATAATCTTAACTGTCAAATAGATCATAGATAAATGTCAATACTGTGAAATTGAACCTGTTAATAACATTACATAATGAAACAGCTATTCTAGTCTAGTCGAAATAATAAATACTATTATACTAAGAAGTAGTACTAATACGAATACGTTACCTGAGGCGTAGGCAGTGTATCAGGGGACCAGGCGAGATGGAAGACAGCTTTCCTTAAGGGCGGACGAGCGCGGGCAGCCAGGGGCGCCGCCGCGCGAGACGACCTAGCGTCCAATGTTCCTAACGCCCCACGCACCAGTTGTCGAGCATTTTCGTCATTTGCACTTTAAATATAGTAAGAATAACATTTTTTTGATGTATAATAATAGATGGAATGTTGCATCTACCTGTATAAGCTAGCACATACTGTTAGTATAAGCTGGCGCGGCAGCAGTGAAAGATGAGGCCAGTTCAGTTAACCTTACGTTAGCCTTAGCGGCATCACATAGAGGTTGACTTAACAAGCTCACTCTGGGGTTTGGGTCCATTACGTTGAATAGGGCTGGTCAAACTACAGTTGGCGTAGTGACGCGGTGCCACGTTATGTATTGCCATGCTATATTACCAGGGAGAAAAACTGTTTAACACGTTATAACTAATTACACAATACCTCAAGCTAACATAACAATAATATTTGACTTGATGTCTTCTTGATGAGGTTTGTCTAGCTGTTTGGCTCTCCGCTTTTCTTTCCTTGTCGCGGGTTTTACAAAAAATTCTATTCATAAGTATGATTTTTAAATACTTCATAATATAATATGATATTTTTCCCCCGTATTTAAATGAGTTCTATAGTGTATGTTCTGCTTCATTTGAAATTAGATGGCGCTATGTCTTAGGTTATTTGTTATATTAATGGTCTTAGGTTATTTCCGAGCCATAATTGAAGGAAGTCCATAACTTTAGATAGCTTATCGTACAATTTGTTTTGTTTTATTTAAATGCATACTCTTACATGTGTTCGTCATCGTATTCCGAGAGAGAGCGGCGCACATATTCCAAATTGTTCACGATCGTGCATATCTCCTCTGTGGATTTGTTTTGACCTGCTATCAAATATTTAATATTATATACGTGTTGTGTAGAACCTACTTAATATACATTGTGAAGAAAACAAGCGATAGGAAACAAAATAGAAAGTCTGTATAAAATATAGTATTAGTATTTTATAAGAAAACAATGACGTATGTAATCCGTTTCAAAGAGTAGGTATTCAAAGTATATATATTTTCGAAAGAGTACTACAGGAGCTATTCGGTTCTTAGCTTAATGAAACAATTTATATAGTAGTCAACAGGATTAAGTGCTGTAAAAACCAATTAAATTTGAATACTTTTACTGAAGGGTTGTAAGGTCATTGAAATTCTTGATACCTATAAGTCTACCTCTACTAGAAGAGCGATCAGAATACATTAACAGTAGTTTCTTATGTTAATGTAATATTGTCTTATGAGGGGTTTCCTTTCTAGTATTTTTAATATAAATTTAGGTTGAAAGGGATTAAATTAAAAATAAAAGACTTTTCTACTACATGCTCTTCATCGTTAGTATTTCGTTCATGTAAACGAAATGGCTTATTCTTATATTTTTATGTATCTCAAAACCATAGTTGAAGAAGACGTTAGGTACATTTTACAAAATTTATTTTATACTACATGTATGTTACATAAATATATTAGATATGTACAAAATTTATATTATATAAATAAATGCTACATATTATGATACGCCGCACATGAACGTAATTAATGTTTAGTAAAACACGATGCAGTATATAAATTATTATTAACATATAGTATACTATATGTTAAACTCAGGTAACATATTTCTGTGTTAAATGTAGCACATAATAGACAGTGGAACAATCTGATTAGTTGGATACTCGTCAGTCCAGTCCACGACATTCATTTATTACCTCTTACTCCATTATCGGATAACAGTCGCAGCTGATTATTCTGTATAGTTAAGAAACATAATTACTCATGTACACTAACGTTGATTGATGATCTTTTTCAAAAATACGAATTATCAGTAGGATGTTTTTAAACTAATATACTCGTAATTAATAAAAAAAATGTAAACAATTTATATCTATAACAACAACAAGAACAGCATTCGACAATACTCGTGGTTAGCCGAATAAAATATGAAAATATCAGCAAAGTAAATTGAAAAGTAATATTTATAATGTAATATAGATAAACACGTACCGTATACTTATAAGTTACATCAATTTCAAAAATAATTTAAAAAGTCAGTGAAGAGTTGGCAACGATCTATACCTATCGTTATACAACAAAGAAAAACACAAGCGGATTGAGAAACATCTCCTTTGACAAGTCGACCAAATTTAAAATACCCAAATTCTATTTTTTTATGTCTAAATCGTATAGGTCACGATACCCAATCCTGTTCTGTATTCAAAACATTAGGTAAGTGTAGGTATGTGGAATATACTCGTATCTACTGGAAGATAATTTATTTTGAAATCCTTTCAAACTGACTTCGCAACTGAGATCAGAATTGAAAAGACACAATACGGCTTAGGAAAATTGGATTACGTATATGTAACATGAACAGCGAGGTTTCCTTGTTCACTAACACAGAATTTCCGATTTGGCTACTCGCATGTTTATACAAGTTAAGCCCTTTATTATTATCTATTAGCCGCTGTGCCGTGACTTCGTTCCTTTAGTAGTCGCAATTATCTTAATTCAAAAACAGTAGGTATTATTTATTAGATCCTGTCCGTAAGCAATAGTTAGCTACATTTAAATAAGTATATGTTTAGCACCACCAAAGTATACATCTTTATAGTATACTAGCTGTACCGGTAAACGTTGTTTTGCTATATAAATTAATGTAATTAAAAAACAGGCGTTGATCATAAAAGGGTGAAAATATGAAGTTGTATGTATTTTCCATGCTAAATCGTAAAAAAATAATTTAGGTCTAGAAATAAAAAATAGTGTTCGGGGTAAAAGCTACTGAATATGCATATAAAATTGTATAAAAACCGGTCAAGCCGTTTCGGCGGAGTATGGTAACTAAAATTGTGACCCGAGAATTATATGTATATATGATATTTTTTTATGAAAACATATTCACCGTGGTTCTCGTAGTAGCCCTGATCAGCGAGCGCACCATGGACGAGGTCAGCATAATGCAAAGCAGTTGCACACGCAGCCTCTAAAAGTCGTAGCCCACCGCCTCCTGTACCCTCTTCAGCACCACCAATTCCTCGCCACACCAGTCGCATATGGTATAAACTGATAAATTACATTTATAAATTTACATTAAAAAAAAATCTCCACAATGAAAAATAATGACATTTTCTCCCTTATAAACAGTAAATTATGAGAAATCAGGTTTGATCGAGAAGTAGTGTGAATATTGCAATGAAATGTCTTCCTCTGAAACTAGAGCAAAGAATATCTCGATTATATTTGGTAAAATAGGACTTCAACTATAAATCAACTATACCTATTGTAAATAAATATTAAGGACAATTTGTTTATATACACAATTTAACAATCTTCCTCATTCAAAATTGAGCTCCTAGCTCAATTTTTCAGCACCCTCTTCCGTCGAGTCTTATTAGCTACTAGGAAGTCGTAAATTACATAAAAATATGCGTATAACATGGCTCGCTTTAAATCTGAAAGATTATGCAAACAAATCGGCCTTTATTTGTAGTTGGCAAGTTGAATATTATTGATACACGATGCTGGATAATATAGTAGGTACATAATTACCTAGTTACCGTTGAAATTGCGCGCAAAAACAAAATTATTGCAAGACATAATTTGAGTCCAAGTTCGAAAAATATTTAATTACTTTAGTTGCATTTCGTATTTATTATATTTATTTTTAAACAATAGTTGTACAAATTTGTATTCTTCGTATTAAAACGAAGTATTAACAACATAAAACGTAGGGATTCTTTGTTCAGTATAATGCCCTCATAACGCGTGATCAGATAGTGAAATCGAAGATACTATGATTCAAATAAATATAATGAAAATAAAAAGAATCATATGAATTTCAACAAAAACAATAGTATAGTAAGATTACTAAATAATTACTGGTTACTGAAAAAATGTAAATTGTTAACCCTAGGGGGAAATTAATTTTGGTATAACACGGAAGATAACCCGCTATCTAATAGGAAATTAGTTTTATCTAACGTGTATATCAACAAGTTATCATAAATATAATGAAGTATTAATTACATCAATTAAAAGCATACGTTTTGTAAAATTGGTAAATAAGTATAGATATAGCTTTGCACGCTTGATGCGTCGAGAACGCTATTATTACCAAATGCATTAAGGTTTTATCCGCAACGTGAATATTTATTATGATATTGTTTTAATCTTCATCAATTATTTAAAATGCATGAAAACAATTTACTAAGAGGAAACAATATATGGACAAATTTTGTGGAAAAAAATTGTAATTGAATTAGTACATAACAAAATGTTCAAATTCTATCCTAAATTTTCAAACCTTTTCTAATAGCATTTATGTTACCAAATTACATATTATTACCAAATTTATATTAAATGGTAATTATAAAAAATGTGACGATGCTTCAACTTAACTATAGGTACCTACATATATATATACATATATAATCTTTACAATTATTTTTGTTACCAAACAACGCATCAACCATATATATATATATATATATATATATATATATATATATAAAATATCTATAAGAAAATGTTAGCTCCCTTTATTTTTCTTTGTATGGACAAGTATCATTTGGACTGATTGTGATATATGAACAATGGAACGTGACACGTGTCTTTCTTTAGACACGTGTGAATATGTTATGGACAAAAATACGATTTAAACAAAAAGAGAAACTATCTCCGTCTCAATTTAAACGAAGTAAAGTAAGTTGAAATGGTTATTACCGAGAATATCGCAATTAAAGAACGATTTTCTCAAAACTATTTTTCACGAATTGCTGCGGATATTTTGCGACAGTGTTATGGTGCGACTTCATTCGCCCGTCTCTCTGTTGGTTCTTCTGTCGGCAACAGATCAATATTTCGGAAACGGTAAACGTTTGATATTAGTATATACTCGTATATAGTCAGAATTGTAATTAAAAACTATAAAAAAATATAAATACTATTTATACAAGGTTCTGAATTGAAGGTTTTAAATTATTTGTTTCTATTTTGAAGTAATCCTCACATGAAAGTTCATTTGTATATTACAAAATGACGAAATATATATTTATTTTATGCCGCTACACGGCAGTTGGACTTACGAAGGAAAACATAAAAGAAAAACCAATACCATCGGCCTTATATTCCGAGAATTCCGCAGCTAAAAATCTGAATAACAGTTATTAAAAGCATATAAATATACTATAGACAAAAAAAATAATATTTCTTACTAGCACAGTTATTGAGAAATTATTGAAGTAAAAAATAGTTATGTGGTCAAATTTCATGGCGATATTTAATTTAAACCAAGGAAATCTTAATTACATTAATATCGAATATCTATTTCTTGTAAGTTCATACTTAATGAAAAGAAAATAAAACACAGGTTTTATAACATACATATATATGTAAACAGTTTTAATTCGAATCTGACTTGCACTTGACTGAGTTATTCTTTGTTTCGTTACAATATGAACGATGAAAAAATCTGAAAAAATATTTCTTATCTGAAAAACGATAATATGATAAATATTGTTTATTTAGTACAAACAGGATATTAATTTCCTGTTCTTCTTTGCATCTATGTAATCAATTCCGTGATTTAAATTTTATATCTAAAATTGGGGACAATGAAACCATGCTTTGTTAGAACTAATAACTTTCTGTTTGTTTCACTAACTGAAACCACAATAATAATCGAATATGCCAATCATTGCTCCTATATGTACATACCAGTGTGTACAGGGGTAAAGGGTATATTAGGCCGAAAGTCAGGAACAGTAGGTATTACATTAAATTGAACCTTTTTCACTAAGAAGAAAAGTGCACCATTATATGCATTAGTTATTTATATTTATTAGTGCATATGTATAATATACATACTACATATAATATAACCTACTAGCAACTGTTACTGATTTTATGTGCATATTTTTGAGATAAAAAATGGTATCTGAACGTACTCATAATACAATCTATCTCATGTCTAATTTCATTAATAAATTACCTACGACAATTACAAATGTCTGTTCAAAGTAATTCAAAGATCTCTCTGATAAGTGTTTTTACTCATTGAAAGATTATTTTATATACAAAATGGATGACATAGAAATAGAAATAGAAATAATCTTTATTCAAATAAACTCATTACAAGCACTTTTGAATAGTCATATTTTGATTCTACCACTCATTATATGGTTACCATACCAGACATTATATGGTTATCTATAATAATCTTCATTATATAAGCTGACTTAATACTTATATTAATTAATATAAATATTAAAACGTCTTGTTTTGCACGTTGAATAGACTGAGTGTCAAGACTACACAACATCTCCATCTATGCAATTACCACGTTCATAGGAATAAGTAATTTCATTTCATTTCATTAAAATTTGTCCAGTCTAACAAAAGTCATCAAAAGTAATAAACAGTCCGACGCATTCTCACTTTTATAACAATTGTAGCTGTTATCTACAACTTCGCCTGCGCCTAAACTTTCGCCTTTTTTTCACCCACTTCAGATATTTTATTCAAATAAAACTATATACCTATGTCAATCTTCGTATTACTATCTTCTATTAAATTTAGTTAGTATTAAATTTTATTAAGATCCGTTTAACTGTTTCGGGGTGAAAGGGTAACAAACAATCAGACAGACATACTTTTATATTTATATAAATTTAAACTTACCATGCCGCCGTGTCCACTGATGATGTACTGTGTTTCACGAGATGCTCACCTTCGACTGCACGATCTAAACATTTATGACAACAGATAAATCTTAGTGGTAGGCACGAGTATACCGCCTTACGTCCGATGATCGCAAGTTCGATTCCTCGCACGGTACAAACATTTGTATTCATGAATATGATTGTTTTTATCAGTCTGGGTGTTTTCTATGTGTAATTATGTATGCATTTATAAAACAAATGTATTTATACGAGTATATTTAACAGTTGTCTAATACCCACAACACTAACTCTGCGTAACTAGGGACTAGATGGCGCTGTGTGTATTCTCCGGAGATATTATTATTTATAACATTATACGATGTCATTCTAATTAGATTTATATAGGTATGATTAAAACAAAACTGCTTTAACTCAAACTTTTTGGAACGTGACTCTAAACTTTAAATATTTGAGTGGAAAATCTACGATTTGTTTATTCCATTCGGATATTTATGATCCATGTCATATTAGCAAATTACTAATAAACTATGTCAGTATAATATGAACGTCATATAACTCAGTTGATATTAATGTACACCGCCAGATGCACTTGTTCTGTAGACGTATAATGATGTCCAGTGCTTCTGGATTTGTCAATCCGACATACTTGCCCTGCAGTTCTTTTACACATTATGGTTTGAAAAACATTAATCCCCGCTTCTGCAAAGTTCCCTTATGCGCTGTAGACCTAAGGGACCCCTAAGAATATTCTAAACCCATTATATTATATGCGAAGAACGTTGTATGCCCTCTGTGTCTGCGTATACCTAATGCAGTTTCGTATTAAGAATGCGAATATGTAAATAAGTAAATTGATTTCTCTAGCTGAATGTATAATTTTATATTCCCACTATCATATCTATCACTTCCAAAGGTGTACAAACATATACAAGGAGTCAAACCTTCTTCTCTAGTATCTACTTTACTTCTATTCTAAAATTATATTATGTATTTATAATAGGTATAGTATAATAGATATTTGTGTCAGTTGTTTATCATATTATAACCACATAAGATAATATTTTATAACTGAACAACTGGCCCCTACAATATATAATAGTTCTATGATAGTCATATCATATGTGAGGCAGTGTCTTACTAGATACTGCCTCACATTACAGTAACAGCCGGTTTGTTTTATTTTCAAATATTACGGTATTTATTAGTCTATATGATTTATATGTAATATATATGTATTAATTTAAAATAAATTATGTATTATGCATAATTATAGCAGTATAGAAATATAGCACATATTACAATATAACTAAATATACACTAAACATGATAGATTAAGTTAAAACTTTGTGTCTATCACGCACATTATTTATACACATAATGTATGCCACATTAGTTTTTTTGTGTAGGTACATTGCATTACTAAATTATCTATTGTAATAAATCATATTTCATAAACGTCCCTTTTTCAATGCTTTTTACTAAACTACTGTTTGTAATAAAACGGTATAAAAAGATTAGGTTTATGTAACATAATTTACTTCTTTGCATTTGTACCTATTGTAAAAGTATCTATATTATCTATTACATAGAGTTAGTTATATATCTATTAAATATACATGTATAATATAAGATATTTTCTATTATTACTCTAGTCATAATGACGTATATTATTTATTACTACATGAGATCTGTTTTAGATGTCAAATATTAGGGCATTTAGAATATATTTGCCAATCATTAAGTTTAGGATGTATTTAAAATGCGTATACCTAATAATAAAATTGAAGAGAATGTAAGAATTGAGAAATTGTACGATCCATCGCCTTCTATATAAAATTAATATTCATACGAACAAATTAGAACCAATCTTATAATTGTCTGAAGCCAATAAAACCTTTCGTGTCACGCCGCAGTTCAGATTTCGATACTTATCTAAATGGCCACCCTCCCGACCACGGGTGTGAACCTTCGCCTTTTGCCCTCTCGACAATTAGTTCCATTCATTTAAATACATGTCCTAATACATTCCGTTACGTCACATATTTGCTTGGTCTTTTTTTGTTATTTCAATCCCAAGATCTTAAATCCTCACCGGCGAGGCGGCGTTTGCTTTGAAAATAGTGTAACTTTAATTTTGACGGTTGTCTGTTTTATAGCGGAACTTGCGTGATTGTTGAAATGCATTGTAAGGTTAGATATACATAATTCGCAAATAACTATATCAAGTGTTATAAAAGTTTACATTAAGTGTAGAGACTACATTAAGTATAGAGGTAATCGCAGAAAGTCACATTAATTTATTCCTCGGAAATGTTTTTTTGAACGATAGGATTTATTACCTATCTACAGTATACTACTGTATCATATACACCAACCAGTATATGATGTAGTGGTATATAATAAAGGAAAAGAACAATATAGATAAATATATAAATTTGGTACGTATATTCAGATGTCACTAGTACCATCTAACCAATACTAGTAAAGAAGAAGGCGAGAAAATCATACGGTTTAAGGAAGTTGAAGCAACCACATTTACAAAATAGGAATTATTGTAGGTTCAAGCATCGAGATAATTAGTAAAAGAGAGAGTGAGACTCGTGTAATTAATGTGGAATGTGATTTTAGTGGGAAATAAAAGCAGTAACGTCGGAGTCACATATCATTACTGAAACCGCCTACTAAACAAGTACTTAATCTTATTGATTTACGCAATGATTTTAAGACAATAAGATTGACGTATTGATCTATAATTACAAAATAATCAAAGGCAACATAGAACAATGTTAGAGAACTACATATAATTAATTTATTAAGAAAGTAAGTATAGTATGAACAGTTGCAAATGTTTTGCGAGTTATTAAGCTAAATAAAATTATTATCGGCCCAATTAGAACTTTTACCTATGCTTCTTGGACTAATAAATGCGTCCCAGTTCTGGGAATAACTATATTTGTTACTGGAATATTTAGAGTTAGAATCAAACAACATTCATTTTACAAAAGAAACAATTAACGATAAGTATCTTTTACTTAAAATGGCTGCAATGTAAAAATAAATTAGAAGCTAGTGAAAGCTGTGTGTAAGCTTCTTAACTGTTTAGTGTAATAATTTCTATCCGCTAACACACGTTATTAACAAATAAAGGATGCATAATATAACTCATAGGTAGAATTATATTATTGACTTACATAACTACAGTTAATTATGTACACATATTGCAATTAAGTTACCTAGTTCGACAGCTGCGCGAACTCTCTGCAAAGCCATGGTCTTTGTAACGGCCAACCATCTATCGATTAATGGCTCGAACCACCTGCGAATATAACATGAATGAGCGCACTCAAACTGGCTGCTTACCTATATCAAAATCTATCTATACTATAGATGTCGAAAAAAGGAAATACTTAAACAGCAATTTAATGAATAACTATATAAGCTAGATTTTATAATCATAATTGCCTTGCCTTCATCCTATTACTATGTTATCTTTTTCCACCACATCCATTCATATCTTTTTAGATCGTCCTCTATATCATCTACGTTCATATGAAATAAATTTTATGATTGTATTTTATTAAAAATAACAATAAGAAAAACCATATAACTTTACAAGACATCACGACATTGCATACTTTAGAGGCTTTTTAAGCAAAGTTTTATGAGACGAGAGAAGTTTTTAAAAGCTTTGAGGTAAGTTTCTCAATAGAATTCTGAATTTTAATTTTAGTCTAAATAGAAAGATACATCCAAATACTTAGAAAGACGGTAACAGTTGTTGGTTTTATAACTTCGTCAAATATTTAAGATCTATTTAGATCAGTATATCAATTTTATTTATCTATGGATGCACTTTTTCTATCAGTACGGTGGGGACATTATTTTTCTTTTTAATTTTTATTTGGATTATTTAGGTATAATAATATTAATATATTTAATTTAAACAATAACTAATACTATTACGTTACTAAATTGCAAATACTATATAAAATCTGTATTACCTTGTATGTTATATATTACCTACTTAGCTGTAAGACACATTATATCTAGCGTCTCTTAAAATATGCCAAATATACATATAATGATTCCTCAAACTTTTAATACTTAACTGCCTAATTAATGTGAGGCAATTGCTCTTTGCCTCATAAGCCTACAAAACTTTTCGTGACCCGAGCTTGCTACGCATTTGTGGTGTTTTTAATGAACCTGAAACTTTTGGAGAACGCATCTCATTATTTAATATTCAAGATCGGAGGCATAAATAAGAAGAACGTAAACTCTCAACGTATAGGAAGCGAAGAATTTCCACAATCCATTTATGTAAGAATCGAGATTATTGATACACACACACACATATCATAAAGTAGATACTTGCCACTAGTTTTCAAATGTAAATTAAATTTAATATCCAATCTAATTTGTTTTGGTTTATTACGAAATATTTTTGCAATAAAATAAGTTAAAGTTTACCACAATAATATAAATAGAGAAACATTTATTTAAATTTATTCGCACAAATCCGTAAGTGCAGTCTGACGGGAAATTATCTGAACAAAATACTGAGACGGCAAACATATCGATACCAACATGACTACTGTAGGTATATTTGTAGTCTGCTGGATATATCTAGTACAACTTACATATATATCTTTCTACATTATATTAATATTTCAGAAACGATCAATGAAGTATATTTATCTATTATTAATGTACAATTCAGTAAATAACTCTAAACACACCCCTTTCAGTACTTACATTAATTATATCATACTTTGTATATTTATAAAGTGTCTAATAGTATTCGCGAGCAAATCTATTAGCACAATTACAGCAAAAGTTATGGTAAATTTGTTGTAAATTCGCCACTATATATTTTATTATTTTTAATTTTTTTGTATTTTTTTTTAATTCTATAATGGGTATTCTGATCAAGATTAAAACTTAAGCCAAAATTAGGTACTGCTATACAATTACAATTATAAGTTTTTATGTATAACAGATGGGCACAGAAACATTATTTCTTGACATTCTTCACTGATAGTTAATACATTAGCGAGGTGATATCACAATTAAATAAAAAAAAAAGTTCTCAAATTTTCTAGTCAGTTCTTTTCAGTTAGTAACATAGCTAGCCGAACTGGATTGTAGGGATGGTTATAAAAAATGACATACATAGGGGGCGATAGTGTCCTATGTCAAATGATATTGATTTGTATCTGATAAATGTGAATCTACGATCGTATATAAAGAATACTAACAGGTAAGCATCAAGTAGCATCGGGGGTGGGTCATGCGCGAGGTGTGGTGGAGGCGCGGGTGCCGCTGCCGCACACAACTCGCGGACCGCCGACAGCACTTCAAACGGCAGCGTCTTCGCGGATACTACACATACTGAATATCACATATTATTCCTTTACTCTGTACATAAGAGATGTTCTTTCATAAGATTATTTTTTTTAGAAAATATACTTCAATTTTCTAAACAATAATTGAATGCAATACTAATTTGTTCATCTGGTATCTCTGTAAACGCGTGTTACGTATAAAAGCGTCTGTAGTTTTATTAAGTTATTTTAATTATTCCATATGGATGAAGTCACTACACAATCATTGAATGCAATAATATGTTCATCCGTCATACTCACGAACAAGTCTCATTTATAAAATACAAGCTAGTTTCAATGATTCATAATTATAAAATATCCTAGAATATATCCAATCTCCCCAGGCCTTGAATCATTAATTTATTTATTTTGTTAAGATTTTCATAGTTTACTTTTAATTTACCGTTTATAGACTACTGTATATTTTTTCCAAATTGAAATCTGTAACATTTCAATTTGGAAATAAACAATGAAATGATGTAATTTATTAGTACCTATGAACTTCTGTAAAATAATTTTAAGAAAATTGAGCTTTAGGCAGTATAAACCATATAAAGACATTGTGACGTCAAATTATAGTGACATACCTCCATTGCCTTGCTCGTCCATCACTTCCTCTTCAGCAACTCCGCACCAACCTTCAGCCAGCCAGTGTTCTACACATTGCCTTACATCTTCTGCTACCTACCCATATAAAAAAGAACGTATATAGGTACGTCGTGACCCAGTTTTTTACTATCCTACTTAAAAGCAAAGTTGTCAATTTATATTTCTAACTTATTCTCTGGTGACAGAAATACTGATTATAAATCAAAATTAAACAGAGAACTCTACACAGATTAAATATATATATACCCAGCGAAAGGTGGACATGACAAATATTGCGTTCACTACGTCGACGGTTAATAATGCCTATGATATCCTCACTTGAGTTAACAGTCGTGAAGTATAATATTGAAATATTTCTTTTGATAAATTGCTACATATCGCTCGAGCTCATGTCATAGTGGGAAGTGTTTTATTGTTCCCAGACCTAGACTAATTTAATTGTATGTACATATTATAAAACGTTAATTACTAATTAATTAAATTTGGACGATATATTGTTTGTGCGAATTCCGATTAAAAGTATTTCTATGTGTAATTATATAATTACGTCCAGTAGCTTTTGTGTAATAAAGTAACAAACCTTCATCACCGCAAGGCACAAAGTGTCACATAAAGTTGGATGAAATAAATTATTTAGGTTTTAGATTTTGTGACATCATATTTCAATATGAGTACTAAAACATGAAATTTTAAGTATTTAAAAAAGGTAAAAATTGTTGAAATTGATGTAATGTAATTTATGGGTGGTAGAGAAGCTGTTAGTTAATAGTAGATAATTTGATCGATTAGGTGTCAGGTGGTTAACATTTCTTTTATGCATGATGGGAATGTGACATACGTTTAAATGCGCATTCACCATAAATCGATACTATTACGGAAATACCTATACGTATATTACTTAAATTAATTTTTCATTTTTAAACCGCAATTCAAATAACTTTCTATCTAATGCCATCCATACTTATACGTGCCAAATTAAAATATGGTATATGTTAATAATAAGTTTTTGTTTATATATTCAGTACATTTCTATCATTATAAAATTTCTTTTTTCTTTATACTAGAATGTGAATGCAATGCAATATTTTTTTACTTACCATTTTATCGATTTGTGTAAAGACCACGCTAAAGTACGGGACGCCATTAGTCCTAAAACATATATAATTATTTTTATCTCCTGAGATTTCATCCAATTATTTATGTATAATAATTAATTATATAAGAAGAATTCTTCTTGTATATTAAAAAATGATCTGTTTTATGTCTTTGAACTTTAAAATTTACTGGCAATGAACTATACTAACTAAATGACAGTAGAAGAAAATATAATAAAAATAATATAAACCACCATAACAATTTACGACAAGACGATATTAGCACACTATTTTTAAGCTATATTATTTTTTTATTTTATTTCAGTATTTCTTTTGATTTTCACTGCAGTAACTCGCCCTCTAACATCTTAAGATATTCTATACAGATAAAAAGGAGTGAAGACATATTTGAGTATTTATACGCCAAAACTACAAATTCATTGCCAGTATCTTGTGTACATTGCCACTTGTGTACATTGCCATTGAATAATTGTAATTATTTGTGACTTATTTAAAAAAATAATATTGAATAATATTGATTGATTTTATTGACATTTTATTTCGTTACTAACTGAAACGGAACCCCATTTTCTTTATTTTATATTCGTGCAAACCCGTAAAGGGCTAGTAGGTACACAATAAGTAAATCATTGGATAAATTTACAAAATGATACTTACATTTCAAACAGTGGGTGATAGTAGGTCAATCCTTGCTGTAGATCGATTTGCACAAGAGTAATTAGATTCACTAGGTCTTCTCCTCGTTCCGATTCAGTGTCCTGAGCACAAAGAGCCTCGTACCATTCCGACGTGCCTTTTCGGAGTGAACCTACTATTTCCGTCCTAAAACAAAATTGTAAGACAGCGCTCGCAGCCACTCAATTCCCTATGGATATTCTAAAGCTCACAGCGTTTGCGTAGAAACAAAATAAAGTAGGATTTTGGAGTGAAATTCCAATTGCATAGTCGGAATTTTGGCTGGGTTGATACAACTAGATTTGTTTATATATATATAGTTCAAATTCAAAGTTGTAAATGATGGTTATGTTTGTTATTATATTCATTCTAAAACACTACTTTGGCAAGTATGAAATAGTTTACAATATAATATGTCAGTTATTAAATGGTTACAATAATATTGTATAATAACTGGTCCTAACATAGTTATATATAAGACGACATAATAATGACCTAATCTTGTTACATAAAATTATTCATCATCATTGGACTCGTCCACTTTTCTTTCTCTATTAAACTTTAATACGAGATTTAGATCACGCAACCTTATTATAACACCTTCAGGTTTACTCAAATAATACTTCATATCATAATCCAATAGTTCGAATGTGTCGCTAATACAAATTCTTGTCTCGAATAGAAATATAAATATTTTCCATTCAAAACTGGTCCAGTTCCGGAGACAATTAAATTTCCACCATAAAGAGACAAATTATATTTAATATTGTACCAATTTTTTTTTAATATAAATAAATTCTGTTAATATGATAATTCATTGCATTACGTAGTTATATATTATTTTCTATTTAGTTTACTTTTCATTATATAACCTTATCTAGCGTATATTGAATGCGTCAATATAATTTAGCTTTTAGGCTTGCATAGTGTTGGATTACAATCCAGTTTTGTACCGAACTACACTCTCCTAATTATACTATTATATTGATTGTAATTTGTTTTGTATGCTAATAAATAAATAAATAAATAACAAATTCATGATTGCCTACAAGACTAAATGCATGCTGATCCCGAAAAACCTTTCACACCCTTTTTAAAAAACCCTATAGTTTGGAGGATAATCTCCATGCGGAGCTACCCCGAACGCACCCCGAACGCACCCCGAGCACTTGTGACGAAAAGTTTATCTGAAATTCTGAGACACGCATAGATTTGAGTTTAATAAAAATGAATTTACTGAGTACGTGAATTATTTACTATACACCAATCAGCTACCAGCTACTTAGTTTGGTGGAGGAATATTACATAATAATAAAAACATATTTTGCTTCACTCAATCAATTTATTAGTGACGTTGAGGAATGTAAAAATGAAGTAAATAATTGCTCAATAGGGGCTTGTTGAAGAATACGAAGCCATATATTTTAAGGAAATAAAACAATAACGCAGTTCGACGTTCAGAGTTAATATTTAAAAATAATAATTCATTTTTAAGCAATACTTAATTGCCATCGCTATCGCAAATAAACTCTTTACAATGTATTTAGGTAACATCTAGTGACATTGTCATTTACTGATTTATGTTTATATTTTCAGAAATGCTATTTTTTATTAGAGAAAATATATTTACTTTACTTTTTATAAAATTACAGACTCTGGTATAAATTATATTCAACTTGACATTGATATATTACCTATGAGGCTTAAGTGCAATACCTATACGAAAAATATTTTTTTAACTACAAATAAAACTGATCACACGACAAATGTTTGAATTCTGATATAAAAGAACTAAGAGCCACAACCATTTTAAAGCCTATTAAACACAGTAATGATGGAATATTTCTTTATTAGAAAAACGTCTAACGTTTTTCTAATAAAGAAATATTCCATCATTCATTCAGAATAACTGGGAAAAATAAAATATTTCATAAATGTATCACGGCTACATGAAGTTAAAAAACATCACTCATATACACTAAACATAAAGGTATGTGCATATTTTTTAAGACCCTGTACTAAATTAAAATTTATTAAGTACATTAATAAATATAAATATGTAAATCTAGATGTTTTGAATTTCGAATAAGTGCTACTGAACTAAATGACCACAAATTTTATTATATAAGCAAAGATTTTTGATAAACACTCAAATCTATCAACGGGGGAGCATCCTTTGAATCTAATTAATAAAGACATTAAACATTTAATTTCGGATATAAAGAGCCCTTTGTTCAATGGAACTTTTCACTCAGAGGACTTGCCTGATTTCCTTGTTGAAGGGACAGCATCTCCAGAACGCTTTCATTTGTGACAGTTGACTTAAACATCGGAGGAGATACTCGAACCTGCGAATATTATTAATAACTTTATTATTTTAGTAAATCGAGAATCGAGCGCCTACGTAATACTTCGAATTTGATATTGTCATTAAAAAGAAACTTACATTTTCAAATTAATACGAGAATAACACATGTTTCAACCCTATCAATTAAAATATAATCTTCAAATTCGATTGAAATTAACAAAAATATATATGCTAACTACAGATGACATACACTCGAATTGATAAACTCTACGCGTTTTATTTTAGACAGAAATATCAGCCAGTTGAATAGCTCTTTAATGATCAATTTCCTTATAATATTTATGTTGCCATAGGACATTTTATGTTTATTTGTCATGAAAAATCGATGAAACGACAAACTTCTTTGTAAAAAGCATTTTATCTCAGAAAATAAAATACTGCCTAAATTTCATTGGAACAACATCTATTCGAATTAAGTATAATTATTTTGTCGACTACACCTTTTCTTCGTTCCGTATATTCTAATTCGATGCTGCAGACTAATTAAATTTGTTATAAGGATTTCCCGTAGGAACAAAATTTAAATTCATACACAATTACTGATATTGTCTATCTACATATGTTTTACGGCTCAGAAATATATGATTATGTACCCAACATCATTCTAATTACACAGGCTTTTGGATGTGGATAGTAATTAGACTCAGGATTAAGCTGTAGAATTTATACATAAATGTTTGAGTATAAATTGTACGACTTAATCGAGAGCTTGCACAATATAATGTTCACGCAAATATAATTTTGTTGTAATTTATAACTTTCCTGTACCCATTTTCTTCAAAAGTTATGTGTGAATGTTAAGTAAGTAACGTAATGTCAAGTGTATCACTCAAAATTAATGTCGTCAATGATTTTTCTTTATTTAATAGGAATAAGAGGTTTAAGATGGATTCTAGACACTACATTATCTTAGGACGTCTGTGATACCACTAATGCGTTACCATGTTGAAGGACAAAGATATTATACGTTTTGTCCTATATTTTATCTTACCCTTTAAGCAATTTGCTTTGCGACTGAAATACGACTTTTATAAAGTCCACCTAGGTATACAGGTGTTTAAATAAGTAGACACTCACTTATTAAGACTGCGGTGATGTAACACGGGATATAGGTCCCTGTGCAAACGTAACTGGTGTAGGGCTCTCTCCACGAGCTCGCCAAAGCAGTCTGCAAGCCAGCGCTCCTCGTCGCGGGTGACGCAACCCGTGGCGCCAGGGTCGCTCCCACCGCTTGAAGCACCTTCACTCGCACACCAAGCTCGTTCCAACTCCGTTAATAACTTGTACATGTATCTAAGGGCAATTAATTTCATAATTACTTAAAATCAAAATTAATAATTAGTAGGTACTGGTTTTATAGTAGAAAGATAAAACAAACTAGATTTACAACATCAATGTGGTATCAGATATTTAAATTAAATCTAAAATAGTTAACTTTATTGCATATATTATTATAATAAACAGACTAAGTAGTATTCCATATTTTTTATTCTAAAAACAATTCAAAAATTAAGTACACACAAAAATAAAATAATTCACGTTATTACTATTACAATTGTCATGTTAGAACGCATGTTATAATATCTGTTCTAACATTATCTATCTACAACGTACTGAAATTGTAACTTTTTAAGAATATTAATATCCGATTTAGTTTGATAGTTCTAGTTACTTTAATATTTGTGTTTACTTCATGCAATGCATGTTGTATATTTTAGTATGTAAATAAAAAAATAAAATAAAATACGTAACATAATGACATTTAACATACGTGTATTCTTGACTTACTTAGGATCGATAGGTGCATCGCTATTGAGTCTACATGCAGCTGCAAATCTGGCTATAGCCGCCTGTAACGCACTCAAGTCGCCTTGAATTGCATGTTGATGTAATAACGTCTGTGCGGGACCACATAATTCTTCTTCCCATCCATTATTAAAGGGTTCACCCTCAGCTCTACTCTCGGTACCACTGGATAATGCTCTCTCCAACTCGTGAGCCAACAATACTCCAAAGAGACGATCGTGCTGGCGTACCTATTTCAATGAAATCAGTAAAATATTAATAAATTCCATTCTCTTATGAATATATGTAATTCATAGTCCTTAGGATATATTATAAATTTATATAAGTATAATTAATTGAATTAGTAGTTATTATTATATATATAAATTTATATAATTATTAGTGAATGAAATTAGAATTCACTTTTTTTGATCTAATCAATAAACACCGTTGACTGTTTGTCTCCTATGTACTTAATCATTTAGAGTTTTCTTGTAGTGTGATTAATTCTGAAAGAATGATAACCAATGCAACAAGCTACAATACAAGGGAGGTTGCAATATATAAGGTCCATAGCGTTCGGTTGCTCATGTCTTTTGGAAATGCCATTAGACTTTATGTATTATAAACTTTTAAATAAGCCCTATTTAAAAGTTTATTTCTTTATATTACGTTATAGATTGCATTTGTGTGTATTGCTTATTAGATATGTTATTCTTTTTTTATTCTGAGACCAGAAGCCGTTCTTAATTGAAACGATCGTAAACAAATGCTCTGACCATTTAAGTTTAATATTGTGTTATTATTATTATAAGACATCTTTCAAAGAGCAATATTCAGTACAAAATAAATATAAACCTGGTATAATCAAATTGGGATGTGAAAACTTGTGGAGCGAAAAAAGCCAGTCCCATTGAGTCACGGTGAAGTGAAAGAGGTACCTACGGGGAATGAATTGGATTTATCGTGTAATCGCAATTTCGCTTCACTCGCTCGCTCACTTGATTACGCGGGGCTAAAAGAGAGTTTCACTCACTGAATACGTTATCGAAACGCTGATTTTTTTTATTAAGATAGTAAGATTTTGGTTGAACTACTTACTTCTTACTTCGAGAATAGTTCCACCGTGTAACATGCCTACCGGGTAAGAGTCTTCAATAACAATTACTTATTAATTAAAATAATCATACCAGCAAAACCTAATTGCATATAACTAATAAAATTGATTACCCTACTAAAGATTAGCTTAATTTGACTATTTAATAGGTACAATTGAAAATACTAAATAATGTATATATTTATATATATCATACTCGGAGACAATATACGAGATATTGACAAAATGCCGATATCTCGTATATTGTCTCCTAATCATGACAATCTAATGATTTACAGTATGATCGCTGCACTGACGCACTCGATTTGCATTAATGTAGCGATCAGGCATGGAACTAATGGTCTCGTCGTATGATCGATTTAAACTTGGTACACTATACCCAGTGACGCTGTAATAATATAAACCTAACTTCCACTAATGGTTTTTGTAAATGACATATGCAATTCATATATTTTTCATAAAAATGTTGCGCAATAAAAATCCTTCTAATTTTATTTTTTCAAACGGTCTTAAAATCTATAAATAATAGCCTTATAACCAAATATTTCAGGGAATAAAGGCAAAAATAACAACATGCTTGATGAAGCGTGTGCGACAGGCGAACCGCTCTCGCCGATAGCGCTGTGTCACAGGTACACGGGGCATATGAAAGCACCACGACATATTACTTGCATGTTGATTTTCAACATTATGCTCTATATATATAGAGTTTAACTGACACCAACTGAATATAGATCCCATATAAAAATATTGTCTTAATGGACGATTTATAAAACCTGCTTTGCAAATGTTACTTCAGAATTGAATAGGATATTCCACTTATACGTTAATTGAATTCGATTGTTATTATTATATATTATTTATTGGTTCATTTATTCGGTAAATGATTATTTTATTATTAATAATTTCTTAAAATTAATAGTAGTTATATTAAAAAATATTGTTCACAGACTATAAAAAAATACTATACTTTTTCGTATGTCTTAATTCAAATTCAAAAGTCTTAGTTAATTTTAAACTTTCGTGTTTAATATACATTATTTAAATTATTAACTGGGTCTTAACACGAATAATTTTATGGCAAATAAAGGTATTTACTAAGGCTGTCACCTATCTACATTGACATCGCTGTTACACCAGTCAGCTCGTGACCACGGCTAGTGCAACCTAGTCGAAAAGTCGAGAGAGGTAAATACCTTTATTTGCCATAAAATTATTCGTGTTAAGACCCGTTTAATAATTCAAAAGTCTTAATTAAACAAAAATATTATATTATTTAAGCATAGTCAACCAACTTATATACTTACAACAAAAACAATAGTGTCACGAATAGTTTTCATAAAGATTGAAGTACTCATTTTGTGTATGTATATTTATTTATGTAGATATGTAGGTATATATATATACGTCTAGTATACTAATGGTTCGCTGCTAAAAGCCAATAAAATGTTTTATGTATGGTACCGTACGTAGCTCAGCAGATTAGCAATATTGGTACCTTGGCTGATACGCTGTAATCCCCATTATGAAAACGTACTTTATTAAACAAATATAATACGGTGTATATAGCTGTAATCGCTACTTATGGTAAGACGTTAGACTTTATTGGGAGACCATTTTTATGTTATTAATATCGTAGGGACTCAAGTGTAAAATTAGTGTAATGGAGCAAGGGGAAAATCACGTAGGCACCACGAATCTGCTATTCCATTCGGACGGAAAAGTAGTTTGGTTTCCGATTACGTCTGTCTGATTTCGTGATTACCTTATATACATATTTCATTATTCTATATTTTTACAAAAATATTTAAATAATTTTTATGACGTAATCTACTTAAAACTAGGACTAAATTAGGATTAGGAAAAAAACTAATAGACTATACAGATACATCTATGTATATATCACATTGAATACATACATCGTTAGCCTATAAGTATGGTCGAGTAACAAACATTCCAACATCTTAACAAACTACCATTGTTATAATATTAGTAAGATAACTTTGTGTCGTAAATTCTAATAACGTAGTAAAGGTACCCAAATTTACAACATAATTACTAACTTGTGTATCTATATCACTGGAAGTATATAATTAATCATATCCACTCAATTTATGTAACCGAATTAAATTTAATAACTACGAAAGGACAAGATATTAGATCGACTGACTGACTTAATTTGTACACAATGTATCTAAAAATAAGGCCACATGAAAATCTTTTGATGTCGAACAAAATCAGAGAATCATCATATACACACATTCAATAACTTGGCTGTCAGTCAGAGGCTACAAAAAATGAATGACAAGGGTAGATAAGCTTTGCCTTTACGCCATGTTTGAATCCGCGGCCAACACGAAATAATACAGTAGTTGCAAATTTACCCATACATAACTTTATATTTTAATTTTAGTAATATTACTGATAAGTCGTCTATCAAGAATAATTATTTAATCGTAGTCACATGAATTTCATTCTCTGCAGAATATAATAGCATGACGCTATAATGTAGATTATACATTAAATGACACATGTGTGATTAGATATCATGTATAGATTAGGTATCAGATAGTCAATATTACAATATTTAAGTGATAAAATATGCAGAGCTTAAAAATAATATACCAATATCGATCCAAGATTAACGGTATATGGGAAATATGACTATATGTTGCATCACAAACATCTTAGTGAATTGTACGCTTTGTAATAGTAGTAGTGTTTTAGTTTTATATTAATACTACTTACAAGTATAAAACTTATTAATTATAAAAGTAATAATTGAAATTCGTTCAATTTTACCAAAACTATACTAAACAAAGCATAGTCCGAGGAATTAGTAGTCTGAAGTATGAGTGCGCGGGCCATATCTCAAGTAGATAATTATAGTCAACTGAGAAGAATCAAAAGGCATCAAATGCAATAGAACTTTTGTAATGGTGTGACAATTAGAACGATTACCTGTCTTATAATAAGTGACGTATTACTGGATGGAAATATACATATACATAGATATAGAAGTGAAAATGCTGAAATGGTAATGATCATGTTGATAGTAATAACGATGATGAACAAATATTACCTGTTGCCAGTTATCGTCATCGTGTCGGCCAGCTTCACGGGCGGAAAGCCATAGCCGGAGACGGATACGGCCCTGAACTGAAGAGCGCTGCGATCTGGCTTCCAACTTGTACCATCCTTCCACACCAGTAGACGGTATCTCACGCAGTGGTATATTTACACAACCTAATTGGATAAACGAATTAACCTAAATTATCAATCAAATCGTAATATAATAAACACGTGATCAAAACCTAGAACCAGGGTAAGTATTCAGATGAGATCATTACCTACCTAATAGTATTCTATAGGATTTTCTTATACATAATATTCAATGTACTATGTTTCGTAAATACAATGTCATCAATTATATATAGGAAACATTCGAATTGAAAGTCTATTTAATATCATTACTACTACTCACAATTCAGAAAAAAAAGAAAAAGAGAAACAGTTTGCTCTCATTCGTTTATTTACTTACTCGACACACATAGTTTCATTCAATAGACATACATAATATTTCCCCCAGCAGACAAAGTTGTAACTAGCTACTCATAATAATATTGGATTACGTTGGTGCCATTAATATCAGAATAAACTGCGAAACTCTTTCTATCTTTTGATGGTAACGGCCTACTAAGCTACTTTTTATCAAACTGGAATGACAAAAAAGCCGACAGCCCACCTAATGGTAAGTAGTAACCATCGGCTATATACTTATATATATAGACACAATCACAGATATCTTGTTATCTAATGACACCCTCGATGCGTTCACTCATGCGTTGCCACCCTGGAGGATTAAAAGTTCATGCCTCGATATCTTGCAATTTTACTACTCCATCTTAATCATCAACCTACATAAATTCAGGTTATAAAGCAAGCCGAAATAGATGAGCCAGAAATACTGACTCTATATATTTTTGAAAGTTAGCCACCGCTGATATATCTACATAACTTAAGTAAAATTATTTATAATTGAATACCTAATTATACCTCTACATCTTGTCTACTTCTACAAATGATTAATATTAACAATATTAAAGGGTGAGACGTTGTTGGCCACAAAAAACTGAAAGTATCAATTTAATCTTTACTTTGAAATACTATATATTACATTGTTTCCATGTACTTATTATTAATCATAATGGAATCTTAACACATTCAATTATTGTTTAGATAATATATTATAAAATTTCATAATTTTTTACTACTATATACATATATTATATAAATAAATTTTCTTCCTTCATAAGTAGTTTCCAAACAATATTTATTTATACTCAAAAAATACATAATTATCTACTCAAATGGAAGACATAATTAAGTACCGGACTATCAGTCTATATAAAAAGCCCTTTTAATTAGACAAGGAACATCTGGGACGCCGGACCGGAATCAAAGTTTAAAGTTACATAAAGTTCGTTTTATAAATTGACCTGACCCGATATTAAACTGCTCTCATTTTACGCAGTCTTGGCGAACGTCTTATCTTTTCTCATTATAGCTTATCAACGATTTTTTTATTAATATGCAAGGTCCATAAAAAGATTAAATATCTGTAATCAATTTTAAACACTATACAGAAAACAAACTAACTGACACCTTACCTGATGGCAAGTGTGCCATTCCGAAATACTACTACGACATCATGTCTCTCATTTCCTTCACACTCTCAAAATATCTTAAAATATCGGCTGCTAAAATAGCCGTTTTGTTTGTTTTACAAAGTCTATCGTTATATGTAAAAACTGAATACGAAAAAAATTCATTATTTCTATACAACAGTATAAATAATAAAGTGTAATATAAATGGCACAAAGTTTTTTCCCCATAGCTATAGTAATGCCACTGTTGATTTGTCTGGTCTTTAATCTAAGGATAGATATATCAATCACTTTGTAACGTTCTATAGCCGCGAGGATATTGCAAATTGTCAGTGCCGTAAAGGATTTTTGGGACCATGGAGGAGTAATTCAACGAAAGGGACACAAGAAGGGTTTTACGAAGTCCTACTCGATAAATACCTAGTGAAATAATAACATCAGATAAAATGAGAATTTTGCCACTACACGATGTTTTTCTACATAATTTAGAAATGTGTGTTACATTACTAGTATTAGTAATTACTATATGGAACCAGGTAGAGGCTAAGCGTAAATAAAAATAGCTAAAAGTATGTACTTTTGCCTCTAAATATATATATTATATATTAATTTAAAATAATAATAAATAATAAAATTGACAATGATATCGAAAGTATATTTTAGTGTTCGGAAAACAGCTGATATTTTCTTAACAATGAAAGAATTTCTGAATAAATGGAAGCAAAATTTATTACTAAGGGGTGCTAATAGTGATAGAACATATTAATAAGTGGCATCAAGCACCCATAGTTGTTTATAAAAAAAATGTTGCTTTTTGTTATGGTGTTGATATAGGATTAGGTATCTATTATCACGAAGCACACAGTCCATACAAACAAAAATAGTTCACTTATACATTGATAAATAGTCAAGGACAACATGTTTGTTCTATTATCAATCAAATATAACACTTGTAATACTGAATGATATTTTTTATTACATTTTGAATTTGGTAGAAATAATATCTAAGGCGATTTTAATCTATCTATCTAGATATAGATATGGATAGATCTATATGGATAGATAATTAGACCTAGAATAACCTAGGCATTATCACACAATAATTTTAAATCAGTATATAAATTATTTTTATTGCCAGTTGTTTAAATATAATTATAATCCTAGGATTTACATAAAGCGCATTTTTTCGCATTATGCTGATAGGGTCATGTATTACTAAGTTGATATATTAGTTTCGCAACCTAATAATTAACAAACAATTGAAAATTTATAAGAGTGTAGCAATGCAAATTCACTTTTCACTTTTAAAGAATACATCCCATTTTACCATATCCATTGGATATTTATAGAGTTGCTACAACCATTAATGGTAATTAATCTTTATTTGAGAATGTATTCAATTACTATTAAGATAACGAGAGTGTACGGATACCGTACGACAATGTCAGATTGTTACAGTATGGTACTTCAAATGGATGACACTCTTAATATTAATCATAGTAGACATTCACTAGTTGGGGGAATATTGTTTTAATATAGATCTCAAATTACCGATAGGGTCTTACAACACAAAACAAAATTTCTAGTTCCTACACTAAAATTTATAATCCAATACTATTATTCAATTACTCAATTATATGTTTGCAGAATACAGTGTTACAAACAGGTTTTACAATATTTAATATTACATCCAATGTATTCAGCCTGCATACGGGCGTGCAAATACATTATTGCCTTTAATAATTAAATTAAATTTACAAATATTTCTACAGTTAAATTAAATTAAAATTAATAAACCATAAGGATTTTTCGCACAGATACTAACACAGATAGTATTTATTTATTATCACTAATATTTATTTATAAAAATATTTGGCGCCAGGCACAATTGTAATTTTATTATAATAACTAAAATTTGACTTCAGATAAAGAAATATTACATTGAACATGTAATTACATCATACAAATAATCCTGTACCTCTCTACATATCTATAATAATAGACTAACTGACTGAGTATTGCGCCTAAAAGACATTTTTCAGAGGATTCTTATTTAATATGAGTAAGTACTTATAAGAGATTTTCCAAATTCCCGAACAATAACAGATTCCACTGATGATGTTATGATGATGCAGTTAGCAGATATTATAAATTTACATATACTACAAATTAATAATTTAGTATTATAATACGATTTAAATAATAAGATAGAACAAGAGCTTTTTAGAACATATTAACTTTACTAATGTTCATTTATTATTTTTCAGTAAGTGACTACTTGCAGAAAAATATGAAAAAGTTATTGTGTCTATAGGCGAAAGGTTGACATTGTACATTTAAGAACAACGCAGGTAGGACCCAGGTGTATGTAAACGTTGATCGCGTGCCGACCTTATGTTATGTTATGATACACAAGGGATCGCTTTACTTTCTTTGTATACAAACATTACAAATGTGCACATTGTTTATATTGTTCTACTAGTTTTTGGGGTTTACTTCATAAAAAATCATTTTGACCATCATCTAGATACATAAAATATAACCATATTCTATTTTATCATATACTCAATAAAAGGAAACTACACTATATCCGTTATCTAGCAATACTTTAAGAATTTACACGAGTCCTTTCATAGTACTTAGTATAGTTGATAACCAACCAAAATAAAAAAAAATGTAAATTTCTTCTTTTCGTTGTCAATAACTATCATCAGCCAGTTAATCAGATTAAGCGTCATTAAAAGATATACAAAAATATTAGCGTTACATAGTTATGTAGCTATTACTATAGATTTGATAATAGTCATATCCATTCATCACAGATATTACTAACTAGTATAATGTTATTGCTAAAATCAAAGTTAGGCATAATTTCAAATTCTGAATTATCAAATAAATAAATAAAACCATTCTTACATAATACATCAACTGATCTCATAAATGTAAAATCATTTTAACAAATACCTTTCCTTGGTGATTGAGACTCTATTAAAAACTAATTCAGTACGATTACACCCTTTAATAATAATCCTCCTGTTTCTCCCCAATATCCAATATCCCAATGTAAGTATCTAATAATTACGTTCAGAAGATACCTCGCACAGATGTTTTAAAACCACAAAATGTAAAAGCACGTTTGTATTTGATTTTCCATTAACTACAACACAGTATCCATTTACCTATATAAATAATTAGCTAGGCCCACTACTTCATCAGCATAGTATATATACAAAACAACATTTGATGTAACGTTTTTGTTTGAGAATAGATATTAAACAAATGCTAAATCTTTATCAAAAGTTTCTACAACAAATGAGTGAAAACTGCATTCAAATACAAGTTAATCTGATTCAAATATATGAGTGCATGTGCAAAACCCACATACAAAGAGCAACGAAATAATGATAATACCAGTCGTAACGTCAAGAACATAATAATCTGAAATTCACCAAACGGAATATATTTCGCCGAGAAATGTATGTATAGTTGGGTGAAACAGGATTCCGATTATTTCAGAAACAACGCGCGATCACTTTTTATTATCATTACTATTTACAGATTCTACATTGAAGGAAAAATTCTATTTACTTTTATAGTGTAGTCTACGAGCTTCCCTGTCACACCTGGAAAAATGCTGTTGTTAATTTCCTTTTTTCCAAACATTATTTTTCCAAAATAGACAACATTAAGTGACAATTAACAATGACAATTTGCGAGTATCCCTATATTATAAATAATTTGCTAACTGCCAAAGTAAGTACTTTTGAAAATACTACGCTAGATACTTCAAATTTGAAATTAAAGGTCCCTCTAGATAATGCATCTAGGTCCTACGGGATCGCAAGATAACGAATTTCATGCAAATAAAGCCGTGGTAAACCGCTAGATAATTATATTTGTTCTAGAAAGGTTCTGATGGTTTCGCATTGCACGTACAAATAATTTAATTATCAATGGGTAGAGAGGGTGGGTAGATATTTTGGGAAGACATTTAATGTCACGAAGATAGCAATCTATGTTAATTATAATATATTTGTTTACCGTACAACTGACAAGCTTCATGAAAGGGAATGCGCACCTACACATTTTGCACATGATATGAAATGAAAGCGTCGAGGGAGTCATATTTCTGTATATGTAAGAGTTATTTCGCAGTCAGACGTATCTATACCTAAGTGAAGGCGATAAGACAACGTTAGGCCTCTTACTACGGAATATTAACACCCGAATCTCCCCGCTTTAAAAATGTCGTACTCACATTGACGTACGCTTTTTTTAGTTACATAATTAAATACTTTATTTTTAATGACTGCCCTTTAAAGACCCCTAGCTAATGGCAGAAACACGTCACGACGTCGGTAATATTTAAATCGGGTATAAAAAAACTTCTTGGTTTATAAAATATAATATAAATAAATATTATATTTTATAAACTATAATATATAATATTGTGGTATGTATGTAGAAAATCTTAAAATCATAATCCTTCAACTAGAAGCCAGGAAAGTACCAAACGAATGGTACAAAAGCTCCAGGTCATTGAAATATATTCATCTGAATGCATATTCGTATTATTATATAGTATCTATTACCTGAACCAGATTGTATACAAAGTCATTTCTAAAGATAGTAATTTGTATCTCTGCAGTCTGTATCTGCCACGCCCTATTTTCATATTATGGCTCGTTATTTCAGAGCACTAATAAGTGTTGCGTCATCTTAAGATATCTATGCTGCTGTCGATATGTTTACAAGTACCATGTTTACAGGTTACCACAGTCCACTATGGGGAACATGACGTTGTCTGTGTTTTAAAGTTCTATAAAAAAATATTTAAAGCATTGTCAACTCACCAAGAAAGTCATCTTGGCTCCCTTGACGTGCGCTTTGGCATACTTGTTTGAAGAAACGACCGAGGCCGCGAACTCCACGAACCTCATTCAGCCTGGACACCGCGTCCAGCACCGAGCTCTCGTCGTCGTGATCCCAGATGTCTAGGTGCAGAACGTCGGACGATATGTCGTCGATGTCACTGCTCAATTATTATAGAGACACGTCGGTTAAAATGAGTATGTAACGTAATAACCGAAATACATATTAAAATTTTGTAATAAATGTAATAAAAAAAGCGGCTCCAGGTGGTATATGGCAGTTTATATCAATCGGATGAAAGTAGTACAATTTTAATGAGTTTGGAAATTCAATTGAAATATTTTCTCCGGAATTAAATTTTCCGCTCAAGACTATATAGTCTTAGTTATAGGGAGTTCATCACAATTACTTAATATCTAGCACTATATTTCCATGGGACATGGTAGTATGATAACATAATTATAATAATATGCATTAAACTTGGATTATAAGATCTCTAACATCTGAATATATAACCATTCAGTCATAACAATCGTTCAGATTTATAGTGATAATGGCTGTTCAAGTACAAGAGAAAACTAAGTAACTTTATTTAGAAAATAGAGAAAAAAAATCTTTCTACATTATACATGTTTTGAATTAAATTCCTTTAATTACAGTTGCAAACTACAACACATCTTTGTAGTTAACTCGGTACCTAATACTATTATAGAAAGTTGTAAAACTTTAACAATAGTCCGTTCGTTAGCAGTGGGATGTGCGAGTTGTGTGACAAACGGACGACCTACTTTGTCAAACTTTCCCTCGTATTATCATTTATGTTGATATAATAAAATTATTATAAATTTATCAGTTATTGTTATTTTTTTTAGAATGGCTAACGAGATGATGGCCCTGTTGATGGTAAGTATTATATGAATAGCACTACGACTTCACCTATTATATGAACAGCACTTCGACTTCACATTATTATGTGACGCGCGTACTTACGAGTAATAATACTCATGCGCTGCTAATATTTAAGAGGGTGTTACGTTCTTAACTTGTAATTTGACTACTTTATCTCAACCCAAACACAGATTATAAGCTGAAATGGGTAGACAAAGACACCCTCGCAAACGAATTTATAATAGAAAGCTTAATGTAAAATACCCAAGCAATTTTTAATTAGTCACCAATGGCAACTCCTTTGGTATATGGTACATAGGCATTTGTAATAGAATTATTACTGGAATCTCATAAAAAGATAAAATCTTAAGGTACATAAAGATTTTGTCGTTTCATATTTCACTGTGAAAGTTTGCGACGATGTTTGGATATTAAATACACAAGTATTCGTAAACAGCTAAGCTAAATGTATTTGATTTGTTTCGGAGAATGAACATTAATGTACCGCATAAAAGCTTCAACTTCAAAGATAAGAGAAATTGTTCTAACTGAAAATATAATAAAATTAGTATGGTAAAAATATTTTACAACTTTTTTTTAAACATCAACAAAGACGTTATTCAATTAATTCGTAGCATTGCTTATATTTCCATATTTATTTGGGATTATGTACAGTTGTTACATTAATATGTAGATATTCACTAGCTATCCTGGCAAACATTGTTTTGCTATATAAATTAACTAGCTACTTGCCCCGGCTTCGCATGGGTGTACATGTATTATATATATAAACCTTCCTCTTGAATCTTTAAAACTACGCAAGGTATTTTGAAGCGGTTTTTTTTTTAATAGATAGATGTATATATGGTCGATGTCGATGTCTGTCCCCATCGACATCGACTTGTTTTATACTATGTAATGATAACGCTATAAATAACAGGGATTGGTGTAGAAGGGTAAAAATTTAGGGTTGTATGAATTTTAATACCACATAATAAAAAAATAAAAATAATAATTTCGACGACCTCAGTGGTCTAGCGGTCTAGCACACCGCTTTACAACCGATGGTCGCGGGTTCGATTCCTTGCACGGCACAAATGTGTATTAATGAGTATGATTGTTTGTATCGGTCTGGGTGTTTTCTACGTATAATATGTATGTATTTACAAAAAAAATATCTATATATATGTATCAGTTATCTAGTACCCATAACACAAGCTTAACAAGCAAGACCCAAGTTAAGCTAGCTAAAACTTGGGTCTAGATAGCAACGCGTGACTTGTCCTGAAATTATTATTATTATTAATAATTTTGTCCACCCTTAACACTTAGGGGTATAAAAATTTGTCATGGTCACGTGATGACTGCAATACAGCGATGTCAATGTCTGCAATTTTTTTAAGTACCGTCACTAGATTGTCCAATGGAAGATCAAAATGTACAGCACTTACTGAATCCGTACAGTTATTGTCCGATGATACTAATTAACTAACTATTAAGATCCCATTTAATAAGGCTATACTAATCACGAAAGAGTAATCTAATTGTTTTAGTAAAAATGTTGGTACACCAACCACGGTAATGTACCTGTCCCATCTACATTACGCCACTAAGGAGCAGGACATTATTGATTATATACGAACCAAGAGCGAGTTTCAAGGCGTTTGTGGCCCTGGTCCCCACCGACATGCTGCCCACCTTCATGAAGGAGGACTACTGGCCGAAAGGTGTGGTATATCGGCCTACCGTGGCAGATTACCGTTTTTAGTGCCGTGACCACACAGATAATATCAATACATTAGTTTTTAAATATTAAATTATATGTATGTTAGTATATAAGGCATTTATAATATGGGCCTAGTTGCCTGAAATATATGAATAAAAAATTAATAAATAAAAATACTGGATACTTACAATTTGAAAGTTTCATGCCACTTTGGGGATAGTGTATGTGGTCTGACGCTGGTAGCACGTATGTATCTTGCTGGAAGTCTTCCGAGACTATCGCGTTGCTGTCGTCCATCGCGACGTTTGAAGCTCAATCTGAATCCATGTTTTCTGCCTTCATCTTCAGATGCTCGTGGAGAAGCTGGCAGTGATGCTGGTTGAATACCCAACATGCAATATGGGTCACTAAACCCTGCACAAGAACATTATATCTTCAACTACTATACACATGTTAGGAGTCCATTATGACATGCATAATGGACTCCCAACACGTGTTCACGAAGTTGTAGAATTAGCTATAAAAAAAGCAATAATTTTGCAGTTTGAAGTGATATTTGATGGAATTTGAGACTACAAATTTAATACTGCTATGACAGTGGTATAGTAAAAGAACACTTAAAAACTACAAAAAGTTAATTTAGTTGCAATAAGCTGTAACTGAATTTAACATTACAGCATTGATTTACGTTATTTATTGATTATAATAATTTTCATAATAATAGATATTAATTTCAAATGTAATTTATTAATTTTTCATATTTCATAATCATATAATTAAATATAAAATACAGAAATATTTGAGTGTAGGTATTTACATAAGGACTCATCCTAACAATAAGAGTACTGGCAATACGAGTAAGCAAATAATAGGATAACGAATAGAAAACATAGTGTGTTTATTTTAGAAGTAAAATAGTAGAATAGATAAAATACCAGACATTATTAAAATACAGGTAGCTCCGTTGTATTAATACGCTGCTAGGTGTATGGTTTGTAAAACTCGACGGAACGTTACTTAATTGAATGCCATTCAATTTGGTAAACATTTACAAAGCTATCGAAACAAACTTTTTCCTGAATGGGAAATTGATTTTAACCTTCCCTCGTTCATTTATTAACATCCTGTTCAAACTAGTGAAATATTAAATACTAGGTAAGTACTACAAAATATAATAATTCCAACAGTTTGCAGAGAATCTATATACATTTCAGCAAACTTTAAAAAGAAGGAGGAATAGTAAGAGGGTAAAACATAAAAGATTTTTCTCGCCACGATATTTTCGTTTTTATCATCGACACCGTTTATACCTTCTTCTCTGAATGAAAAATAATAAAAAGGACATTAATGTAGTCTTCAATTACAGCTTTCTTTACATCACACACAAGGGAAGATTAAAATGAGAACAACATAAAATTAACAAACATAAATCATAATCATAACTATATACTCGTATGTAACCAAGTTATATGATGTTTATTACCTTGTACATTCCTAAGATATACATATATATGTATATAATATAATCTTTGCTATAATAGGAACGACTAAATTAGTGAGTTCAGTCGTAGAACGGAAAACTATGTTCTACGAGTTCAGCTGCTGAATACTAATAAATAGCTGATTGGTTAGATACGTTTCCGTATTTCTCAAACAAAAACTTTAAATTGTTTCTCATTGTTATAGTATTCTGAACCTCATCTGCATAACTAGCGGAGCGCTACCGTTTGATATTGTTTATGTTTCATCATGCTTATGTTTATTGTTTATCAATTATGCGTACACTGCATTATACATTTTTATTCTAAAGAAACAGCCGTCATGACCGCTTGTTCAAAAAAGTTATCAGAACAGGTGGTAGAAATTATTACTGATGAAAATGTCTCAAAAATCTGTTAATGATAATTTACAATAAAAGTAATTAATTATTTTGTCATGTTGGTGAATTATCTTTCACGTTGGCAATATCCTAAGACTTTTGGCTTTATATCTTTTGTTATGGGAAAGCAAAATTTTACATTATAAAACTCCAAAAGCCACAGTCATAAATTGAAGTTATTTATTTATTTACAAAAATAAGTTGTAATTAAATTTTTAATAACAAAATTATTGCAAAAAATAACTTTTCTAGTGCTATCATTGCACATATTGTATGTATTACCTACTTTTGGACTCAAATATTAATGAAGATAAATTTAAATTAGCCTCTAATTTAAATTAGTATCTAAGTTTGTTACAAAGTTGTTTCACTCACTTGTTATTAGACGGAGTCATTAGTTTATATATTTTATAAGAAGTGGAAATAATAAAATAAAAATATGTGGGGAATAAAGTTTATCGAAAAATATATATTCCCTCCATTGGTAGGTATTTCGCAAATGGAATCTTGACTATTCAATGCATCAAAAAGCGGTTAAAGAAATAGGAGTTTCCAGACGCTTTTATCGCAATTGCTCGTAAGTGCATTCGTCAGCAAGGGGTCGATCAAGCTATCAATTGGATGTAGGGGAATACTCAGGTTATAAGGACTTGCTATATACGGTTATCAACCTCTCCCCGTTCTCCCCGGCACTAACCTCGTACTATGCGTATCTCAATACAATTTAACAAGCGCGCGTGCCTACAGCCGTTCTTAACGCTATGACGGTATATTACGCCGCATTCTCTTCCCGCCGAGTCCTACATTCATTCTAAGAAGTATAATTTTATTTTAGCGGTTACATAATACCACAGATAATATAATATTACATATAATACTAAAAATATTGTTTTATGAGCAAAATTATGTTTACAACATAACAGACTGAATGAACGATAATGATGGTTGTGATCATGCTACATTTTTAAATTCTGATGAGTATTTTTCTGAAATGACTTACCATTTGCGTCCTTGGCCTCGAGTCCATCTGCTTCCATCACTGAGCAACCCAAAACAACAGTTGGTGGTCGTTCGCTGCCAGCAGCCCTCACTGCACGAGCATGCAGTTCCGGAGACACTCTGAATGCACGCCGTGCATACTCTATCACTTCCTCTTTGTACGATGCGAACTGACCATCCGGTGCTGGAGCACCCACTGCGTTCTCAATGCAGTACAGAACCTATACATAATAACTTCATTTAAAATATAACAAATGTATTAACACGTTTCTACGTCTTGATGTAACATTAGCTAGGAAAAGTCCATTTATCATTCAAGATGAGATCGTCCAAGAAAAGGCTGACGTGGAGGAATTCAAGCTAAAGAAAGTCGACGCGATATGATGAAAACAGTGTATGTACTACATCTGCATACAATATGAATTCTAATACTTGTATTATAATAGTGAAATAGGGTAACAAACAAAATCTCTGCCAGTAAATCCGTTTATAATTTAGCTTTGTGTTTTATGTCAACTATATACTAATTTGTAATGTTGTGTAAATCAGCACAAAAATGTCAGATTTTGTAAATACATGTATTATATTAGCCATTATAGAAGGTTCAATACGGACGCAAGCTGCTACTGACAAGAGTTGCAAAATTTTAAGTGAAAATTTAATTAAAATTTGAACTGAAGTTTGTTTTAGCTTTTTTTTTGGTTTCTGATAATTTCGTGTATAACGATGGGAGATAGTTACAACACGGTTACCTCTGTGTACAAATGCTCATGTTCCTTGTGAGATAATTGTGCTGATACACTGGGTAAGCCAAGATCGTGTGGCGCTGGAGGAGGTCGCTCAGCTCTTGCCTCGGCCAACCGTAAAGCTGCCAAGCGTCGGTTCTCTTGCCGCCACGACAATGCAGTGAAACTTTCAAAATATGAACCGTCTGTTTCTTGAACTCTATAACAATATATATCAATAAATATTTATACAGGAATACTTTGTACCCGTTGTTGCGAAAATGGAGTGGATGAAGGAGTCTGAAATTTTGCACTGTTTTAGTTTATATGGAGACGAAGTGTCCTATTTATATTACTTTGTTAGATTTTAGTAAATACGACATAATAAATTTATCATAATTTAATAACTATAGTCTCCTAATCAAACGTGTTTGAAAAACACGATTGGTTTACAACAATATTATTGTGGCATTCGGCATTTTATCGGCGTGTACTTCTACCTACACGACATATCAACAAGTCAATAACAAAAGCTACCCACGTAGAAGGCTCGTCTACGTACCTACGTTTATTGAAACCTTTCCGCGACACTGAGCGAACTCTATTATCTATTGCGAATGATTAGCTGCCGGGGACGAGAGCATAAAGCGCGTAATATAAGGCGCCTATAATGTTAGAAATGGCGGTGGGGTGAGCGAGAAGGTGTATTTGTTCTTTCTTATGATGTCACGAACTACATAATCATATCCGTGTACCTAACTCATTTACACAATGACAACGATAATTTGGTGATGACCTAGTTTTACTCGAGCAAGAGAGTTGATTTTGCGCGTTACCATGCAACATATATCTACTATGTATCTGTGTGGTATTCTTTATTCACATTATCCAAACGGAAGGATGCGTTTTAATCATTGAGATATTATGCAATGTTTCATATATCGTACTTTTGTGATATTCCAATCAAAAATAGACATGACTGCCGCAAACATCTTTTTATTATTTATTTCATATCTACTAGTTGTGATGTTAATGCTATATCACCTGTGCAACAATATTTTCACTTATCATATTATGTTATCTATGAGCATATAAAAAAAATAAAGGAATTAAAAAACTGCACTAATACTGTATATTTTCGAAAAGAAACATGAAACGTAAATTAAGTTAGTTGAAAATAAAAACTACTGTAACAATTTAAATATGAAATTTCATAAATGTTATTCAACAATTCTGATATTCTTCATTATTTTAATAGACCGCATCTTTGTTGTCTTGTAAGTAAAATCTCTCGGGAAATATTTTATGTTGAAATCAGAAATAATGAAATGGTTTACTAATTTTAATAATAAATAATAATTTTAATAGTTAATATATTGACAGATCTAGCTGTTATAGATATTAATAATTATTGGAATTTATTTGGGTTGTTGAGTTAAGATTTATCATATGCCAAATTCTAGCTAAACTTCCCTAGTAAATTATTTTGACTTCTATAAGAGATATATTAGTAAAAACTATGAAATGACTATCTTTTTAAGTAGATCACAACTAGAACATTATTTACTTTAGGTACATCAACGGAAAACGTTACCTTTTACTTACTATCAATATTATCCTCCACCAATACAAATATTTTTCAATTTGATGACTACTTATATAATTCATTACAGAAATACATGTTTTTATTCAAACACTGATGGGAGATTGTTAATTAATTAATTATATAGTTCATTGATTTGTGTTATAACTCACGCTTAGAGAAGTGTGAATATAATTATTTAGCATAACATGAACATTTTGTTCATAATAACCGCAGTCCGCGATGGATGCTAGTAGTCACGGCCTTGTTCCTTTATTTATAAAATCCTTCTCATGCCCACACTATATCACTCTCGAACGTGCATAAAATGTATATTGTAACTTTTATTTCTATATTCCTAGAATTCCTGTAATGCTTCCTGATCAAATTCATTATAGCTTGTTTTGCATGCAATCCTAATATATGAAACGACACCGCTGTTCAATATCAATTTCAATATCTACTTCTATAGAGTAGGGCATTTCCTCATGTCATATCACTGATAATGTTCTTAGTGTGGTTTTTATAACACTACTATTTTTATAACGCTTATACTTTATGGAACTTTTTCAAACATCTACCATGAACACATCTCGATATTGTACGTGGGTATGCGGGCTTGATATCAGTATTCAGTGTTTAACTTTGTCTATTGGCATTACTCGATAGACATGGATCACTAACAAATACTTTGAAGAGTCGGTCAAAACTTAGCTTTCACCGTGGAGAGGACTTTTATAAGTTTTAGGGGGCTTACAAAACTTCCTACTCTGCGCATGAATAGTTCTCCCGACATTTCTAATTATACGAAATTTTCCAATTCGAGTATCATTTTGTTATCTCTCTGTTTTTTGGTATAGTTTGAATAATCAACTGGATATTTCAATTGTTCCTATTCATCAGCCAAGTGATAAATACACCGAAAGAGATTAAAATATATTGAATGTTTTTGTTTGCATTAATTTCATGAAAATGTATTGTTTTCTTTATAAAACAATTGGATATAAATATAAACAAAATTTTGAAGCTTACATATATACGTTAGCATTTATTTTTATTATAATTTCTGAAACTAGTATGTACGTATAAAAATCACAATTTTTGTTTAGTTTCTTAAAGACGTATATATTAATTTTATAAGAATAGTTATTCTCATAAACAGCTATCAGATACACATTTTATTAAAAGTATACAATAGATGGAATGGAAAAATATATATCAAGAAAGAAAGGAAAAATCTATTGGCGCATGGAGGAAAAGTAACCGCACTCACCGGTTACTTAAAAGCTTAAAATGGAACCTTTTAAAGATACAACAAATAAATTGCTCTCTATATTATATATGCTCTGTAGATAGATTATGACTATAGATATTGTACCTTACATTTAAGAGAAGTCATGAAACTAATTCAGTAAATCGGGTATTGTCACATTATTTGCATTACACAATATATCTAAAGATAATGCAAATATTCCGTTTTATGTATATTTGCCTTTAATAGCAGTTGTTGCAGCTTGGTCACAGTATTTCGTAAGGATTATGAGGGATCTAATATCTACTATCTAGCTAATCTAATTTTTTGATACATTTCAATTATTCATTAATTATTTATTTATTTATATAGCTTTAATGCACACAGTACAAAAGTAACAGTACATTTGGCGGACTTAACAACACGTAACATTTTCTACCAGTCAACCATAGGTAGTACAGAGAAAAATTGTTGGCGGTGCAAATATAATCATAACAAAAACAAATCAAGGTTTAAAAAGTATCCTTTTTATGCCTTGATTTCATTATCCTTTGATAGTATTAATTCTGCAGACTCGTTTGTTTTACCTTTGCAACGTTTGTATAACCTGTATTGTGATTTAATAAATAAATATTTAAATTTAGGTTCAGAAAAAGTTGTGAACCATTGTACACAAATAAATAAACTAATATGTTTTATTCCTTATCATGGAGTTTTACGTTTAAATATGATTACAAATAAATGACTTGCTGTATTTTATAGAAGTACAAATATAAGTATTCATCTTCACATTGAATTATTTTCACAGATAGGTACTAAATTTACTAGTGGTGACCGCGAATTCTCTACCAAAGTTCGGCCCCTGTCACCACAACAAAGATGATCTCTACAACAGTAATATTGGGGAAATCACAAACTCTCGAAAGGCTTTAACCTGTTTCTGCTTAGGCGAGAATTGCAAATTAGTGGTATCTCCCTGCGGTCCCGGGACAAAACAATCATAATACGAATAGTGATCAGCTTTCGAGATTCCCAATAAATCGAAACTTCAGATATGTTCTGACATTTGTTTCAAATCTTTTATGATTTAACTACGGTACCTACTAATAATACCGTTATCAGTAATAATTATAATACGTGTGTACTCTTAGCTTAGGTACTTTACTATACCTAATAATAAGTTATTTACTTACCTTACAATAAAATTTTATGAATGTAGAAAACCAGCACATTTTTTGAGCTCAAAGAAGCCTATCTCCGTCCTCTTGATTAGAAGGTATCAAGAGGACGGAGATAGGCTTCTATTTAAATCTTCTCATTTAAGACAGATCACTACAGGGGTTTAGTAGTGCAATATGCACATTTTCGCATTTAGAATATGGATGATATGAATGTGCGAAACATTTTCTGAGATATTTCGAGTATAATACATAGTCACGACCTTCCAAGACGGAGGCAAAAATTGCGAATAAGAATGAAATTTATTTGTACGGGGAACTTAGAATATAATAACATACTTAAGAAATATATCAAATATTAGTTTTAGTCATTGTTGACTTTCTAAGAGAAGAAAAACAAAAAGGATCGCAAGCGACGCGACGCGGCACAGCGGGGCGCAGCGACGCGCAGCGCAACAAACGGTCTCCCGTCGCTAGATGACTCGATTCATCAGCTGGAGCCTCATTTGCTAGAATACAAAATTTGATTAAACCTCCGGGTGCCTATTGCCTCTTATTTTATTCTGCCACTTTAAATGTAATCAAATTTTTCTTGAGCTCGTTAAGGTAACTTTGAAGCGCGGTATTATGATGTTTGTCGTCTTTTAGCTCTGTTATTTTAAACGTAATATCAAGATTGAAAGTTATAAAGTAAATGTATCGTTGCTAGTTAAAGTTATTAATTGAAGTGAAAACTACCGCAGTGATGGGATTTCATTATTGCTATTTCAATGCACAAAATAAAAATAAGCATTGAGACTATCCTCTCCCTCGAACTTATTGCCTTGGTAATTCTTCCTGAAATAGTCTGTTTTTATTTTTTTAATATACCAGTACCTTTATTGAAGACATATAATTGAAAAAAAGCGTATTCTATATCTTAGGCATTGTTAAAATTGAACAGTTTTAAACCGTACCTGATTGTTTGGGTTCCAGATTGGTAAAATTTTTGTACTTTTATTTGATAAACAATATAAAATCAATAAATGTAAGAATATTGGGATTAAGTGATTAACTTCCTCCCTTCTGATAGCCTATAAATTACTTCGTAACCCTAATAGGGCCAATTAAGACCTGCAACGAGCGCATATTGGAAATTTAACTCAATTCGCTCTTAAGGACCTTTATCTAGCTATCGAAGACATATTGTATAACCAGAATGTGTAAGCTTGATGCAAAAATGCTATTAGGCACCTCAGATCATTGGTAACAAAGCATCAGACCACCACCAGATATAAATACCAAAGAACTATCTAACATAGTCACCACAAGTAATCTCTTGTAAATATAGATAACTAAAACGAAAACGAAAAAAGATAGAGAACATTTTTTATAATATTAACAAATATTGGTTAGGCAGAGTAGCAGTTTGCACACTCTACAAAGTTTGGCTCTGGTAAAATAAATACAAACACATTGTTCTAATAAATACTTATTTTTAGAACCTAGCAATGAAATGCTAGTTGTAAATATACTCGTATAAAATTATTATAAGTAATACATTAATAAAAGTGTTTATTTGTGCTTAAATACGTGACAGCTAAAACGAAATTCAATTAAATGTCTATTGGTAATATGTCTTCGATTATAGCAAGTACCTAAATGGCCGTGGAGCGGAGCTGTGCGGGGGTGACGAGCCCCAGGGTGAGAGAGGGCTGCCGGAGGGCAGAGGGTCGTAGAGGGACACGTGCAAGGACGTGCAACAGGTCGCTATATGACCTACTTACAATAAACTAATCACCATAAATACAAATCAAATATGTACACACGAATGCCAATCCAATACTGTTTATTAGGCGATATTGTAATCTTAATAATAACTGTTATAATTAAATACTCTGCTATGTGACCTATTATAATATATATCACAATACAGAAATACCTACCAATGGATCTTACCTCCTATACATTTACAACTTTTACAGAGTAAAATTTGAAATAATCATGAATTAATCATAAAGGACATAAGTGTTTTTGTATTGCAATATCTTTTTAAAAAATTAAGAATTATATGCAAATAACGGGGTATAGAGCCTCATAGTGCATCTTATAGTACACACAGGCGCACAATGTATTTTAAAGGGACGGTTCATTTCATCAAATATCTTCGATTTTATTGCCGATAAAATTATGATTTTTTGAGTCATTGGAATGGCAAACAAGTTGTTAACGGTAAGTGGTAATCGCCGTCTATATACATGAATCACGGAACGGAACTAAGTCGTTACGCCAACTCAACCGAAACAAAGCTTTCAAAATAATCTGATTAGCGAATGAATTAAATAAGACTAAAGATATTCACGGCTTCGACTTTTTACAATGTCCACCTCGGTACAAAATGATACTAATATGTAAAAAAACTATACACTATGGTTAATAATAGTACACAGTATGTGTGATTCTTACCCAGAATTAACTGAGTTGTCGACCTCTGGCCATGAGAGGCGCCGTTTACAAAAGGCCATGGTTGGTTTTTCCGGTGGTTGCTGGTGTCGTGGGACCCGAAGGGAGCCCCCTCTGCGTGGGGGCGCGGCTGGGGCCAAGCAGTCCAGAGTTCGCCGACGTGCGCTCAGAGCTGACGCTCCTTCAGTAGGCACCACTCGTGGAAAACCTATAAAAAATTAAGAATTATATCCATTCGTTCAAGTGTTCGTATGCATTTATCGTCATATTGTTCTTCCGCCATGAGACGTGATTTATTCTCTTTTAGTGAGACTAACAGAGTGCTACAACTAAGTACAAGAGGCTTAAGATCTTAAGAGTTCGTACCAAAGTCTGTAACTCTGTATTACCTACATGTTCGACGAATGAAATATTCGGTATTGTTCAAAGAGTCTGAATATTTTTTTTAATATGTAGTACCTATATATAAGCTGCACATAGATATACGACTGATAGTAGAATGATACAACTAGTAATGATTATTTAAAATACAAATATTTAGTAATAAAATAATAATAATGTACTTGCAAATTTAACATTTTAGATAATTATTTAAATTAAGAAACAATGTGTAAGTTGGAACTGTTTATAGAAGATGGTTAACATTTTTCATTATATTTGTGTGTATATGTTTCTATATTTTCTAATTCCGGAATTAATATTCTTAAACTAATCCCAAAGAACGTATTTTTTCATATCTAGCTTATCTATATATGTAGGTACTTAATACTCACAATTGGGTTGTTGTCGGTACTAACATGGTCAATAATCTTGTGTTATCAATGTATATACATATGTACCTACTAATGAGAACTTATTAATTTGTTATTTTATACTCTTAAAAAAACTAATGTTTTTTTAAGTGTATAAAATAACAGATTAGTAAGTAGGTTTTGTACGAATAATTTTTGGTAATAGTATTGTTGTAATCTATTTTATATACCTGACAAGAATTCTCTCTAGTAATAGGATCGCGATGCCGCCATAAAAAACTATATAGGTACTTTTGTATTGTTATGAAGAATAGAAATATAGGTTATATCCCTATAAATTACAGTAGAAAATATTAAGAAATTTGATCGATGGATGATTAATATTTATACATAAAAATATCGTATAAGCACAATAAAGGGTTTAATAGGAAAATTACTATACTTACAACCTACATAAGCTTTCGGGTCAAAAACCGGTTTCTCAGATGCCACTTCTGTTGATGATCAAAACCTCAATTTGGTATGTTATAATAAGTTTTAATAAATGAATATAGTGTACTTTTAAAGAACCTAATGTAGCACAAATGAGCGTAATCATTGTTCCAGCATATCTTGTATACCTGCCTACGTAATAGTTTCAACTGTGATTGAATCCAACAAATTAAATATGAATAGATAATCAAATACAAAGACATTCATGAAATCACAACAATAACTTTATGAACTGAACGCTACTGAATTGAATAGTTTAGTGGAGAAAATGTTAACCTTACGAATGAATTGAATCAGAGAGTGGAATAATAACAACGAACACAATGGAAACGTAACTATTCCAAATTAATAATTTTGGCATTAACTTAAATTTGTCATTGAGATCACAAAATCTAACCTAATATTAAACACATTTTGCAACTAATTTACCTATTTATTATAAGAAGATATACTTCTTATGACTTTTTTGTGGTCAATTTGTCATTGGAAAATTACTTGGTTTGAATTGACTCGCATTGTATATACATAAACTATATCATGTGTCTCCCGTGATACCCATTCATTCATGCATTGTCATTCCGAAGGACTCGAAGGTCTTGCCTCTTATCCTATAATTTCACTGCTCAATCTCAATCTACAACCAAAAAACTTGCTTTGTAAGCTACAAAGCAAGTTTCTTGGTCACAGAAATAAATGAGACTAACATCTATATCTATGCATACTTACAACTGTTTACTACCTTGATAGAATTATATAACAATATGTCTATTTTATTATCAAACTAGCTGTGCCCGCGGTTTCATCCTCGAATTTATAACCTATGTGTTATTCTGATCTATAAGCTGTATTATTCTAAGTTTCATTAAAACTCATTCAGTTGTTTTTGAGTGAGTGTGAGTAACAAATATCCATCCGTCCGTTCATCCATCCACATTTTATAATAAAGTAAAACTCTAACCCGCAAAACTTAGTCTGTACATATACTTAACATTTATCATTTTTTTTCGCCCACTGTCCATAATATCACTTTACATTATGACCTATGTGATATTCTGATGTATAAGTTATATTATTGTAAAGTTTCGTCAAAACTTTACGTGAAAGAGTAACAAACATCCATCTATCCTCATAAACTTTCGCGTTTACAATATTCGTAAGATTGATATGAAATTAACCTCTCATAGTAGCTGTCGAGGGTTGAGCCGGCTGCGGTTGTGATTCCTCAGCGGATCGGTGCCGGGAGGGTGGCACGCGTCGCGGCGACAGCGCCAGCCCCGCGACGCTATCCGCCACGCCGGCCACATACTGGCCCAATGACGACAGGAAACTCATGGCCGCCCACTTATAACACTCCACACATTTGCACTAACACTATTTATTATTGTACTTCACATTTAATAATTTTTACACTCATTAGAAATAGAATTTGTTTCTCACTTGTTCAAAGAAAGTTGTAAGCTAATCAAACTCCCATTCCTGTTTTACCTAAAAAGAAATCAGGAATTTAATTATTATATAATTAGAATGCTATAATTAGAGTATATTTATTTTTGTATTTAGGTAATTTTTACGTAGGTAATTGATTTCAATTTATATAAATTAAACTTTAAATAAATCAACTTAATGTACTGCTGAGCAATATATTAATATATATGTAATAACATAATTGTGTTTTTTGTACAAACAACAGACTTATTTAATTATAGATTTTAGCTTCTAACACAGTAACTTTACTTATTACTGCACACTTAAAGCAGCGCATGTAACTGCATGTATATACGTAATATAACTGTTACATTTAATGTTTTTGTGTAGATAAAGATAAATAGCTCGTATTATTAATTGTATATAGTTTATTCCTTATTAAAACAGCAGAACCTGTAAAAATAAATCTTATATAGTTGGGTCAGAAGGCCAAAGCTGAAACATGTGATTACGGAATCTTAATTATTGTATTCCTTAATAGCATATTAAAATTATAGTTTCTCGCAACAATTCCGTCCAAATAAATAAATAAATTTCTAGTTTCATCACAAGTAGGTACATATTTGTCCTTCGATTTGTAGTAAATACGGCGACGTAGGAAAACATAAAACACACAAAGAATATAAAATGTTTCGTTACGAAATAGAGGTCGGGAAGCAGGTATTAAACACAAGTATGCGAGTTATTAAAAAAGCGAAGTTGGAATGGCCGCAATATTTTGTACCTCACATAGGTGAGTCAAAGTAATAAACATTTTAATGATCGGTAAATTCTTTCCTCGAATACCGAATTTTACCTTATCATTTTTTTGTGTAAAATACAATAATAATAACCCAGGAATATTTATATAGTGCCATCTAGTCCCAATATAAGCAAAGCTGTGATTATGGGTACTAAAGAACTGATATAACTAAATAGACCAATACAAGCAATCATACTCATGAATACAAATGTTTGTATAGTGCGAGTAATAGAACCTCCGACCATTGGAAGTAGGGCGGTGTGCTAAATAAACCGCTAGACCAATGAAGACGTCAGGATATATGTTGATAAAAAATTGTTGTCTCAAGTTAGTAATACGTACTTATTAACTAAAGTAACTACTTACTAAAAAAAGATTTGTGAAATAATCGATGGTAAAGAAAAGTCATCATACGTCCATGTATTAATTAATAAAGACTAAATGTATATGTACAACGTTCCACAACGTTAAACTTTATCATAATTCTAGGATAAATATAGGATTCGTATATTTTAATAAAACGTACCAATTCGTTTTTAAGTTGGGCTACATTATAATATTTTAATGATATTTTCTGTCTATGACAGAACAGTCAGTTCAATACATCATTTCTAACGCTTCCAAATGGGTTGAATTTAAGTTTAGTCTGGCTAAACTACGAGTAGCTAAGTTAAATATTAGGTAAACAAGTTTCGACACTTATTACATCATTATGCTATATTAATGTCTGTATGATTTTGTAGAATGCATGAGATTTAAAAACAACTATTTTAAACATTTTATTTTCACCTACACGAGACAACGAACCATCCTATTAATCGATATGAACGTTCCAAATGAAAAACAAGTAAATTACGGATTCAGAACGAAATATTTGTTTACATATAAAATAATTTATGTATTCGCCTCGATCCATCGCGACTTCACATTGTAGAGCCCATTGTACTTTTCGTTGTTGTTTATGTAGTTTGATACATAGGTACTACATAAAAACAATGAAAAGTAATCAAAGTAAAGTAGATATGACATGAATAATTGGTTTCCTATATGAATATATTATCTATTGGTACATTTTTGCAACTTAATATGGCCAGTTTATCACATATGTGTAAGGTATCTGATCTCTATATTATTATCGTGATCGATGTTATGTGTATACATACTTATTATGAGCCGTTATCTATACATATTCTAATGAATATGGATCGTAAAATATTAACGTTTACTGTCCATCATATCATGTTGAGAAGTTAATTAAAAGAGCGTTGTAGTAATTATTACGGCAGCTGTTGACGTAAACAAAAGGTCCCTGTCGCTATTTGTGGACGTCAACTAGCAGTAAATCCATTAAGCGTTGAGCCCGATGTTCCCTCGTAATCCCGCCTGCTCGCTAGTTACAATATTGGAAGTGACCCTCGACCGACGCTGCCGGTGGGTACTACGGTCTACAGTGGTACCTACGGGATTTGATTAGCCGGGCTTTGTGTCAGCACATCTTATTGTTGCCTAGTATATTTATCTAATATCTACGGTTCTACATAATTTAAATACCGCACGCATACTGCTTATGCTACGTAATATTATAAATGTGATAGTTCATAAAGTTATTTGTATAACTTGATGAGATATATATAGACACATATATACAGCTAAAAAGGTTTTAATGTAATTTGCCATACAAATAGAATATATTCACTTAAATTGTCTTAATTTAAGTAAATAGATTTGAAATGACTTCAACTAATTTGATGAAACAGAGATAGTTCGTAATAAATTGAAAAATATTTTAATAATTTATTAACTTATCAATATTTAAAATACATGAATTTTGAATTCGAATGAATCAAGTACCTACTACTTTTTGGGAAAAAGATAAAGAAAAACCCACATATAAACCTAAGACAAGTTAATAAATTCGATTTTCATAGACCAGAATTATGTAATTCTGGTCTATGAACCATGAATAGAGTTCATCAGGATCCTTTTAAATACGCTCAGTCGTGTGCATTTTATAAAATTTTGTTCAGATAATAAATTTAATTAATAGTTTTCAATACTAAAACTATACCTATAATTAATGTATAATGAATGTATTTTGATGGCATGTTCCGTACGTATTGGGTAACAATTGAAAAAATCATGCATTTTCTTTTAAGAACAGAACAGTGTGTGTTTTTACAAAGTAGTTTTAGAAATGACTAAAATACTGTATATTATAGTCTTTTCTGAAATACTCTTCTCTTTTTGTATAAAGCTGTTTATTTTATTTATTTCGACTACTATGTACGATATCCTCATGAAGTTGCGGGCACAGCTAGTATATTATAAAACATTAGATGCAAATGAACATATCTTGAGTCAAAATAATAGATGTTAGGATGATACGTATGAATTCTGAAGTGTGTAACTAACTTACACACTTCAGAATTCATACGGGAGGAAAGAATCTTTGATGTTACACGAAATGAACTCCTAATTTAGTAAATGCCAACTATTTCGAGTTTTAGCTTGTGTTCTTGTGAAGGTAAAACAAACTAGACAACTACTTTTTATGTTGACAAGAATTTAGCAAATTTATCTATTTAGCAAAATTTCATTTATTAGAATTAGATATTTTTCTTTTAATATAGATATTAGATAATAAATTTTATTGTAATAATTACAACTTAATTAGAAACTCTATTTTTAACATCAGGAAAATCGAATACTTACACAATAGTTATCATGGCATATCATACATCATCATTAAATACACGTTTATATGTCTATAAGATCATGTACTCCACATATATAAACCATGTTTGTTTGTAATACTTTATTGTACTATAAAACTCTGTATAAAAGGATACAATGAAGTTGTGAAATGAAGTACAATGGCGGACTTATTCCCTAAGAGGGATTTGTTATAGGTATGAAACACATAAGATGAAGATGGATGTTATAGTTATTTTTGAACTTCCGTGTCTAAATCACATTATTTACGTATATTGGTAACCGGGCCTTAAGATGCACGACTAGGTTGCACCAGCGCTGGTAATGAGCCGGAGTCTGCTTGCCATGGTTAACAATATAAATAATGCATAAGATGTAATTAATATATTTAGTAGAAACACAATATAGATATGAGTATGAATAACAAGTGCCTATTACACATGGCTCAATGAAAAGTCATTTACTGCAGGCTATTCTTAAACAATAAAGAATGTTTATAAATTATTACTAATACTGAAAGTGATTGTAAATATATGATAATTTATATTTACATATACTTTCAATATTAGTTTAATATTCTAATAATATAAAATATTTGTCATCTTTAATTTATATAAGTAACCTAACAATCAACAATAACGTTAATATAAAACGCCAAGCATCTTGCTTTGTAAGCTGCGTTTCTGTTGAAACGTGAAATAAAACTGTGAAATTACAGATTAAGAGGCATGACATCTTAATCATCATAGTCAAAGCATTAGTGGCATCATGGGTGTCACATATTACTCCATATTTGTAATGCTGCCCATAAATATAGCTTTACATAGATATGCGACAACTTTCCCTTTATCATACCATCAGATTGCTTGTCATTCGAATTAAATAAAATCACATTTAATTCAAGTAGAAGTATCTAATTATCAAAAGAAACTATAATAGGAAATGAAAGATTAGCGGTTGAAGTACGCACGTACTCTAGCAATTTGTGGTTTTCTTTGTAACGTAATATCTGATCTATCACTAAAGTTTCCTTTAAATTTATTGGCTGATCAAATATTCGCGAACAATATAACAAAGTATTATTATGTCACAGTTGATTACAATACAACAGTAGTAATTATTACGGACTGAGTCATTAAACTCACCCTTCGTATTTGCCATTATTCGCAAGGATTAATATTTGAGAGTAGGTACTTATATATGTATATATACGACTAGTTATTACTCGCAATTTCGTCTGCATAAACTTTTATCTCTTATTTAACCCCTTACTCCTTTAGATTATCATATTTTTGTAGGTCCGAGATTGTTAATGAAAAACCTACCATCTACTGACTTAACTATTGATTAATTTACGTTTATTATCGGTGTTTCCATCACCAGTATTGTTTGG